AACATAACCCACAGCCCCCCCAACACAACATAACCCACAGCCCCCCCAACACAACATAACCACACCCCCCCCCAACACAACATAACCCACAGCCCCCCCCAACACAACATAACCCACAGCCCCCCCCAACACAACATAACCACAGCCCCCCCAACACAACATAACCCACAGCCCCCCCAACACAACATAACCCACAGCCCCCCCCAACACAAGATAACCCACAGCCCTGCCCAGCATAGCTCTACCCAACCCAGCACAGCCAAACACAACATAACCCCCAGCACCGCCCTGTCCAGCAGTAACACAACACAGCCCAGCACGACATAACCCCCAGCCCAGCACTGATCAACACAGCATAGCCCTGCTCAGCACAACACAACCTCTAACCCAGCCCTGCAGGGCACAACCCCCTAACCCAGCACAGCCCTGTCCAGCATAGACTGGTACACCACTGCTCAATACATCCCAGCACAGCCCAGCCTGGGCAGCCAGCTTGCCCCATTCGGGTGTGCCATCAGGCTCCGAGAGTCAAACAAACTGGCCACCAACTCCAAAACCACCTCCTTGCTGAGCCCGGACACAACAACAACAAAATTACATTTGTATAGTGCCTTTCGAGTTGGGAGAACGTCCCGAGGCGCTGAACAGTCAGGGAATGGGATTAGATACCAATTGTATCTATTCAATCTATTGTATCTGTTCAAGTACGTTAAACGAAGGGATATTTAATGTGGAGCTTTAATAGATACAAATTGTAAAAATAATAGTCCTTGTATCTGGTATAGCTCCTTATCACATTGGAAAGGCGTCTCAAAGCGCTTACTGTGAAATGGAGTGACTGTGTATTTGTAGGTGAACACAGCATCACATTGCGCACAGCAATGTCCCACACAGCCATTACACAAATGATCCATTTTATTTGAATAGTGCTGTGGGATCTTATACCTGAACAGGCAGTTAAGACCCTGTTTTAACATCTGCAAATTGTATCTATTCAATCTATTGTATGTATTCAAGCTGTACATTACCATAAGAGACCTTTCATGTGCAGCTTGAATAGAGAAAAATTGCATTCGTCGCCAGAACCACGATTTGAATGAAATCGCCTGTTAATAACGCAATTTGTGCTTCAATTAAATCAATTGAACCCACGACCTTCTGATACTGTCAAGGCTATACTGGTCTGTTTGCTCCCTCCGCTTCTTGGACTCTGGTCTGCTCCACGTTCTCCACACTGCCAGCCCCACCATCGGCAGTTACGCCTTCAGCCTTTCTGCCCCCCCCCACCGTTTGGAACTCCATCAGCACTCTGGGACGTTCTCCCGACATGAAAGGCTCTATACAAATGTAATTTGTTGTTGTTGACTCAAAGGCAAGAGTGCTGCCAACTGAGCAAGGCTGACACCTCCTAAACCCTGTGAAGCACTGTTAAGTGAAAGGATTAATGCAAAGATATATCAAATGCAAAGATTATTATTATTAGTAGTAATTTACACCATTCAGGATTCGCTGTCTTACGAAACCTTTCAGAATTCTGGCAATTTGCAGATAAGAGTCGTAAACTGTCAGTTTCTGTTCATCTGATTAACTCCAAATGTATTTATTCAGTGACATGCAAATCATCAGCTATATTTCGCTTCCTGGGAGCTGCACGATGTGCTGAGGTGGGGATGTTTGAGAAGCCGTCCGGCATGGAGGGCGCTATATAAATCCAAGTTGTTGTTGTTGTTTGTTCAGAGTTGAGCAGCAGCTTTGCATTGTTTATTTTGCATCACCGCCAAGATTCTTACTAACATAAGTTTTTTATTATTATTTAAATGTACTGACTGTGTATTTGTATGCAAATGAATAGCGCAGTCTGCGGACCTCAAGGACTAATTTATCTGAAGGATTGTCAGCCAGGACACCGGGAGAAACTCCATTCCTTTTGTAAACAGTATCATGGGATATTTAACATTCATCTCAACAGGAACAGACAGAACCTCGGTTTAAAGTCAACCTAGACTGTTTAGCTCAAAGTCCAGACGTGGGCCTTGAACCCACAAGCTTTGGCCTCAAGAAGCGTGAGTGCTATCTCCAGGATCTTGTTATATTTAATCGATAGTGGTGCTTTCTTTTTGGTGTCAACAATCACGTGCAACAACCGCGCTTAAGAGTTTCCAACCAGTATGAGAATTCTACGCACCCCACCTACACACGGAAATTCCAGAGTCGCTCCAGGGATGGAATGCGCTTTCTCTCCCTGGTTAGATACGCATCCTGCTTACCTACTCCTGGAAAGTATTAGGCGAAGTTTGGCAAGAGCCAAGGCTTGGGGACCCCAGAGTGTGCGTTGGGGTAACTGCAGGGGTCTAATCAGCTAAAACCGCAAATCTTGTCATTGATATCGCTCTCTGGCAAGCTTTCCCGCTGCTTTTCCATCTAGGATCACCCTACCCATTAGGGCTTTGACTTGCGGGGCTAACAGGAGCCGAGTGAGAAGAATCCCTTGCCCCAGTGCGGGCTGGCTGTGCTGTCATCAGCAGTGTCCTGGAGTAGTGTGGACCCACCTGGCTCAGGAACAGGATTACTGAGACCGCCACAGAGGGCTGTCTCAATTCTGACATTTCGTTGCTAAACTGGTCTCCTGGGAGCTAGTTCGGTTCCAAGTAGACCCCCGTTTCCACTCACACACACAGCCCTCTCCCCCCCCCCCCCCCTCCGCCCACCGCCCACCGTAGGAGAACAGTCACAAGTTGGTAGGGGCTCTGTGAACCGTGATGTTTGCTGACTTCTGTTTCTGGGTCGGAAGTTAAAAGGGAAGCAGAAGATTTGGTTTTGCTCAGTGCAGCCGAGTGTCAGTCACATCTAAAAAAACCATCACCAGACGTGAGAGTAGCCAGACTGAGAGCTCCATCCACACAGCCCAACCCAGCCTCGTCCCCCCCAGCCCAGCCTGGTCCCCCCCAGCCCAGCCTCGTCCCCCCCAGCCCAGCCTCGTCCCCCCAGCCCAGCCTCGTCCCCCCCAACCCAGCCTGTCCCCCCCCAGCCCAGCCTGGTCCCCCCCAACCCAGCCTCGTCCCCCCAGCCCAGCCTCGTCCCCCCAGCCCAGCCTTGTCCCCCCCAACCCAGCCCGTCCCCCCAACCCAGCCTGGTCCCCCCCCAGCCCAGCCTGGTCCCCCCCCAGCCCAGCCTGGTCCCCCCCAGCCCAGCCTTGTCCCCCCCAGCCCAGCCTTGTCCCCCCCACCCAGCCTTGCCCCCCCAACCCAGCCTTGACCCCCCCAGCCCAGCCTTGTCCCCCCCAACCCAGCCTTGTCCCCCCAGCCCAGCCTTGTCCCCCCCCCAGCCTTGTCCCCCCCCCCAGCCTGACCCCCCAGCCCAGCCTTGTCCCCCCAACCCAGCCTTGACCCCCCCCCCCCCCCCCAGCCCAGCCTCGTCCCCCCAGCCCAGCCTCGTCCCCCCCAGCCCAGCCTTGTCCCCCCCCCCCAGCCTTGTCCCCCCCAGCCCAGCCTTGTCCCCCCCAGCCCAGCCTTGTTCCCCCCAGCCCAGCCTCGTCCCCCCAGCCCAGCCCCCCCCCCCCAGCCCAGCCTCGCCCCCCCAGCCCAGTCTTGTCCCCCCCCCCCCCCCCCCCAGCCCAGCCTTGTCCCCCCCCAACCCAGCCTTGACCCCCCCAGCCCAGCCTTGTCCCCCCAGCCCAGCCTTGTCCCCCCCAGCCTGGTCCCCCCCAGCCCAGCCTGGTCCCCCCCAGCCCAGCCTTGACCCCCCCCCCAGCCCAGCCTTGTCCCCCCCAGCCCAGCCTTGACCCCCCCCAGCCCAGCCTTGTCCCCCCCCCAGCCTTGCCCCCCCCCCCCCAGCCTTGTCCCCCACCCCCAGCCTTGTCCCCCCCAGCCTTGTCCCCCCCCAGCCTTGTCCCCCCCCCAGCCTTGCCCCCCCCCAGCACGAAGCCCAGCGCCCACACTGTCCGGTTTAGGCGGAGGATCTGTGAGGTTCCTCCGGATGTGTTTACTGTGGCAGTGATGGGGGTTACACTCGGTCACAGCGTCACGTGAGCCCAGAGACACTGCAACAGACAATCCACAGCGGCTCACAGCAGAGATCAGCGCCCGCACACCGGGAGCACACCGGGACAGCACCGGGACAACACCGGGACCACACCGGGACAGCACCGGGACCACACCGGGAGCACACCGGGACAGCATCCACACACCGGGACCACACCGGGACCACACCGGGACCACACCGGGACAGCACCGGGGCAGCACCGGGACAACACCGGGACAGCACCGGGACAACACCGGGACAGCACCGGGAGCACACCGGGACAGCACCGGGACAACACCGGGACAGCACCGGGACAGCACCGGGACCACACCGGGACAGCACCGGGGCAGCACCGGGACAGCACCGGGGCAGCACCGGGACCACACCGGGACAGCACCGGGACAACACCGGGACCACACCGGGACCACACCGGGACAGCACCGGGACAACACCGGGACAGCACCCACACACCGGGACAGCACCCACACACCGGGAACACCATCCACACACCGGGATCAGCACCCACACACCGGGACCACACCGGGACAGCACCGGGACAGCACCCACACACCGGGACACCATCCACACACCGGGACCACACCGGGAACACACCGGGACAACACCCAGACACCGGGAACAGCATCCACACACCGGGACACCATCCACACACCGGGACACCATCCACACACCGGGACACCATCCACACACCGGGACACCATCCACACACCGGGACACCATCCACACACCGGGAACACCATCCACACACCGGGACACCATCCACACACCGGGAGCACACCGGGACCACACCGGGACCAGCATCCACACACCGGGAACACACCGGGACCGCACCGGGAACACACCGGGACAGCACCCACACACCGGGACAGCACCCACACACCGGGACAGCACCCACACACCGGGACAGCACCCACACACCGGGACCACACCGGGACAGCACCCACACACCGGGACCACACCGGGAACACAACACCCCGGGAACACCATCCACACACCGGGAACAGCATCACTACTCGGCATTATCTCTGGGAAGATATCTGTCGGGAAGAGCGCCGGGAACGGGCGAGGAACCCGGAGTGAACCCGCAGCATGGTGTCACCGGTCACAGTGGTGAGATACCGTGTGTGTGTGTGTGTGTATCTGTGTGTGTGTGTATCTGTGTGTATCTGTATGTGTGTGTGTATCTGTGTGTGTGTATATGTGTGTGTGTGTGTGTGTATATGTGTGTGTGTATCTGTGCGTGTGTATCTGTGTGTGTGTGTGTGTGTATGTGTGTGTGTGTGTGTATCTGTATATGTGTGTGTGTGTATCTGTATGTGTGTGTGTGTGTATCTGTGTGTGTGTGTGTGTATCTGTGTGTGTGTGTGTGTATATGTGTGTGTGTGTGTGTATCTGTGTGTGTGTGTATCTGTGTGTGTGTGTATATGTGTGTGTGTATATGTGTGTGTGTGTATCTGTGTGTGTGTGTGTATATGTGTGTGTGTGTATCTGTGTGTGTGTGTATCTGTGTGTGTGTGTGTGTGTATATGTGTGTGTGTGTATCTGTGTGTGTATCTGTGTGTGTGTGTATCTGTGTGTATCTGTGTGTGTGTGTATCTGTGTGTGAGTGTGTATATGAATGTGTCTGAGTGTCTCTCTCTGTGTGTGAATGTGTTCTGATGGTATGTGTGTGTCAGGGTGTGAGTGCGTGTGAATGTATGTGTCGGTGCATATGTGTGCATATATGTGTTGGCGTGTCTGTGCGTGCGTGTGTGTGAGCGGGTGTATGTGGTGTGTCTGTATATGGGTTTGTGTGTGTGTATGTTGGTGTGTATGCATTTCAGTGTGTGTGTGTGGGGGGGGGAGTGGTGGTGAATGTGCTTGTATGTAGTGTATGTGCGTGTGTGTATATGTCAGTGTGTGTGTGTGGGGGGGGGAGTGGTGGTGAATGTGCTTGTATGTATGTGTATGTGCATGTATGTCAGTGGGTGTGTGTGTGCTCACAGAGAGGCCTCAGCACACGCACACACACGCACACACACCGCCTGGTGCGCGGGCTCCGACAGGCCTGCCTCACATCTCGTCCCCTTTCATTTCAGGCCAATTATACAGTGCAACGCTACGCAACTGGACACATCTCAAAGAGTTTCACAGCTAATTGCTGTTTAGCGTAGTGACTGTGTATAATAATAATCCTTGCATTTGATATAATTTGTATAATTTGCAAGGTCTGCAAATCCCCATCCCCGACATACGCACAAACACACACACACACGCACACACACACACACACACACACACACAGGGTCAAGTAGCGCAGTGACAGGTGAAGCCAGCTTTTCAGTTCAGAGTATCTGTGTCCTTGACGCTCGTAACACCCTAACACCATGTTATTCCCAAACAACTTGTACTGATTGCTTACGTTGCATTTTCCTACATGACAGCATTCACTTTCATCCAGTGCTGGCCAAACCGAGGCGCGGAGGGAGGTCAAAAAGCGGCAGTCCTTGATTGAATATTTCCTTGATTTACGGCATCAATCAAGAAATATTCAATCAAGAACTTTTATTTTGTTGGCCGACCGTAAAGGTTGGCCACCACTGGTCTAGCCTGACAGGATTAGCGGAGGTACAGATCAGCCACGATCTAATTGATTGGCGGAACAGGCTCGAAGGGATGAATGCCGACTCGTGTTCGTATGTTCCTAACTGCTGGGGAAGCGCTGCGTTGTTGGGAGTTGCTGTCCTTCAGATAAGACGTTAAAACAGAGGTCCTATTTGCCTGTTCAGGTGGATGTTAAAGGTCCCATGGCACTATTGGAAAAGCGAAGGGAGTTTCTCTGGTGTCCTGGCCAACAGTCCCCCAGATAAAATTGGGTTGTGTATACCGCAGTGATGGGCTGATACACATCAGTTCAACTGTGGGGTATATATCACAATATAGTCTGATCTGCCTGCGCCTGATATCTATCCATGATTACTTTTCCCACGTGGGTGGGTGGGTTGGGCGGGCGAGGGGGTTTGCGGCTGGATGTATCAGATTCCCTCCCATCTTCCTCCCTCTTTAATCCAAGGTCACGATTCCAACCATGGCTGAGATCAGCCAACTCAGCACAGACCAAGCACTGACCCTGGGAATTTCCTGAGTCTGTGTGATTCAGAGCTAATGGACAAACCAAAGTTATCCATCAGCAGATTTACTAACATTTAACCTGACTAACTGGACCTTTACTAGCTTTGCACCTTTACTAACTTTTAACTTTTAATAATTTGGAACTTTTAATGCTCTAACTTGACCGTTAAAGTATTTCAGTCTAGTGTTGACTGAACTTTGCCCGCAAGGTTGACCGGATTCCGTCCCTCCCACCCTCCCACCTTTTTTGGCTACAACAACTGGTCAGAACTAACTTGGATTGACGACACAGAGTGAACAGCCTGGAGCCAGGACTTTGAACCAGATCTTCGGTCAGAGTGACCCTGGGCTGATCTTTGTCTCCAATATCCATCAACCTCCTGCACAGGTAGAATGGGTGAGATTGGGAAGCAGGCACACTGAGTGTCGGAGCTCTGTATCACGAATGGACAGCCACACAGCGCCATTCATAAAAAATAGCATTTCAAAGCTCTTAACATTGGTAGCGATGGAAGCTGAGCATGTAGTGGGAGAATTGTGAGGTGACAGGAGGCAACAGCAACAACAAATTACACTTGTGTAGCGTCCTTCACGTCGGAAAGACGTCCCGGGCACAGTTAAAGAGACAAGATTTTGAAGTCAGGGAGGGTTAGAGGGGCACTTGTAATCTTGAAAGAGAGTTCCAGAGGGCAGAGGAGTATGATGAAGGCTTGGTTTCCGATGGTGGAGCAGATGGAGTGTGGGACTATCAGTAAATCAGAGTTGTAAGAGTGGAGAGTGTGTGTTGTGGGGACTGGAGATAGTAGCTCAGTGGTTATAGCATTCGCCTCGCAAGCAAAGGACCCGGGTTCAATTCCCAGCAGGGTGAAATTTTGGGCAAGTTTCCTTACTCCACACACCTCTTGTTTAACTGGCAGTAAGTAGGAACCCTGTTGTTAGTCGATTGGTGGATCACTTTTCCGGGTATAATAATTCCTACAAAAAAAATAATAAGAATAAATTGGTCACTTCAATCCACTGCTGTTTGTGGGACACTGCTGTGTGCAATTGGCTGCCGCGTTTCGCCCACAAAATATACAGTCAATTCACTTTACAGTCTATTCTGTGAAACGCTTTGAGTTGTCTTGAAGACGTGATAAGGCGCTATATCAAATGCAATAATTATTATTATAGTTGCACAGATATGGGGAATGTTAAAGAACCCATGGCACTATTTGAAGAGGGAAGGGAGTTTTTTCCTCCCAGGGTCCTGGCTAACAGCCTTCCAGATGAATCGACCTTTTGCCTCATGGCTGTTCTAGCAGTTGGCTATTAAAGAGAGTTAAAAGCACTTCAAGGTCTTTGTGTCTAATTCCCACAGTGATATACGTGGAACTCACAGACTGGGACACATTGCCCACAAGTTCTTTCTCAGCCACTAAGGGAAGCTTGGCATCGGAGCTGGGTTGCTTATCGCTGTTCGTATCTGAAGCAGCGTTAAGAAGCAGGCTGGTTTTGTACAGCACAGCTCTGTACAGTTACTGAAGGAAGGCCAGGGACGTTGAGTGCAGAGAACTGTCTTTGATAATCCTTGAATTTGATATAACACCTTTCATTCGAGGGGATATCTCAAAATCCTTCACAGAATTTTCTGTAGATAAATGGGGTGTAGAGAGGGAGGCAGAGCTCATAGATTGGCGAGGGAGGCCATTGGTATTTTCAGGTGTCTGGCTTAGTCACTCTCCCATTTTTGGATCGTAAGCTTTTGGATTCAAGCCCTAAGGGGGAGCTCACAGTCTAGGCTGACACTGCAGTTCAGTGCTGGGGTAATGTCATCTTGTCAGAGGTGCTGTCCTTTGCTGGATCATAAGAGGAAGCAAATGACAGAGAGCGAGAGAGAGAGAGAGAGAGAGGTGGGGGAAGAAACAGAGCTACTAAACCAAGAAATAACAATATTTGGTCTGATTTGTGTATTGAGAACGACAGTAAGAGAAACAGAGGGTGAGTGAGCCAGAGAACGTGAGAGTGAGAGTGGATGTGTGGGAAAGAAGGAATGTGTGAGAGAGCGAGAACGTGAGAGGAATAAGAGAAGAAACTAAATGCACGGAGTGTCTCTTTACAAGCATAAGTTCAACATGTGCCTGAGAATGAGACACGGATAATCAAGGTGACCTTGAGAAACAGATGGTGCTGCTGTGGGCTGGCACATATCGTTTGCAAGCCTTTTTGATGGGTTATTATAATAATAATATTAATCCTTGCATTTGATATAGGTCCTTATCACGTGGTTGAGGCATCTCAAAGCACTTCACAGGGTTTACTGTAAAATGGATTGACTGTATTTTGAGGGAGAAAAGCGGCAGCCAGTTGTGCACAGCAGTGTCCCACAAACAGTCGTGGATTGAGTGACCGCATTTTTTTTGAGGGATTATTACCCCCAGAAAGCGATCCGCCAAATGACTAGCAACCAGGTTGCTACTTAGTCCCAGGTAAACAGAGGCGTGCGGAGTAAGGAAACTTGCCTAGGGTTTTGCCACACTTGGGAATCGAACCCGAGTCCTCTCGCTTGCGAGGCGAGTGCTCTAACCACTTCGCTACAGGACTCTACGTTTGTATGTAATTACAACGAGAGTCACAGCACTGGGTAATTTCACTGCGGTGGTGGTGGGGAGGGAGGGGGGGGTTACACTGGGCTAGTCCACAGCATGGGAGAGCGTGGAGCACTGTCATATGCGGCACAGATAAATTCCACCCCCTCCCGCCCCACCACCAAACCAGGGATCGGCTGGTCCCATGCAGGCAACCTTGGTGTGTGCAGTGGTGGAGCTTTCTGAGCAGGTCTGTCCTGCCTGTGTGAGATACTGGGAGTAAACAACAGCTGGGGATTGAGAAACCGCACCACAAGCCCTGAGCAAAACGATGATTGAGAGAATGATGTTAAGGCACTGTAACTGACTCCCCTCACCTGCTTGCAATGCCATGTTAATAATATACTCACACTTCATAGAAGATCTATAACATCAAAGCGTTTCACAGGGAATTTCTGTAACGTTCAGTCAGTACTTTACTGTGTGTTTACGCAGTAGTGTCCCATAAACAGCCATGACATGAATGACTAATTTTATCCTGGGATTGTTGGTCACAACACCGGGGGGAGAGAAACTTCCTTCTCGTTACCACAGTGCCACAGGGTCTTTAACGTTTTCAAGACCTTCCTTTTCGACCATGCCTTCGGTCATCTTCCCTCCTTCAACCCCCTAGCCCTGCACCCCTCTCTGATCCCAAACCGCAGCTCGGATGAAAACCCCTCATTGTCCAGCGTCTTGGGGCTTCCTCCCAACGTAAAAGGCGCTATATAAATGCAATTTGTTGTTGTTCACCAACACAGAGAGACAGGATCTTGATTTAGCTTTTACACCAAAGGACGGCATCTCCGACAAAGCAGCCTGGACTAAAATTGGTGTAGAATTCTCCGCAGCGGAGTGTGATCGCAGTGGCCTGACCATTTCTTTTCCACGGTTTTCTCCTGATATCTAGGTTAAGAGCGAGGGCCCGAAGCTGGTCCCATTCTTCAAAGCCACCTGCGTGTACTTTGTACTCTGGCTCCCAACCTCCAGCCCATCGTGGTTCAGTGCGCTGATAAAATGCCTCCCCATCTTCTGTCTTTGGGTCTTCCTGCTGGCTCACGGAGTCAACTTCCTGGGAACCCACCCGAATGCGTGGAAAATCCTGGTGGGGCTGATCTTCTCAGCCCTAGGTGATGCTTTCCTGATCTGGCAGGAGCAAGGTTACTTCGTTCACGGTGAGTGCTCGGGGAATCGGGAGGTCTGGGTCAGGCTGTGGCACCTGTTTAGAATGGACAGAGTCCTGTCCCACATCAGGGGTTGGGGGTGAATTGCTTGCGGGGACACTAATGTCTCCGCATCTCTTTCTGGTTTCTAAGCGACATTTGCAGGGGTCTTGTTAGTGATTTTGCCACATAAAATACAACAGCTTATTGTGAGAGAAAGAGTGTGTGTGTGCACGCATGACAAGGGCTAAGCCTCAGCGTGTAGCATTTATTAGTTCACACTGACCGTGAGTCTGACTCTGTGTGTGACTGTGAGTCTGACTCCATGTCATTTGTGTCTCCAGGTCTGCTCATGTTTGCCATCACTCATATCCTCTACACGTCAGCCTTCGGATTAAAGCCTCTAAACCCTGAACCAGGCTGTGTGGTGGTGATCATCTGTGGCCTCTCCTACTCTCTGCTCTACCCTTACCTATCCGGCCCCTTCACCTACCTGGTGGGGGTGTACGTGGCCCTGATTGGCTTCATGGCCTGGCGGGCCATCGCGGGCTTTCAGCTCTTCAACGACCTGTGGACGTGGACCAAGCTGTGTGCCTGCCTGGGAGCCGTGCTCTTCATGGTCTCTGACCTGACCATCGCCGTCAACAAGTTCTGCTTTCCCGTCCCGTACTCCCGGGCCATCATCATGGCCACTTACTATGCTGCCCAGATGCTCATCTCCCTCTCGGTGGTGGAGTGCAAGGAGGAGGACAGCCTCAGGAAGAGGAACTAACCTGAGTACATCTCCTTTCCCCGCCCGGGACCAGGGGAAACATTCCCGGTTCCAATGGTCACACTTGGATGTAGATGGTTGGGAAGCTTCCATTTGGAACCAAGCACTTCGGGGAGGGGTGAGAGGAGCGAGGGGGGAGTTTAGAGGTCATTTTTACACGATTACTGGTTGGATCGTTGGGTCACATATCTGGAGCTGATAGGACACCTGGAGGGCAAGGGTGACATGTGGAGGTCAAGGGACTACACTACAGCTACAGCTGTACTAGTGGAAAGACGCCTCCTTTGAGGGTTTATTTTATTTTGTGCTTTTGAAGCGGCTTCGAGTGCCAGGTACTTTCCAACGGGAACTGACCTGAGATTGTCTCATTTCATTGTCACGTGACAACAGGAGCATCAGACACAAGATGGAGGACTTTCAACCACCAACCGGTTCATCCACACATTGTCCTCCACCCAGTGATACATCAGGGCTCCAGTATGGGGTACATGGGTAGCGGTATATCGGGCACTGCCCAGTGCTCACTCATCTGCCACATGCATGTGATGTCTAGTTGGACCATATACTCTTAAAGGGAAAGCGCTGAATTGCCATTTGTCTTACATGCACAGGACCCCACCCCCACACCTCCTGCCGACTCAATCCTCCGTTACGATCTAGGCACAAGTCTCGAAACACTTTACAGCATTTATGTAAAGGGCCCTTTACTTTTCAAATATCTATTCCTCTACCTCCTTTTCTGTACCGGTCTGTCTGTACTTTCGCTGGGGCAGGGCATTTTACATTCTCACCACGGTGACGTGCTCTCCCCCGAGGGACGGTCAACTTTGGGGTTGAGTTGGCTGAAGGTGACACGTTTGGCAACGGAAGGTTGAAATCGAGCCCACCCTCTGTGGCGTCCTCAGTTGTCTGGTTCCTGAGCCAGCCGTGTCCGTAGTATTATAGAGCCCTACTGATGACAGCCCAGTCAGCCTGGCTTATTGGCAGGACTTGGAAGGGCAGACCAGTCGCTAGGGACAGGGAGTCATCCCACTCAACTCTTGTTAAACGTGCAAGCCAAAGCCCCAACGGGTAAATCGCAGTGCGGACTCGTTGGGGCGAATGACCTGTGTTCCTATATCATTCTACGTAATTCTGGGCTGCTCCTGGCTGTACAAACTACCAGTGTTCACAATGGCAAGTGTTGTGCTTTTAGCTGGTTTAAACCCCAGCAATTACCCCAATGCACTGGTGACCCTCATTGTTGGCTCTTGCCTACCTGTGCCAAACTGTCTGGAATTAGGTTTACGAGGGTGTGCGCTCCAGGGAGAGAGCGGACGCACACTCCATACCAGACCAGACCAACACAAAGGGGAAGATCACATATGAGGAACTCTTAGTAGTTTAGTTTGGAGAACTCTTAAGCACAGGGATAATGTTACATGGGTCAGACAGATCAGAAAAACCCTGAGCGTGAAGAAATGTAAAGTGCAACATAATAGCACATTTATCCTGCATTTGTACAATTCAAAAACTTGATTCTCAGAGATTCCTGCATTTGGGGCTTTCTAAAAGTTGAGGAATTTTCAGAAGTTTTCAAAAAGAGTTTATTATTATTACTACTAATAATTAATTATTATAATAGTAATTATAGGATGATACTAGTAATTCTTATTATAATAAATAACTTCACACCCTCCGAGGGAAACGGGCAAAGTCAAAGTCTGAGATTTTTTTTAATAATAATAATAATAATGATCATTCTTACATTAGATAACACGCCTTATCAGGGCGGAGGGTGGCTCAAAGTGCTTCACAGGATTTTTTAAAAAATGTAACTTTTTTTGTAGGCAAACGAGGCAGCCAATTGCACACAATGTCCCACAATAACAACAACTTGCATTTATATAACGGCCTTCACGGGGATAGAGTCTCAGTGCACTTAAAAATGGTGGAGCCTCATGGTGAGCCAGAGGGGAGGAGGGAGTTAGCCGTAGGCACAGTTAAAGAGGAATGTCTTCAGTTGCAATCTGAAGACAAGCAAAGAAGAGTTAAGGGAAGGGGTTCCAGAGTTTTGGGGTGAAGTGGCTGAAAGCATGGCTGCCGGTGGTGGAGCGGAAGGGACGAGAGTCGTGTAGAAGATCCGGTTGGCTGAGCAAAGTAGGCGAGTAGAGGAATGGGGTGTGTTGTGTTGGAGAGGGAGGGAGGTGCTAGGATATGAAGTGACTTGAAGGTGAGTGTAAGGATCTCGAAATCGATCCATGAAGTGAGTGACCAATTTTATTTGGGGGATTGTTGGCCAGGAAACAGGAAGAAACTCCCTTCTCTGTACGAATAACGCAATGGGGTCTTTAATTGCCACCTTGGTTTAATGCCTCATCCACCTCTTACAATGCAGCACTCCCCCCAGCACTTTATTAGGGCGTCAACCTAGACCATGAGCTCAACGTCCCGAAATGGTGCTTGAACCCTCACTTCTGACTCAGATGTGCGAGTGCTGCCGATTGAGCCAGGCTGATACACAGCTGTACTCTCTGACTGAAGTTACCAGATAAACCAAAGAGTCTGCCAACTGTCTGTATTAGGAATCTTGTTTTTGTTTTTCCAGTACCTCATTGACTGTATAACTGTGTCTGTTTGCAGTGTGTGGACAGCTGTGCATATAATTGTCTCTACAGCATGTGGACATCTGTGTGTATAATAGGGTGGATGTTTTCAGTGATAATGTCTCAGGATAAGGAAGCCTATTAGCAGCCTGCTCACTCTGAGCAGGGTTAGGGTTAGCGCCTGGCACAGCCCTCCTGCCTGCTAGCGTGGCCACATGGGTGTGGGCCAGGAAAGGAGGAGGGAAAGAGAAAGTAACTAACCTGGAGAAGCCAGGTGCCAGGGAGCTGAAACAGTACATTATCACTTGAGAACCTACAATAGCTTAGCCTACAAATACAGTCACTACGCATGACAGCTATCCTCTCTGAAGTGCTTTGAGACGTTTCAAATTATAGGGATATCAAATGCCTGGATTATTATTGGTCCATAGAAACCTCTCACTCAGTGGGAGGCCAGTCCATCCAATCTATTAGTGTCAGTATTTGCTCCTCCACTGAAACCATCTACTTGAACCCCAGTTCCCTGCCGATTCTCGGTCCCTCTAATCCCCTTTCTCCACACGTGCTCGCCTGATTCCCCTTTAAATACCCCCCAATTAAACCAAGTGTTGTGGCTGCGAAGGGTGTGCCAATGGGCGAGGGTATGAAAGCTGGTATCACCCCACCATGCATGTGTGGTTTACACCAGTGCATCGCTCAGTATTATGCTTATAAGAGGAATTCCCTCTTAGAAGTTATAGATGCTCAGGCACAAAGCCACCAGGGTCCTTAATGACCTTACGCCAGAGCTCTTACTCCTCCTGGGACTGAACCCTGCTGGCCAGGGTAAGTGTGGGCCACCTCACCAGTGCTCCAAACAGATTAACTGCTGGATCTGAGTTTACGCATGACAGGGTGGTGGTGGGGGAGAGAGACAGCTACAGAGATGATTACTGACATACGAGAAAGGGAAAACTTTCAAAGGGACGACGAAAAGAAAACGGCGTTCTCCAAAAAAACAAGGTGGTTAAGCGTGGAGCGGCGTGGAGCAGGCTTTTGTTTCAGGCCTGCAAGCTACTCTTTGAGTTGAAGGAAATTGGCAGCTACGGTGTGCAGGTGATTGAGGGCCTATCTGAAGATGCCAGTCCTGTCTCTGTGCAGCCGGGGCAACTCTCACTGAATGTGAAATGAACTGCAGCAACAATGCAAGTCCCTGTATTCGCTCTGTGTGAGGTGGAGCCATGGACTCTCACACAGCCTTGAACTTTATTCGATTTTTACCGTTTTTTTGGCTTCTTTTTAAGCGTTTTAGTTTTAAATGAAGTGCGTCGCTTAGTTTCCTCTGCTCTGCACAGGCAAGCGGCTCACCACGTGTAGCCACGGAGAACCACGTGTGCATCATGTATCTATTTTGGGTGCTTTGAGTGTGTGCAGTGCCTATAGCACATGTATACCACGTGTGTAACTTGCATGTACCCTCTGTGTACCATGCCAAAGAGCCTGTCACCAGTTCGACAGTCGCATGGGTCACACACACAGCACACACCGTGTCAAGTTGTAAATCCCCACATAGCAGCATTTAGCATCAATGATGTTTACGTGTTTAATGCTCTGGATTGCCTTGCAATGTCAGTGTGTAATCTGTGCCTCACTTTTCTGTACCTGTTCACACTGAGCTCACTTTTCTTGTGAACTGTTCCTTCTGGTTAAAGCGAGCACCACATAGTGGTGCTGGACATTTTGTACCGAGTCTGACGTCTGTTGCTTTTACGAGTTAACTGCGAAATTAAAAAAGTTTTTTCTGTATCCGTCGCGCTTGATTTACGACCGGTATGTCAGTCAGTACTGGAGAGAGAACAGATCTGAAAAGGATTGAGAGGTTAGATAGTGGATAACTTGCCTCTGTTAGAGGGATCCAAGGCCCAGCCTTATTATCAGAGTCAAGATGGTTAGAACTGAGCTCAACAAGCATTCCCTCGCCCGGGCTGTGAAGATGTGAAACCCTCCACCCAGCAAGTCGTACAGGTAGAGTCAATTGGGATGTTTAAAAGAGAGACGGGCAGAGAATTAGAGAGTAGAGGTATTAAGGGGTATGGTGAAAGGGCAGGGTGTTGGGATTAAAAGGTCTGACAAGAGCTTTGTAAACCGGAACAGGCTTAAATGGGCTGAATGGCCTTCTCCTAGCCCTTTTTCCCCATGGATGAATTCATCTCATCCTTCCAGACTCTGCTGTCTTAATGCATCCAAATGTATTGATCTAGGTTTAAGTTTTCAATCCCATCTAAAATCTTACATACTCTAAAAGGTCCCTGCTCAGAAGTCTTCTCTCAAGTCTGAAGAGGCTTAGCTTATCTAACCATTGCCGGTAGCTCATTTATCTAACACCGGGGATCAGTCTTGTTGCTCTCCTCTCTTCTGCACTGCCTCTCGGGCCTGAGCAGCCCCCTTATGTCACAATGACCAGAGCTGTACTGAGTGCTCTAGGTCTGGCCTGACCAGATGACCAGAACATTGTACAACCTGAATACATCTGAGGATCTAAACTCACCTGATATAGCATTATAGCCCAGCATCCTGTTTGTCTTATAACCTTGGACCTTCTGAGATCGCTACTCCTCTGACCATAGCTGTAGAAACGCTCATAAAAGGAATTGGTGAGGTGGGGGCTGGAGTCAATTTGACAAACATAATTTATTTTGATGAGAGTCACATACAGTCATAGAAGGAAGAGGTGAGGGTTCGTACAGTCAAAGGAGGTTCCCGTCTGGGTGAGTGGGGGTGGGGGAGCTGGAGGGCGGTAGGAGGAAGGGGAGTGGGGGGGGGAGTGGAAGGAAGGGGAGAGGGGCATGGGGAGGGGGCTCAGATGATGGGCACCAGGCGAGGTGGGGGCTTCTTCAGCATCTTGCTCTTGGCGTTTTTCAGGCGGTAAACCACGCTAGCCACCTCATCCGACAGCATCTAACACAGGATTCAGCCATAACAACAACAACAATGGTCAGAGAGTGGTGCTCCCAAACACTCGCTGCTTTTCATTCAACATACAGCACAGTACGATTTACATTTACTAAGCACCTTTCACATTGGCTCGGCACTGCTGGCTGAGCACCCGAGCTGGGGGGTGGGGAGCCGAAGGGGGCAGTGAGGGGACACGAGGCCAAAAGAACAGAGACTTCATACTGGAGTTCCTCTGATTCGCTCCCACCTTCCCCATCTCAACAGTTCCAGAGAACGACCACAATTGGCGGAAAGCCCAACTGCTGATGGTGGGGTGGATCCAGGGCCCGTTAAGCCTGTTCCATTGTATAATGTTAGCATCGCAAACCCAGCACAACCGTGTTGAGGGAGCTTCACAAGATGACAAGGTTCAAGGTTCCAAAACGGTCACCCAACATAGCATCAAGCTGCTTTTTAAACGAGTTCATTGATCTGGTCTCAAGCTCCCTTGGCAAACTGTTCTGCTTGTCAATTACCGTTGGGACGGTGTGTGTAACCCGTGCTGTCATTGACCTGGAAGTGTGGACGGACAGTGTAGTGGGAGCTTTACTCTGTCTCTAACCCGTGCTGTAAGGCAATGACATGACCTGTGGTGAAGGCAGAGCTCAGAATGCTCTCTCCACTGACAACCTTTACGGTAAATATTCACCTTGAAAACAGAATCACCGCCGGGAGGCTCGTTCGTCCGTTTCGCTGCTTTCACATTCTGCTGCAGAAATAAAACAAAATGGTATAAACAAGGCGTGTGTGCCTGCGTGTGCGTGTGTGTATGTGTGAGAGAGAGAGAGAGAGAGAGAGGTTCCCCGTCATTGGGGTGAAAGTGAGAGGGAATCCTCAGTCAGCAAGGGTGACGATTTCTCATCATGTGAAGACGTGAGGTTTGTGGCACAAGTGAGAACAAAGGTGGAACAAACCTCAGACTGGCTCAGGTCCTCACACACCGTGGCCACACAGTGCAGCCAATTCTGATAGATTTCCTCCTCCTCCTGATCTTGGTTCTTCTCACTGAAAACAAACCCTCAGTCAGTGACTCCATCCTCAAACACTCCAACACTGCGCCCCCACACTGGGTATCCCTACATCCCAATACTGGATGGGGCTGGGGGAGATCAGAGCTGGCCTCAGCCCTGTTCTCCTCTGACCTCTGTATCCCCTCACTTTCCAGCTGGGGTAACATGGGGGCAAAATCTGACTGAGCCTTCTTTCCCCTACCCCAGTGACACTAGGCTGATTAATATAGCGTTACATAGAGGTATATAGATTATTACAGCATTCAAACAGGCCATTCACACCAACTAGTCCGTACCGGGGTTTATAATCCACACGAGCCCCCACATCTCTATTAGCCTCTTCTTTCTCCCCTGTTTCCTGCTCCCTCATGTAGTTGTCAAGTTCCCTTTTAAACACATTGATGATGTTTGCTTCAACCACAGTTTCTGGCAGTGAGTGAGTTCCACATTCTCACCAGCTTCTGCTTGAAGAAGTTCCTCTTAACTCTCTGTTAGATGTTACTGACTGGCCTATATTTACACCCTCTAGTTCCAGACTCACCAACAAGTGGAGAGAATCTATCAACATCCACCTTATCAAATCCTTCCATAATGGTAACCCACTCGATCAAGTCCCCTCCCAATCCTTTCAGTTCCAGAGAGAGAAGCTGTGAACTGGCCACTCTGTCCTGACACCATAGTCACTCAGCCTGAGATCAGCTCAGTACTTATACACGTTCTCTCTCTAATACTACACTAAGCTTCCTGTAATGATTTGAGTCAATAACTCTGTTGGTTTGTTTCACTGCATTAGCTAAGCTCGGGCTGCCTGGTTCTCAGGACTGCAGTTTTGTACCTAAGAGTCTGGAAATTGCGAACATGTAAACAGGCATCGAAGACCCAATTCCTTCTGGTCTTAGCCTCGAGGCCATTCTCTTACAATCCAAGATTGGGCAGAATTTCAAACCAGTCTTCAAATCACTCCTGATTTGGAAATTTGTTGTTATTAAGAACAGCAGAAAATTCAGACCAAATTCAGACCAAATTGACGCACTGCTGGCCAGAGGGTGCTGCATGAACTGCGATTGGCTTTCCTGTGACGGACACCGACTCACACGATCCTCTGGATGAGTTCCTTCTGGGCCTGCATCTCTCTACACGCTTCCTTCACACGTCCCTGCATTGTCAGCCTGGCGCTCAGCTGGGCCGCGTGGATCCCGAGCACCGTGATGTTCACACTGTCCTCCACCAGGCAGCTGAGAGACAAGAATAGAATAACAGTGATACTTGCATTTGATATAGCGCCTTATCCCGTTGTTGAGACGTCTCAAAGAGCTTCACAGAGTATACTGTAAAACAAATTAGTTGACTGTATATTTTGTGGGCAAAACACGGCAGCCAATTAATTGCGCACAGCTGTATCCCACAAACACTCGTGGGTTAAGTGACCAAATTATTATCATGATTTTTTTATTTTGAAGGGATTATTACCCCTGGAAAGTGATTTGCCAATCGTCTAACATACTGTTAGGTAAACAGACGCGTGGAGTAAGGAAACTTGCCTAAGGTTTTGTCCATGCCCACAATCAAAGATATCCCAGTGTACCCAGACACCCAGTACATATTTTCCTTGTTACGAGGGAGGGGATGTGTGTGTAACACTGTGGTGGGGGGTGGGGGGGTTGTCTTACATGTTGCTGGCGATGTGCTTCTCCTGGCTGATGATGCGACAGCCCCTCCTGTTGTCCCGGGTCCTGAAGTGAACCTGCAGTTGGAAGGGAAGCTTTGCTTGTTCCTGGAGAGCTGCAAACCAAGTAGAGATTCATCCTTACACACAGCAAACACAGAGACAGGTAAAGACGCACACAGGTAAAAAGATACACACACAGGCAGAGAGAGATACACACAAGTAGATGCGCACAACAAGTATGTATATAGATTGTATAGCATGGAAACAGGGTATTGGGTGCAACTAGTCTGGGCAGGTGTTTAGACTCCACAAGTCAAAGGTCCAATTCTGCTTGATGTTCACAACGTTCTCCATCAGAGAGCTGAAAGACAAGAGATCCCCAGTGCAGGTACTCCCCAGTGCAGGTACTCCCCAGTGCAGGCACAGCAGTGAAACATGCTGAGATACTTCACGCCGGCACGTTCCCTCCCATGCTTCTGACCGTTGATTTTGTCTCACGGTGAAGGTTTGCTCCCACCCCGCAGTGTGTGATGGGCACTCTCCGGGGCAGCAACAGGCAGAAGCTCAGCTGATCATGTTGCACAGCGTGTCAGAGAGGCAACTCTCACCACCAGGTGGCAATCACCACCCACTGCTCAGTGGTAGTGCTCTCGCCTCTGACTCAGAAACCCCACGTTGGGACATGGAATCAAATAGTCTAAGCTGACATTCCAATGCAACGCTGAGGATGGGTTGCATTGTCGGATGTGTCGTCCATCGGTTGAGACGTTAAACCTCGGTCCCGTCAGCCTATTCAGGTGGACTTTAAAGATCCCATGGTACTATTCGAAAAGAGAAGGGAGTTTCTCTGTCCTGGTGTCCTGGCCAATAATCCCCCAGATAAAAAATAAGGAGTCATTTACTGGGAGCTCCTCAGTGAGCAAGTAGTAAATGCATAGAACAGGCTCCCTCCAGGAAGACGGTGGAAGCAGAAAGTGTTGATTCGTTCAAAAGCAAATTGGATAGATTTCTTTTAGGAAATAATATAATAATAATAATCATAATCCTTGAATTTGATATAGCGCTTTCCATGTCTTCTAGATGTCTCAAAGCGCTTCACAGAATAGACTATAAAGTGAATTGACTGTATATTTGTGGGCGAAATGCAGCAGCCAATTGCGCACAGCTGTGTCCCACAAACAGTCGTGGATTGAAATGACCAATTTATTATTGTATTTTTCTTGAGGGATTATTATCAGGCATGTGGAGTAAGGAACTTGCCCAAGGTTTCACCTTGCCGGGAATCGAACCTGGGTCTCTCGCTTGCAAAGTGAGTGCTCTAACCACTGAGCTACAGGACTCTTGTATTTCAGAATACAGGATATAGTTTGCGACATGACACGTGCGACTACCAGGATGGTGGAAGGCAAACTGGATGGACCTTGGTCTTCTTTTGTTGAGCAATTTTTATGTGCTTATGTACTCTGACCATCCCTGTGTCACTTACTGTCAATGTGAGATTCCTTAATCCCAAACTCAAATGTCACTTCTGTATCCTTGGTCACATTTCCAATATTCTTCACCAGCTTATTCCCTGTCTGCTCCTCGTATCCAAAATACCTTGAGGTAGAGAGACAAGACTTAGTGCATGAGAAGGGTGATGAGTGCTGTATGCGATTATCATCACATCTCCAAAAAGTGAAATCCTAACAGGTCTTGAATTGAAGTCTCTCACCATAAGAAACCCATCAAGCCTGTTCCATCAGTTTATAAAATCACAGCAGATCTTTAAATGCCACTTCTCTGCCTTTTCCCATAACCCACGATGCCCTTTCTTCCCAAGTATCTTTCCCTCTCTCCTTCTCTTTGCAATAAATTCAACAGTACAGGACAGTGAATACTCACCCCCAACCCCAATATCAGGCTGTGGAATGAATGCTCTCTCCCTGACATCAGAATAATGGTTTGACGTGAACACAGCTGAGACCTCTAGCGAGCACCATCGTGTGCTGGCAGTGACAATACTGCTGCCAGCAGACAGAGACTCACAGTTAGGATGTTGTGTCATGCTATAGCGCAGACCCCAATATTCTGTGTGCGACTGGCGGGTGACTTATGCTCTATCCCTCGAGCTAAGTGATCCCTAAGCTCTTTCTTGCTCCTATTGCCTGTGCTGAAGGTTTTACACATTTATTCTCTCCCCCACCCCAACCCCACTCCTGGGTTGTTTTCTGTAACGATACACCGTCAGGGTATATTCCCAAAGCCCTGGTCCTGGCTCAGCAACTTATATTTGGCTACATTAAGAAAGAGAAGAACATTAACTAAAATATAACATTCTATTTGATACGGCGTCTTTTCACGTCTCAAAGTGCTTCGCAAACTTTTTCTGTACAGTGTGGTGACTATGTATTTGTAGGTGAAAACAGCAGTTAATTTTAACAAGGGATTGTTGGCAATGACACTGGGAGAAACTCCCTTCTCTTTACCAGTAATATCATGGGTTCTTTAATGCTCACCTGAAAAGACGGACCTTGGTTTGTTTAGACCAAAAAGACCACAATACAGCACTCTCCCAACACTCACTGAGTGTCAGGCTGGGCTGCAAGCTCAAACTCTTGGTGCCAACACATCCTGGTGTCCTGGACAACAATACTCCAGATAAAATTGGTCATCCATATTATAATAATAATACTAATAATAATCCTTGCATTATTATTATGGCTGTTGATGGGACCTGCTGTGCACAAATCGTCTGCTACAATCGCCTACAAAATACGCTCCCTCCACTTGACAGTATATCTTGAGGAGTGCTTTGAGATGTTTGGACAACCCGATAAGGCGCTGTATCAATTATAATTATTTGACAATGCCATGACTCACTCTCAGTGGGCTCTAAGTCCCCCTTCTTCCAACCTCAATCAAAATCATTATCATTAATGACTTTTCTTTGTAACAGTGTAATTGTAAGGGGCTGAGACTCCCTAGTTATTGCCTTTTGTATATAAACCCACCGGACATCTCTTAGTGAATTACCGGCCATTAATCCAATGAAGGGTCTCGGCTGATATCACAAAAGAAGAGAGCAGCTGGAGGCCACAGACGTGCTCAGTGTATTGATTGCTGTGGAGCCTCACTTACATCTGCTCAGTCACTACGAAGGTGACCGTCACGTCAGTCGCAATCACATCGTCCTCCAAAGTGGACTGAATTTCTGTGGCTAAGTTGCTTGGATTGACGATGTTGACCTGAAATAAGAAACGACATCCTGAAGTGGGAAGATGAGCGAAAACAGGGGAGAAAGATGATCAAAGGCATGTTACATCAACGTCACAATGGCGGAGTGGACAGCTTCCACTTGAGAAGCTGGTGGGACCGTGTGGCAGGTCCAAAAATGACTCCTCACAGTCACCATTCATCTCCTGCGGCCCCTCAATCACTCCCTTCACCAAATACCTCCGTCAAAGTAAACCAGGGTGCGTCCCATCAGGGACACAGTGAGCTTTCCATTCCAGACACGTGTGTAAGTGCCTTACACATGTGGAACCCTCAGTCTGTGCTGGACATTTCTAAGTATGCTAATGGTTACACATGGGTGACCACAAAAACACAAGCCATCTTACTTTCCAATTCCTTCTTGGATTCTCTGACCCAATCTGCCTCCACCGTCTGCAAGTCTAATGCACACACCCTGCATGTAACGTCATTAAACACGAACATTCCCTATTCTGGTTTGAGTCTGTACCCCCCTTCCCCTTGTTGTAGGGTTGTGGACAGCGACAAACACATTGTTGAGGTTCAGCTGATCTCCACCCTTTGGGATTGCAAATATTTCAGTAATGAAATGGTCGGGCTGGCTCGCTGGCCTTGCCTCCCTGCATGTGGACCTACCTTTCCTCCTGTCCGATCAGCCAGGCTCCCGATCTCGGCCAGCCTGCATTCTGTCCCCTCTATCGTCAGCACTGACACAATCACCCTGCAACAGTAATAGTTCAGCTGTCAGCGCACCTACGGGGTGGGTGGCGGGTACGAGGGGGATGCGGGGGATGGCTGGGCAGCGGTAAACACTTACCCGGCCAAGCTGGCCTTCTCCCCGAGCTCCGTGTAAAACTGTTTATAAACATCATCTTCGCACTCCACGTCCGTCAGAAAGCCCATGCCGGTGTTCGCTTTGCCGTCAGTGCAGATGATAACCTGAAGGAGGTAGAGATCACAGGAGTTACAACCTGGCCCTGACTGAGCAGCAAGCTGCCCTTAGCTGGGAATCCACTAGGCTCCCTGATTTGATACCTCTCTATCACTGGTGGTCAACACAAATTAAGACTTTTATTCGTCCACTCCAACAAGCGCTGGTGGAGCACTGCATTGCCAGAGGTGCTGTCCTTTGGATGAGATGTTAAACTGAGGTCCGCTTTGTGCCTGTTTAGGCGGATGTTAACGATCCCACGGCACTATTCCAAAAGAGAAGAGAGTTTCCCTCTCCCCTGGTGTCCTGGCCAACAATCCCCCAAATACGATTGTTCGCTCACTTCACGGCTGTTTGTGGGACTCTGCTGTGTGCAAATGGGATGCCGTGCTCACCTTCAAAATATAAACTTTACAGTATATCCTGTGAAGAGCTTTGAGATGTCAAACCAAATCAAGCCTAGTCCAGTGCCAGCTCACCCATTACAAGTTGGTTTGAATCTCAATTCCCTGCTCTTCCCCCGCACACTTTTATATTCTTCCTCTTCACATCTTTCTCCTTTTAAATCAAAGCTCGGCTCTCTATCTGCCAAGATCTAATAAACTATGATAATAATAATCCTTACATATGATACGTAAATATCCTACAGGTATATATCCTGTGAGGATTTTACTGGAAAGTGCAGTATTTGTAAGCAATTTACACACAGAAATGTTCCACAAACAGCCATGAAGTGATTGACCAATTTTGTTTCAGCGAATTGTTGATCAGGATGAACTAGTAGAACAGACTGGATGGACTGAATGGCCTCTTCCTATTCCTGTACTCAGCTGATGTTGGGTCAGTACAATACAGGAGGGGATTGGGACTGAAAGGTTTCCTCTCAAAAGAGCAGCCCAGACACGAAGAGACACCCTTACTGCTTAAATTTCTATGTACTGTGGTTTCATTATAGGTTCCCATGAAAAGGCTAACCTTTGACCCAGGTTTCTTCGATGCTATGACTATGGATATGAGAGCAGCTGATCCCAGGGCAGTTGTGCCCTTTATTTCCAATCTGCAGAGACAAAACAATAGAAATCAGCAAACAACAGGCCCAGAGGTGAGAAATATCTTTACACCCAGCACTGGTCAGATGTGGAATATCTCCATCAAACACAACCTTTAATGGCTTTCGAGAGGGTATTAAATAAATATCTGGCAAGGAAAAATATATAGACTGTGAGCAGTGGGGGGAAATGGCGGGAAACTGGAACTGAATAGAGAGGTCAAAACTTCTCAAAGGGATTTTACTGTGAGGTGTAGTGACTTGTAAATAGTTGGGATTATAGTATAAGATTCATTAGTATTGATCATGTAGTGAATAGATGAATTAAATAGAATGAATTAAAGAAATAGAAACTGCCATGTGGCATACACACACACACACACACACACACACAGTCCTAGTAAAGAGACACCGAGCTGGGCAGGAGTACACTGGAATGCCAGGGAAGATAAGGGTAGATGAATAGTAGGCCATCTACGCTTACAAGGGCATGTGACCTAAGGGCAGGAACGATAGGAACCTGGGATAATTGGACCAGGAGAATGGATGGGAGGCCAACCATGTGGGCAAGTATACAAAATTAGCAATTAAAACTGAGGAAAAGCTTGAGATTAGCAGGTCACATGGAAAGAGTCAGAAAGGAGCCCAATGAGTTACTGAAACTTCAAGGACATGGAGTCAGGCGGTCCGGTTGGATTAGATAAGATGGAATAGGAGGAGTATTGTTCTTTTGCAGAAGGTACCACTAGTTGGTACAAGGGAAAACTTGAAGATAAGAAAAGAATGCTGGGGCAAAACAGCAGGGTTTTAGAACTCACCATCAGAGGAAGAAGTCAAGAGAAGAAAGGAGATAGAATACAGATGGCTGGCGAAAAAGGGTATAAAAAACGGTAGCCAAAACTTAGAAGTATTTGAGCCTCTGAGGAGAGGATGGGGATGAACCTCTACGGAGAGAAAGAAGAGTGCCTTTGAGGGAAAGGGGACAAGTCCAGCTCTCGCCAGAGTGGTCCACCAAGAGACGTTTGCAACCAGAAGCAAGTCAGAGACAGTGTTTAACTTTCGTGCCAGCCTTAGAACTTTGTCACGACTTCCTGCCTACTTGGCAGTATCTCTCCTTCTTACTAAAACACGCACCCAACATATATAACAGTTAGAGATTATTTAGGCGCATTTCATCTATCACATAATATTTTTTATATATGTTTAGAATTCTAGTGTATCTTGAATTGAGTGTATCTTGTTAAGATAGTGCTTTAGTATCATTTAAGCCCGACGAGTAATGATAATGCGTCGGGTGAAATGTGATGCTTATGCTTGTGTGGTTTTATAATTGCTAATAAAAACGTTTTAATGATATCCTTGGTGTGGTTTCTGACAAACGCTTGAACCCAATTTCACAGACTGTATATTTGTAAGGGCCTCGGCGTGTGCTTCGGGGTTCGCCGTGTATTTCGGGATTCGGCGTGTGTTTAGGGGTTTGGTGTGCGTTTCGGGGTTCAGTGTGTGTAGGTGCCAGTGGATTGACTCACTTGTGTACTCGTTGACTCAGAGTCTGGATGCTCTCTGCAATACACAGGGGAGTGGGATAGTCTGAGGCCCGTGAGTGCAGGTAATCGGAATCCCAGAGCTCGTCCTCGGTCAGTGTTAGAGGAGCGCTCAGCCCGTCCCCGTAGATTGTCACCTGCAACAAAAACCATATGGAGTGTAAGATGTCATTACTGCCAGCGACCATCTCCTTCCAGTCCAGCTTTGGGTGTACCATCATTGCACATTGTGTACCCAGTGTACCCACACACCCAGTGTACCCACACACGCAGTGTACCCACATACGTAGTGTACCTACATACCCACTGTACCCACACAACCCGTATTGCTATACTATTGTAAAAGCGCTGATTGCTTTTTTTTGGGTCAGCCGGGTGTCTGACACATGCGGAAACTCATCCCCATGCTTAAGAGTATCCAAACCAAGCTGAGATTTTCACGCATCCCACCGACACATGGAAATCCCAGAGATTGATTGTTGGAATAGAATGCGCACTCTCTCCCTGGAGAGACACATCCTGCTAACTAACCCAATTCCAGAAAGTATTAGGTAAGAGCCAAGGCTTGGGGCTTGGGGACCCCAGAGTGTGCATTGAGGTAACTGCTGGAGTTTAACCAGCTAAAACCACATAGCTTGCAATTGATATCGCCATCTGGCCATCAGTACTGAATATATTATGTGAGAATATACCTCATCGTGGAATGTGACCAGGGCCACTCGCCGCTGAGGGCAGGTCTGCAGCATGTGCAATAGGGACCTCTGGATAGCTTCTTGAACACTCTGCAGGACCAAACACAGACAGCGCAACATCAAGCTCAACATCCAGATGCTTTAAGCCACTCCAATTGGAAGCCATTTCCCATCTCCCCACCCCGCACTTTTATAAAGAAACCGGTTTCCAAACCAACACCAAACTCAAGAATTTCCCCCAATTCCACGCCATTTTGAGTTTTGAGACCAATCAGTTCTCTCAGGCTGAGACTGAGCCTGTTTAGCAGGTGCTCGGCTCAGCCATGGTGCCCAGCGGGTCTCAGCCATGTCCCACACTGACCAGAAACACAGCACAAAATTTGTACAATCCACACAGCGCATAGCGGTCAACAACACTGCCCATCCCCCAGCTCAGCTCCAGCCCTGCCCCTCTCAGCTCCAGCCCTACCCATCTCAGCTTCAGCCCCACCCTCAGAGCCCTGCCCTCTTAGGCCCTGCCCTCACAGCCTCCCCCTCTCAGTCACATCCCTTCCAGCCTCTCCCACCAGACTCCGCACCTCTCAGCCCTTCCCAAGCCCCAATCCCCTCTGCCCTGACCCATCCTGGCTCTATGACTCTGTCCCTCCACCCAGTCCTGCGGCTCAGCCTCTTCCAAGCAACGTGAAATTACCTGCAATCTGGAGATGTGGACTGTTTTGGAAACTTCATTAGGCACCGCAATCTAAAGAGTACAACACAGGTCCCAGAGTTAGTCTACACACTGGTGAGGGGTGTATGCTGGGGAGTGGGGGGGTTAGGTGTACGCTGGGGTGGGGGGGTGTATATGCTGGGTACTCAGCTTCCCATTGAACAATGCTAACTTCCTCATCCTCACCTCAAAATCCCTTCACACAAGAGTCCCCCATTCCTCTGCCTCCTCCAAGGCCCATCTGAAGACCTTCCTATTTGATCATGCTTTCGGCCACACTCCCACCCCTACCCTTCCTGCCCTCTACCCCTATTGATTCCAACCCCCAGCTTGGGTGCAAACCCTTAACTGTCCAGTACCTTGGGACTTCCTCCCGACACGAGAGGCGCTGGGGAGGGTGTCATTCAACACCAATTTTGTTGGGCTTGTTGTTGTGAAGGGAGCTACATAAATACGATATTTCTTTTTAAATAAATATTTATTTTTCTTTTACTCTTTCTTTTTCCCTCTCTCTTCCATTTAACTCTTTCTCTTGCCATCTCTATCTTTCTCTCTATCTCTTTCTTCTCTCTGTCTTTCCTCCCTGCCTGTGTGTGCGTGTGAGATCTGCTGAAGATGGCTATAACTGGGGCTCACTGCTATATCCATTCCTGGAGCTCACAGCATGTGGGCAGCTGGAGATTGTCTCAGGTTCGCTCCTTACCTCATTGGTCACAGACATGCTCCCAGAGACGTCCACACAGAACACAACCAAGGAATCGTCCACATTGATGTAATCGTCATTGGTGGGACCCAAGAGATACGTGACATCCGGACACCAGGGGATCGATTCGAAAGAACGAGTGATGACATTCTGCTGCTGACAGAATTCACACGTCCAGATCTGCTCAGGAGAGAAACCGGAGAGCACCACCTCAGCACTGAGTGATGGCAACCCTGGTCTGATGTCTTACACAGGAAACAATATTTACCAAATCATCTGATAGAGCAAAGATTTCCTCAGCTGCCAGTGCTCATTGGTTTTTAGGATGTTCCAGCACAGAACAGGCCCATCAAGTCTGGGTTGGTGTTTGTCTCCAGTCTCCCAGTCTAATGCCACACTGCCAGTCGCTCAACTGACCTTTACCATTCATCCTCTGTTATTATAATAATAAACTTTGCATTTGATATGCATTGACCTTATCACGTCATTGAGACGCCTCAAAGTACTTCACAGAATATACTGTAAAGTGAATTTACTGTGGGCAAAAGACAACAGCCAGTTGCGTACAGGATGGTCCCATATATTTGATATAGCGCTTTCACATCTTCTAGACGTCTCAAAGCGCTTCACAGAATAAATTGTAAAATGAATTGACTGTGTATTTGTGGGAGAAATGCAGCAGCAGTGTCCCACAAACAATCGTGGATTGAAATGACCAATTTATTATTGTTTTTTTGGGGGGGATTATTATCAGGCGAGTGGAGTAAGGAAACTTATGCAAGGTTTCGCCCTGCCTGGAATCAAACCCAGGTCTCTCGCTTGCAAAGCGAGCGCTCTAACCACTGTCTACAGGACTCCACTGAATAGTGCCTTGGGATCTTTAACATCCACTTGAACAGGCAGAAGGGACCTCGATTTAAGTCCTGACATGGAGTTTCAACCCACAACCTTCTGACTTTAGAGGCGAGACTGCTATCACTGAGCCAGCTTACACAATCTTACATCGTTTGACAATATAAAGATTGTACGGATAGTGTGTAAATATCTTTGATTTTCTGTGGCTTTTAAGAGCTGCGGAAGCCCAGCCTGCAAATTAAGGCCTTGAATTGAAGGTACAAATGTTCTGTAAGATCATACTATTAAAAGCGCCTTGGGACGTCCTCCCGACGTGAAAGGCGCTCTATAAATGGAATCTTGTTGTTGTTGTTGTAAAAGACAAAATAGTCTCAAGACTAAGCTCCCTGGCATCACGGCAAAACACTCCACTCACTACGTCCAGGTGACGGTGGTGAATGCGACTGATACTGGACAAGGCACCTGGACATCTCCGACATTGTACAGCTCTGGCCGCCTGAGCTCCCACTGAAACACAGAGACACAGCGACTTCAGCTCCGACTGACCCTCATCATCAGAGACCGAGTGTCCAGCCCACAGCCCCTGTCCTCAGCACCTATTTCATACAAAGGGCAGTAGAAATCTGCAACTCTCTCCCTTCCCTAAAGGTTCTGGATGCTGGATCCATTCAAATTGTCAAGGCTGAGGTGGATAGATTTTTGTTAGGGCGGGGTATCAAAGGATATGGAGCAAATGCGGGTAAATGGAGTTGAGGTACAGATCAGCCATGTTCTAACAGAATGGCCTCCTCCTGTTCCTATGTCCTCCAAACAATGATGCCTCATTACCTTCTCTTTTCCAGTAGTGCACAACCTTCTGACTCAGAGGCTAGAGTGCTACCGAGTGAGCCAGGCTGACATGCAAATGCTACATAAGCGGAGTGAATTCAGACCCGGTGGAATTTCTCAGTAACAATCATCTCAGCTGTCGGTGTCCGTGTTTCCTTTGCTATTCTCCCACTCTCACACAGCTGTCACTGGGCTGCAGCCCATCAGCACCGGAGGTTTGTGGTTAAACTGCTCATCCCCCAATTACAGACAGGATCTGGTGCTGAGGCTCTGTCCTGAGCCCCTCTCGGGCCAGGGTCACTGCCTGCCTGGCTTCCCCTCAGTGTCAGGCTGAGGGCACTGAGCCCCACTCTCTCATTCTCTTGCTCATTCCCTCGCTCGCTCACCATCACTGAGATCAACCAACTTCCCCAGGCTGATGGAAACCACGTTCACGTTGGCTTTACTGCTGCTGTTGCTCTTGCACGCAGCGCGGAGCCTAGGGCCTGAGAGAGCAAGAGAGGAGAGTAAGAGACTGAGCAACGGGGACCTGAGAGAGAACGACAGAGAGAGAAGACACACATACGAACATAGCAATAAGAACCTGAGAGAGAACGACAGAGAGAAGACACACAAACACACACAAATAGCAATAGGGACCTGAGAGAGAGAGTGTGTGTGTGTGTGAGAGAAAGGAAAAACACACACACACACACAAGAGTAACCCAGAGTGAGTTGGGTTGGGGGGAGAGTTGTACAGAGTTTACTAGATCAAGAGTGAGTTATCAGCTGGAGATCGGGGATATTATATAGAAAATAATGCCCCACAGGAGTGAGTGCCAGACTGGAGTCTAATCCAGAGTTCTGGGGGTTACATACAGATTGCCAGATCCCGGAGTGAGCGATAGCCAGGTTTAATCCAGGCACCCTGTGAGTGTTAACTCTGGTGACAGTCGGGAGCTGCCCTCCACACACGCATGTCCACGTGTACAGGCCCTCCCTGAACACTGTGCACATACAGCCCCCGCACCAGGATGCAGGTGACACACACAGTTTCCTGCTGGTGTCTGCGCCTCAGTGGCTCTCAGTAAATGGTGACTAGAGCTTAGTCTCACAGAGTAAAACCCCCTCCATACTGTCCGTCCACACTCCCAGGTCAGTGAGAGCCCAGGTTAGAGACAGAGTAAACCTCCCTCTACATTGATCCCAGTGCACTCCTGGGTGAGCTCTGTGATGTGTTTCGGGATCATTGTGAGAAGCTGTTAACCTCGGGGCCAGTCTGCCCAATGGCGGGGGCTGTGTTTGGGATTCTGATGTGGGTTTCCTACAGAGACTCAGTCATGGCACTGAACCACCATTATGTCAGTACCACTGTTGTACAATGACAAAATGCTGGAATGATCAGAAGTTTGTATATTCACGAATAGCTTACCAGAGAGCGGGGTGTAATAATAATAATAATACAGGTGGGGGGGATGGGGAGAGAGTGTGGGGAGACTTGGGTGTACTCACTACGCTTGGGTCTGGGCGGGGGAAGCTGGGTGGGGGGATTCAGTGTGGCCGGGAGGCTGGCAGAGAGACAAGCTGTGTTGAGCAGGTCTGGTTTTCGGACGCTGGGGCGAGGTGGCAGGGGAGGAGCCTCACTATCATCCGACTCTGTAACAAACAAGGATTCGGGCATTAATGGCTGTCTGGGTCCCTCCATCCCATTATCCCTCCGTTTCTCTCTCCTCTCTCAATCCTCTCCTTCTCTCTTCCTCCCTCTTCTCTCTTGCTCTCTCTCTCTCTCTCTTTCAGAACTCTCCCTCTTTCTCTTGCTCTTTCTCTCTTCCTTCACTCACTTCCCCTCCCTTTCTCTCTTCCGCTTCTTCCTCCCTCCCTCTCTCTCTCTCTCTCTCTGATGGAGAGCATGTCTTACCCATGATAGAAGGGAATTTCTCCCAATACCTGAGTACTGACCGCGAGCCTTGAGTACCTCAGGCTGCCTGGGGGGAACAGGATTGCGGGTTCGGTGCTTAGGAACCTGAGCGTACAGACTGTTGGCCCTGGCCGAGGTGGTTCTCAGGTAGCCGTTGTCATAGTGATGAGCGATGCTGTGGTCCGGTATCTCGGGAGGTCTGACACGGGGAGGGTTGGGGGCTGGAGTCTCACCATCACCAGAGACCCCCGCTCTAGCCCGCCTTTGTTCTGCGGATCAGATTGAAGAGCACAGGTTGTGCGTTAATAACATTTCTTTCGCTTTCTTAAAGGTTTTTGTGATCTCTCCTAAGCAAAGTGGGTAATCGTAACAAACCTTGCATTTGACACAGCGCCTTATCACATCACCCGAGGACGTCTCAAAGCGCCTTCACAGGATTTATTGCAAAGGGTAGTGGCTGCATTTGTAGGTGAATGCAGCAGCCGATTTTGCGCACAGAAGCATCCCACAAACAGCCGTGAATTGAGCAACCAATTTTTGTTTTAGGGGATTCATTGGCCATCTTTTCGAACAGTGTCATGGAATGTTTAACGTCCACCTTAAAAAACAGACGGTGTCTCAGTTTAACGTCTGATCCGAAGGATTGCAGCTGCAACACAGCGCTGCCCTGAGTGTCAGCCTAGTCTGTGCCCTCAAAGTATCGACACATGGCTTGAATCCACAACCTTCTGCCTCAGAGACCTGAGGGATATGGCTGAGTCTGGCTGGAACCTCTGGAACTCTTAACACCAATATTGGTCCAGAGTCACTCTCCTGCTCTGTGACAGCACAGGTTAGATGCAGAGTAAAGCTCCCTCTACGCTGTCTGTCCACACTCTCAGGTCAGTGACAGTATGGGTTAGAGGCAGAGGTTGTCCAACTGGGTAGCCCGTGGACTGATTTTATCCATCCCCCACCCTCCATTTCATTTCATCCAGCCCACCCACTCCCTCCGTAAGCCATAAATGCTATGTTATGTTTCTGGAAGGGAAACACAAAGACATGCGGCCAGCAGACATTTCTCAAATAGGGCATCCGGCCCTCAGCAGCCAAAAGATTGGACCTGCCCCCCTTCCCTGACTTAAACGTTGAGCTGAAAGTCTCCAAGGTGGGGCTTGAAACCACGAGCAGGAGTGACCGAGCCAGGCTAAGGGTGGAGCACACAACTCTCGCTCGCTCTTTGCTGGGAAATTCCACCTGCCTCGTGCAGTGCCCGGGCAGGAAACAGGAAGCCAGAAACCTGCCTCCTTTATCAACAGCAGAGAAAAGGGGTGTTGACAAGAGCAGTGACAGTGATTCTGTGATAAAATTTCCTTCAGATGAAATCGCGCATCTGGAAGGGTGACTATCACCACAGTAACAGTAACGGCCATGGGATGCTACAGGATGTGTCACCAGCATTTGCAGCTCTGCCATCGAGTTTCTGATCTTCTTATTAGAAAATGACTGGCATTTCCCTCGCCCCGCCCACCCTACCCCCCCCCCCACCACCCCCGCCCCCGCTCCCGCCCCCACCGCAACTGCACATAAAAGCAAGGCAGCACTAGCTCGCGCTCTCGCCTCTGAGGTTGCAGGTTGTGGGTTCCGAGCCTCACGTCAGAGACTCTAAGCTCACAACCTAGGCTGATGCTCCATTACAATGCAGGGGGAGTGCTGCATTGACAGCGGTTCTGTCCTTCAGAAGAGACGTGAAACCAAGGTCCCATTCAGGTGCATGTTTGATAAGAGAAGGGAGTTTCTCTTGTGGGGCCATTGCTTCATGTCCCACGCTCTGTCTGCTCTACCATCAGCTGTCGGGCCTTCAGCCTCTCTGCTGATGCCCTCTGGAACTCCATCCTGGAGCCCCTCCACCTAACCCCTCGCCCCCTCCCTTCAATGTCCATCTCAGGAACTTCCTCGTTGACTGGGCCCTTGGTCATCTTCCCTCCACCACCTCCCCTTGCATGCCACCTTTCGCTGTGCCCAACCCCCATCTCGGGTGCAAACCCATCATTGTCCAGTACCTTGCGATGTGCTCCCAACATGAAAGGCCCTATGCAATTGGAATTTGTTGTTGTTATAATCCGGGTTGGGATTTTTACAGATCCCACACAGCGTGTAGTCCCTAGGCTCCCCTGTGATAAGAAAGTTCCTGACGGTGTAGTGACTATGCATTTGCAGAAGTTTGAGCCGTATTGACACTCACCATCCCAGCAGATCCTGGGGCGTGGCAGAGGGTTGTACACAATGTGACTACACGCAAACTCCATCACTCCACAAGCACGTCCGCCTGAGCCTCGGAGAGGGCAGAAAGAGAGAGCATCATCACAGACATCTGGTCACTTTCCCCAGCTGGAGGTAACGTAACCCTGGAAAGAGAAGGGAGTTTCTTCCCACATCCTGGCAGACAATCTCTCAAGGTCTGAGGGAGCCTTACTGTAAGGAAAGTGCCCGCTGCGTGTGTCTGTATTACAATTTCACTACTTTGAGATATTTTGAATTTAAAGGCGATGTGTAAAATCTAATATTGTATTCGCTGTAGCGCCTTATCATGTCATTGAGACGTCTCAAAGCGCTTCAAAGAACATATCGTATCCTGGATTGACTGTGTATTTTGTGGGTGAAACGAGGCAGCCAATTGTGCACAGCAGTGTCCCACCAACAGCCATGATCAGTTTTATATGATTGATCCAGACCTTCCGGGGGAAACTCCTTTCTCTTTACAAATCACGCGATCTTTAATATCCGACTGAACAGGTATACAGGTAGATCTGGGCTTAACATTTCACCCAAAGGAAGGGACCCCCAACAATGCCAAGCACCCCCAACCCTGCATTGGGGTGTCAGCCTGAGCTGTGAGCACAAAGTTTCTGCGTGGGGAGGTGGGGTGGGGGAACCCACAATCTTCTCTCTCTCTCCCCATAATCCTCGCATTTGATATAATGCCTTATCACATCTTTGAGACGTCTGAAAGCACTTCACAGAATAGACTGTAAAGTGAATTGACTGTATATTTTGTGGGCGAAACGTGGCAGCCAATTGCGCACAGCAATGTCTCACAAACAGTCATGGATTGAGTGACCAATTTATTATTATTATTTTTTCAAGGGATTATTACCGCCGGAAATGAATGACCTCCCCCATTAGCACAGTCCTATCAGAGCAGGCTGACAGGATGGGGGATGACAGCAGGGGAGAGAGTTTCTGGGCTCGGTCTCCTCCCTTGTTGTTTACCAGTGTAGGTCTGCGGCTCAGCCTTTCTGCAACGCAACACTGAACTACACACATCACGCTCAGTACCTCCCTCCTCTCCTTTCCCCTGACAAACCAACCCACCCCATGAGGAACACACAGGTGTTTATAATAATCATAGTAATCCTCACTTCTGATAGAGGGCCTTATCTTGTCGTTGAGTCACCTCAAAGCGCTTCACAGAATATACTAAAAGTGATTGACTATTTTGTGGGCGAAACGTGGCAGCCAATTGCATACAGTTTATAAAAAGGGCTTTACCCCACCAGAGGCCTTGTGAGGAAACACCTCGCCTGCCCCAGCACCGGCTTTCCGATCTTACTCAATTTATTTTGTTCAGCCGGGGTGTCTGACACGTGTAGAAATCCATCACCAAGCTTAACATACCCGAACCAAATTGAGAATTCCATGCACCCCACTTACACATGGATATCCCAGAGCAAGGTTGTTGGAGTCCAGAGATAGATTGTCCCTGGAGGGACACACCCTGCTTATCTAATTCCGGAGAGTATTAGGTGCAGGTTGGCAAGAGCCAAGGCTTGGGGAACCCCAGAGCAATGTTGGAGTAACTGCTGGAGACTAACCAGCTAAAACTGCACAGCTTGCCATTGAGAGCACTGTCTGGCAAGCTTTCCCGCTGCTTGTCCACCAAATTGGTAGGTTTGAGCTGTAGGGTTAAACAGGAGATGAGTGGGAAGAGTAGCTGAGCTCAGTGACAGTTGGCCTCAGTGCCCGGGTTTAGGGTTCTAAAATCAACCAGGAAGTTTTAAATGACATTAATAATATTTCCTATTTATAGAGTGAGTTCTGTTGATATCAACGGTTACTAGTTCTCAACAATCATAAGAGCTACAGTCAAGTCAACTCAGCTCTTTTCTCAGAAACACTTCTCCTCAATACTCTGTACTGGCTTGGTGTTATTCTAGCCTCTGGCTCAGAAGTTATTGGCCCCACGTCAGGACCTTGAGCTCACGGTCTAGGCTGACACTCCAGTGCAGAGCTGGGGGAGCTCTGCACTGTTAGAGGTGCCGTCCTTCAGCTGAAACATTGAACCATCTGCCTGTTGCTAGGACGGGTACCGAGACTATTTGGAAGATAAGGGAGTTTCTCCCGGTTTCCTGGACGATAATCATCCCAAATTCATAAAAACATTTACCGATCGACTGGTCAGTGAGTCAACTGCTTGCTTGTATCAGTAACAACCATTGCTCTGGACAGGATTAGGAGGAAGCAAACTGTCTGATCTTCAACACAGTCACTCAGCACAGAGCGGGGCTGAGATCAGTCACTCAACATATCACAACAACAACAACAACAACAATAAAATTATATTTGTATAGCACCTTTCACGTCGGGAGGACGTCCCAAGGCGCTGTCATGCTCACACTGTATCCAAAACTTGTGCGCGTACACACTTATGCTCACCACACCTTTGCATACACGTACACTTGCACACCAGCACGTACACGTAATCTCGCATACGTGTGTGTACACACACTCGCTCACAACCTTGCATTCGTAAAGACATCCTTGCAAACTGTATGTTTGTACACACACCCTCGCACAGTTGTACATACACACATCCAAACCTTTACGGTCACTCTCCGACTTGATCACTTTGACGGTGGGCACTGATAGTAGCGTCGTGCTCTCTTGGGCCAGAGGCCGATTACACAGATAAACCGTGTGGAGCTCACGTTCCACTCACCTTCTAGCTCGTGTTCTGACCCCGTTCAGTGACGCAGTCTGCCCCAGTCAGGCAGGAAGCCAGAGGCGTGATTATCTGCGCCACCTCATCAATGACTATTTATAGTGCGGAGTTCAGAGGCAACAATCTGAGTCTTGTTAATACTCGGGTAATGAACAGGAAACAGAACACAACCTTTCAGTCAATTAAATACAAAACAGGAAACTGCCTGGAGAAAATAAATTACATTTCAAAACTTTTATTGTTTATTTTGAATTATTAAACTTCTTCAAAATACTGGGTGAAGGCAAATGACCAAGAATCCACGTCTGGTTACTTCTGCCTTTCGAGGGATAACCTGGGTAACCTGGGATGTGTTCATGAAAACTTCACTGAACAGTGTGGTCAGTCCAGAAACTATTAGCTGGTTATCAATTTAACTCAGATTTTATGTGTTGAATTAGTGGTATTCACTAACTAGCGCATATCTAACTGGCATTCCACGAATCAACAACAACTTGCATTTATATAGCACCCTTCATGCCTGAGGTCATCTCGGAGCACTAAAACCAGTACTCTAATACCACTCCACTAACCAGCTCTACTACCACTCCATTAACTAGCTGAGATAGGTCAGCACAATTCCTCTCGGAGCTAGTTTAAATTTCTGCCAAAATGTAATAATAATAATCCTTGCATTTGATATGCGCCTTATCATGTCAGAAGGATGTCTCAAAGCGCTTAGAACATAAGAATTAGGAGCAGGAGTAGGCCATTCGGCCCCTCGAGCCTGCCCCGCCATTCGATAAGATGTATTGCAGGATATATTGCGAAAATGGAGTGACTGTATTTGTACACAAACATGGGCTTTGGTCCTATGGGGTGTAGGGTCACAGAGGTTGGTGTGGGAGAGGATACAGGCTGCAGAATTCTAGATGATCTGCAGCCTATGGAGGGAAGAGTTGAGGAGGCCAACAGCAAGGAGTTTGCATAGTCAAGCCTCGATGTAAGGAATGCATGTATGAAGGTTTCGGTGGCCTGTGGTGTGAGGCAGTGATGGAGCCGGGCGATGTTGCGGAGGTGGGGGAAGGCAGAGCGGGTCATGGCACAGATGTGGGGTAGAAAGGATAGTTGCGGGTCAAACAAGACCCCAAGGTTCCAGACTGGCTTAGCAAAGTGGAGTGTGCAACCATGGATGGTGATGCTGTCAGCGCCTGGGGTGAGGAGGCATTGACGGGAGCCAATCAGGAGAGCCTCGGTCTTGTTGATGTTCAACTGAAGAAAATTAGCTCTCATCCAGACATTCTGTCAGCAAAGCAGTGTCCTGGAGTCAAGGGTGGAGGCAGAGAGGTAGAGTTGGGTGTCATCCGCATACGTGTGGAAATTGACCCAATGTCTGCAGATGATGTCACCAAGAGAGAGCATATAGACGTTGAAGAGGAGGCAGAGCCCTGAGGAACGCCGCACGAGACAGTGTGGGGGCTAGAGGAGAAACCGTTTTTGGAGATGAAGTGGAGGCGGTGTGAGAGGTAGGATCTGAACGTCAAGGACAGATCCATAAAGGTTGAGGTGAGAGGAGAGGCGGTGGATGAGGATATAGAGTGGTCGATTGTGTTGAAGGCAGCAGAGAGGTAAAGGAGGACGAGGAGGCAGAAGGAGCCCTGGTCGCAGATGGACAGAATATCAGGCTGTTTCTGTGCTGTGGGCAGCATGGAAACCCGATTGGAAGGGTTCGTGAAGGGAGTGGCAGAAGAAGAAGGAGCAAAGCTGGGAAGCAACAACTTGTTCCAGGACCTTGGAGAGGAAGGGGAGGTTGGAGATGGGGCGGTAGTTTGAGAACCTTTTGACCCAGAGAAACAAGAATTACTGCCTGAGCCAGGCTGGGATTTGTGCAGTGCCCTCTTCCTCTCTGTGGCCCAGTCAATGAGAACATGTACTGCTTACTTTGGTTCACATTAATGTCAGAAGCCCTCGAGATTAGAAGGTTGAGGAGTGATCTAATTGAGGTGTTTAAAATGATAAAAGAATTCGATGGTGTAGCTACAGAGAAACTATTTCCTCTGGTGGGGAATCCAAAACAAGGGAACATTATCTTAAAATTAGAGCTAAACCACTTAGGAGTGAAGTCAGCAAGCACTGTTTCACACACAGGGTTGTGGAAATCTGGATCTATATCCTCCAAAAGCCTGTGGATGCTGGATCCATCCAGATTTTTGGAGGTCGTTAAAATTTTTGTTAGGTCTGGGTATCAAGGGATATGGAGCAAAGGCGGGGAATTGGAGTTGAGGTACAGAGCAGCCATGATCTAATAGAAAGGCAGAACAGGATCGAGGGGCGGAATGGCCTATTCTTGTTCCAATGCTCGTGTGCTTTTTGTTCAGCTTCAACACTGAGCGGAAAAGTCCCAGAGAGTGTAAGTGTGTGAAGGAGTTGGTACCTTCAATTCTTCCCACCCAAGTGCAGGTATGAAATGGTGACCACCTCCTCTGTATTAGTAGGAAATCTCACATGTGGCTCCTGCAACCTACTCTCTATGCAAAGGAGCTTGCTGACTGGAATCAGCCCACACTCCACAGTCAACACCGTACACAAGCAATCCTCTGCCTGAGAGAAACAGCACTCGGTGTGAAGTGTGACCTCCAGAGCAGAGAGAGTCACAGTCAGAGAGAGAGAGAGAGAGACTGTGAGAGAGTGACAGTCAGAGAGAGGGGCAGAAAGAGTGAGAGATATCGACAGAGAGATCTGGCAAGCTTTCCCGTGGCTTGTCCAGCTAGGACCACCCTACTTATTAGGGCTTTGGATTGCAAGGTTAACAGGAGCAAATGCAAAACGTCAAATGCAAAGTTTATTATTATTATCAACGTGCCAGTTATGGTCAGCCTCTTACACACAGTGCTCAAATGGTTAAACTACAGCTCAGGGGAGACAGGAAGGAATCTGTGGGCAGACTGTCTGGTGAGAATACTTTCTCTTTCCACTGTAGAAAATTCCGAGCTAGAAATAAAATTTTACAAATCTCTGAGGAAATACACTTGTTCACAGTGTATTGTGCTCATAAGATGTCAGCTATTAGTAGTGGGGTTTCAGTCACCCAGAGCCAACATCCACATTCCCAGGTCAGCGCCAGCACGGGCAAGAGACAGAGTAAAGCTCCCTCTACACTGTCTGTCGATCCCCAAATGGGGCGAAAGCCTAGGCAAGCTTGCTTATTCCACATGCCTCTGTTTACCCAGCAGTGAGTAGGAACCCGGTTGTTAGTCGATTGGTGTCTCATTTTCTAGAGGTAATAATCCCTTAGAAAAAAATCTGGTCACTTAAACCAAGACTGTTTGTGGGACATTGCTGTGCACAATTCGCTGCTGCGTTTTGCCCACAAAACGTCCAGTCACTTAACTTTACAATATATTCTGTGAAGCTTTTTGAGACATCTCAATGACGTGATAAGGGGCTACACCAAATGCAAAGATAATTAATATTCTTTGTGTTTTTATGTTTGTCAGCACACAAAGCAGAACAGCACAATGAGTTGGTTATCTGTGTGCTCTGGGTAGCCAACTCATTAGTGCTTTTCTGTCCTGTTCAATAAACGTTACACATTTATCCCCGAAGCACTTGAAAATAGCCGCAATTGAACTTTACTCAATAAGGAATATTCAATTGGTGTTAAAATGTAACTTGATTTGTGAATTAAACTGCTTTGAACCCTCATGCTGAAATTCACTACATCAACAAATGTTGTCAGGCTCACACACAGTGTGTTGTGGACACTAGGTGTCTCATCCAACTAAAGGCCTTTTTCATACACTGAATGTGATCGAAAGCTGATTTTAAATCCAGAATTCAATCTACAACCTATAAGTACAATCTCCACAGTCTGTTAATTCTAACTCCAAGATATAATCGATATTTATACAGTATAGTCAAATCTGTAGACGTACGGATATATATTTATCTGGATAATCAAATCTATTGATCGATCTAATCAATATAGTTAACCCAGGGGATGGATTCACCTTTACAATCTAATATATATGTTATATATTATGTATATACTGCAGTTATATTGCTGTGTTCACTCCACATCATCACTGACCGGATTAATTACCTATAGATGAAGGCTTTAATCGATCCCTTATCTATCATTGCTCTGTGAATCTCCCTGAAGGGTCAGCTTGTATCTAATGTACCTGAACGTGATGTACCGAGTTTTCAATCTGATCAACCTGCGTCTTTGAGCCAGAAAACAGCACCACAAATAACAAGTTCGTGGGCTTCTGGTCTCTAAACTTTTTTTTTTGACTCACACGTAACCCTGGTAAATCGAGTTAGTTGTTACTTTACACGAAAACTGCCTGAAGTGTTACTTTCCGGTGTGGTGAAAGATGACGTTAATGGGTGAGGATGGAATGGTTTAAAGGCAGACAGGGATTTGCCCAGTGCTCAGTTGGTGTGAAGGGCAGGCAATGAGCTTCTCTTCATCCCCACACTAAAGCCAGCGATAGACCAAATTTTCAGTGCAGTTTCCTTTTTTACAGGTAATGGAAACCACAAAGTGAGACACTAACAGGACATCACTGGTGCTTGAATGAGAAGAAGCTTCACCACACACAGCACAGCGGACATAGCTCAAGAGGAAGAGAAGAATCTGATAAAGCCATGGTAAAGAAAACATTTTGTTTTACATTGCTTTATACTGTTTATAGTGTGTATGTAGTTACGTCACAAAGACATTTTAAAAATTGCAGTGAGGGCAAAAAGCAGAAGGCTAGATCCGAAAAACTGATTGTCCATCGCCTTGGGACGTTCTCCCGACGTGAAAGGCGCTATACAAGTGTAATTTTGCTGTTGTTTGTTGTAGATTGACTTTCAAGAGGCGCTAAAATATACTAAGTGACAAAGTCCACTTGTTTACTAAAATGGAAAGAATAATAATCCTGGAGTTGGACATAGCGTCTTTCACAGGAGGACATCCCAATACCGCTTCATAGGATTTACTGTGAAATGCAGTGCTGTACGATTGTGGGCAAACAGGGTGACCCAATTGCATACGCACAGCAGCGTCCCACAAACAGCCATGGATTGAGTGAGCAATTTTATTTTTTGGCGGACACCAGGAGAGAGAAACTCTCTTCCCTTTTCGAATAGCGCTCCAGAATTGGTCGCTTTCTTCCTGGCTGTTTGTGATACATTGCTGTGTACTCCAAAGTAACTTACATGTTGGCTTCAGGCATTTATGTGACTGAAATAGCCCCTTAACTCTTAACAACCCACAACTTTCTGATTCAGAGGCGAGAGCCCTACCTACCACTGCGCCAAGCCGAATGAATCAATAGTGGGAACTGTGTTTTTACCAGAGGGGCAGAAAGATTTCCAATCTTTTGTAACAAATACTCATGACAAACCGCACTGACCGTCTCAATTCTGTTCCCATTCTGTGTAGAAAGTGTTGGCTGCAGTGATGTGTACTTGTGTTGTGGTGGTAACTTTTCTTGTGGTCGAGTCGTGCTGCACTGAAAAGGTACGGTTCTGATACCAACTGTTCAGACTTGACTTTATCAACAATTCCTGTGAAAGCTCCTAATTGTTATTCATATCTTTCTTATCTATTATTTCCTCTCCGACTCATCGATTATTTCCCCTCCGACTCAGAATAAAGCAAACCCAAGAAACTGGGGCCCACAGTCCATGCTGTATCTAAAAGGAAAGTGTAAGTAACATGTTATATTAATAGTTACAGTCTGTAACCTATGTCCCCCCCCACTTACAAGTCAATATACTGTACTTGCTCATCAGACGTTAGTCTGTAGTGTGAAACTCACTTACTTTAAATTGTCTTATGGAAGTTAAACGGATACAAATATGAACTCTGCTCTGTCAGACTGGCAGTGCTGGTTTGTGGAGCTCCAATGGTTTCTCCTCTTGTTTTTCTCCGTCGCTAACCTGCGCTGGAACTGACCTGGGAGTGTGGACAGACAGTGTAGAGGGAGCTTTATTCAGCTTCTGACCCGTCTGTAGCTAACTGAAGCTGATACTGAAACTCCAGCACTAGAACAGTGTGCCATTCACACCACTAACATGTTAAATTGTCAACAAGTTTTTTTTATGGGGACTGGGAACAGCCAGCCAGTGAAGTGACTGTGCAGAATAACTGGTTGTCAGAGCTCAGTGATGTGATATTCTTATTCCTTCAGATGGGAAGAGAGTTGTTGGGGACGATGGATATTACAACACCTTAGACATGAACATTTGGAATCTTCTCCTCAGAGGTAAAGTGTGTCTTCTCAGTTTACCGAACCATTCTAGTCCATCTTTTAATTTAGAGATCAGTCTACGCTGAGAATCCAGTGTAGTGCAGGGGGGAGCACTGCATTGTCAGAAGTGTCATCTTTTGGATGAAACATTAATCTGAGGTTCTATCTGCCGGTTTGGTTTCAAAGATACTAGAATGTGATTGGAAAAAAGAAGGGAGTTTCTTCCTGGTCAGCAGTGCACCTGATTAATTGATCATTTGCTTCATGGCTGCTTGTGAGATATTTATAGTGCGCAAATTGACTGCTACAATCACAACAACTTAGCGCCCCTCACGTAGGGTAGTGTCCCAGAGTGCTTGACAGTGACGGAGCATAGGCACAGTCGAATAGGAAGGTCTTCAGGCAGGACCTGAAAATGCAAAGGAAGGGGCAAAGTGGAGGGATAGAGGAAGGGTGTTCCACGGTTTGGGGGCGTAGTGGCATTGAAATACACGGTCACTACACCTGCTACCAAATCCTTGTGAAATAGTTTGAGATGTTTTGACGGTATATGTCCAGAAATCCCATTCAGGGTAGCTAGCGCCTTTGACAATGCCCGATTATAATGGAATTCTCACAGTGACCAACATCGCCAAAGGCGTTAGCACGTAAGTCCAAAAGATGCATTGTCAAACCATGGATTTGTTTGGTTTCATCAAGAAGTGAAGCATTCAATTACCAAAGCCACAAACTGGTCTGGGGATTGCATATTGCTGGGTTTTGGCTGATGAGATCTTTGTAATATCACCCCTCCCAGGCTCGGAGACCAGGCAGTGCTGTACGATGTATGTCACTCAATAAATGAACCTCATGAACTCTGTGTCCACAAGGCATAGTGGGACAGAATGGTGACTGGACAGAGAACCATGTCAGGATAATGAACCTACAATAATCCTATTGTGTCAAAACACCTCAAAATGCTCCACAGGGAATTAGTCTCAAGTGTAGTGACTGTTTTTTTTACAGCAAATACAGCAGCCACTTTGCGATGTTTCACACATAGCCAGGAAGTGGTTGAGGAATATTGGTCAGGACACCAGGAGAAATCTCTTTTTGAGTCATGTCACGGATCTTTAACATAAAGCTAAAATACCAGTTGACTGGACGGTCTAGTGATGAGCAAAACGGACGTTAAAAATCCCACAGCACTGATGGAAAGAAGGGTGTTTATCCCACGGTCCTGGCCATAATGCTCCAGATGGTTTGATCATTGATCCTCATGGTCTGTGGTTCGGTGGCTGAAGCTGTCCTCTTCTCTCTCCTCTCCTCACAGATTACAAAAAGGCAAGATCATCCTGGTTCTCGGATCACTGGAAACAAAGAACCGATGGAAATCGGGAGGTTGCAGCCGCGAAATAGCCAAGTCACTGTTCGAGCTCCACAGCGTTCAAAATGAATCCCAATCAGACATTCTTGTTCTCATGTCTGTTTAAGAACGAGTGTGTTTGTGGGTTGGGGGGGGAAGAGGGGGCGGGGTGGGGGGGGGGGGCAGTGATGGTGACATGCACACATACTGTCTTTGTTTGTCCACTAAGTAATTCCATCAAAAATTCATTTTATGTGGTGCATTTAATGGAGGGTGTTATAATGAGCCAGATTATAGATAATACATGTAACAAGAGCTTTCACAATGAGCCAGAGAACAGAGACTGTTATAACTGAGTGTGACAACAGTGTGAAGCCACAATGAGAATGAACTCGCTCTGCTAGTCTCTGCCATCTGTGAGTGTGTGTGTGTGTGTCTGTGTATCTATGTGTGGGGGTATGTATCTGTGTGTGTGTATCCGTGTGTCTCTCCATCCCCCGTATAGAGATCTTAAAACATCCTTTTAAAACGATCAGAGTCAGCAATCCACAACTGTTTGTGGGATACCGCTGTGCGCAATTGACTGCCGCGATTCGTCCACAAAACACACAGTCACTACACTTTACACTATATTCTGTGAAGTGCTTTGAGACGTCTCAACGACGTGATATGGCGCTATATCAAATGGAAGGATTATTATTATTATCTCTACATCTATGTGGCTGATAAAGCTGAACACTGGTTACCTTCGGAATGTATAGGCCAATGTCAGTCTCAAATAATAATAATAATCCTTGCATTTGATATAGCGCCTTATCACATCTTCGCAACGTTTCAAAGCGCTTCACAGGATATACTGTAAAGTGTATCGACTGTGTATTTTGGGGCGAAGTGTGTAATTGTAAATTGTTCACCTTCCTTCTTCTCAGTTTGAATCTGTGTCTCTTTGTTGAAGACACTTGTCAGTTCTACACTCATTAACCTGGAGAACTGAACTCCTTTGCTGCCCACAGGGAGCTGAGAGTTCTTGTCCTCTCAGACACTGAAGGAGCTACAGGCTTTGCAGCCGATCCCTGTTGTTTTCTTTGTGGCCATGGCTCAAGAGGGATTTTTATTATCATTTCCACTGAATTTATATTTCATAAACAGAAACATTTACTCACGAGTTTGCGGCTTCAGCAGAAAGGGATTGAGAGACACGGCTGGTGGGGGTGGGGGAGCCAAATGTGTGTAGCTGGATGTGTCCTGCTATCCCACAGTATCCGTGTTACAAACAAAAGATTATATTTATATAGAGCCTTTCACATTGGAAGGACGTCCCAAGGCGCTGGACAGTTAAGCACCCGAGCTGCGGGTTGGAATCAAGAGGGTTAGAGGGTAGGCGGAGTGGGGGTGGGAGTGTGGCCAAAGCCACGGTCAAATACTAAGGAAATTGTGTGGGAGAGGAGTTCCTGGCGGTCTGCGTGATTGGGACATGTGCCCGATTACTGGCAGGATTTGAGGACCCTTTACAGACTCCACAAATGTTTGTGAGGCCCAATGTGATCAGACTTTCCCAGAGATCGGCATAAAGTGTGTTAGGCGTTCTTTTAGGTCAGCCGGGTGTCTGACACGTGCAGAAACCCATCACCATGCTTAAGAGTATCCAAACCGAGAATTCCATGCATCCCACCTACACACAGAAATAGGTGGTGACCACACACGTGGGCACTAGGAATATTCATGTGGGCTGCGACACATTTAGATTTAGTGATTTGAGTGAGAATCTGTGTGAATGTATGTAATACACCTCTGTAATAAATCACCATATAAACAGCAATACCTGAGTGGAGCTTCAATAACACAATAAATAATCGGGAAAGATTTCTCGTTGCATTTGTTTCTGCTTTTCACTCCTCCCCGCCACTGCCGAGGCAGACTCATGCCAGGAGATGGCTCCACAGGCACCTTTTCCAGACGGTAATGCTTCATTGACGAGTTTGCACAGTGAGAGGGTTACAGCCCATTGGATTTGGAACTCAAGAACATCACAGTGGTTGGCATATATGTCCCAAGTTGTCCCGTACAGCTACATGCTGAAGGCAGATGTCTGTCAATCCAAATGACCTTCAGAGCCACCTTTGTTTGGTAACTTTTTAAAGAGGTTTTGACAGTGAAACCCAGAATTTCAAGGCCAATGGACCTTTAGAAGTTAATGGGATTTTGAGCTCAGATTCTAGACTGACACATTACTGCAGTCCTGGGGAGACACTGCATTGTCTAAGGTGCTGCCCTTTGGAAATGTTAAACCGAGGTCCTGTCTGACTGTTCAGGTGGACTTAAATATCCTGCAGGACTATCAATAATAATACTAATCCTTGCACTTGATGTACCTGTAGCACCTTATCATATCAATGAGTCACCTCAATGAGGTTCACAGAATAGTGGATTCACTGTGTATTTTATGGGCGAATCGCGGCAGCCAATTGCGCAAAGCAATGTCCCCAAACAGTTTTTTTTAAAAGGGATTATTACCACCAGAAAGGGATGATTACCACCAGAAAGACTAACAACTGAGTTCCTACTTACTGCTAGGTAAACAGAGGTGTGTGGCGCAAGGAAACTTGCCTAAGATTTTGCCATGCCCAGAACTCGAACCCTTGCCCTCTCGCTTAAAAGGCAACCACGCTAACCCTTACACTTCGGGACTTTAATAGAAAACAGAATGCAGTTTCTCCCAATATACTGCCTGCTTGTGGGACACTTCTGTGTGTAAATTGACTACAGTGTTTGCTTCCAAATACACAGTCGCTACACTTAAAAATAATTACAATGAAGTGCTTTGAGACGTTTCGATTGGATAAGGCGCAATATCAAATGCAAGGATCATAATTAAATACCACATTCGCCCCTTCCCTCCTTCGAGGTCTGTCTGAAGACTTTCCTCTTAGAGCACACCTTTGGCCACCTGTATTGAGAGTGATTGTGACAGACAGTTATGACTGAATATGATACTGAACTTGGGGATAAAGACACATTCTGTAAATTTAATATTGACGTTAATCTAACGTATGCCAGACATAACTCCTTAATGAATCATTCCCATGTTTCCTAATTTCTCAGAAAAACAACAACTTGCATTAAAATAACGTCCTTTCCGTGGGGCAGTGTCTCAGAATCCCTCCTCCAAGAATCAGAAATATCTACTTGCCATGGGCTGCTGTGACCAGACTATAACAAGAGGTGGCTTGCTGGCCTATAGGGACCAGCATGTAAAAGGACATGAGGCAAAATACTGCAGATGCTGGAAATCTGAAATAAAAACAGAAGTCGCTGGGAACACTCAGCAGGTTAGGCAGCATCTATGGAGAGAGGAAAGTGAGTTAACGTTTCAGGTTGATGACCTTTCGTCAGAATTAGAGTTCTGACGAAAAGTCATTTAACTGAAACGTTAACTCACTTTCCTCTGTGACAAAGGCCGCTGTGTAGATCTGTTTTCATGTGAGTCACTTGAGTTTGTGCTCGTTGACTGTCAGCTCCTCCCGGGATAGTCTGCACACTCTCACTCCACAGTGTCCTGGTCACTGTGATTCTCAGCATCACTGGAGGTAAGGCTTCGCGACGAGTCAGACCCATTCCTCCTCACGTGTCTCTTCCCTGATCGCCGAGTGATGCTAGTGATTGGCTTTATGTTCTTCCTGTCTTTCTCCGCCTCTTCCTCTTCATTGTATCGCTCGTCCTCCTCCTCCTCGGTCTCGCTGTGGTAGGGGCTGGAGTGGAGGGAGGTGGCGGGAGACGGGGGTTTGGAGGCGGGTCTGGGGTAGCAGAAACCTTCACTCTGTGATTAAGAAAAAAAGAAAATTGTAGGAAATTAACTCAAACTAGAGAATGAATCCACGACTGTTTGTGGGGATACTGCTGTGCGCAACTGGCTGCTGCGTTCCGCTCACAGGATACAGTCAATTTACTTTACAGTAGATCCTGTGAAGAGCTTTGAGACGTCTCGAAGACGTGATAAGGCGCTGTATCAAATGCAAGGATTATTATTATTAATCAATCAAATAGATCTATTCTCTTCCTCGGACCGGTCACTTCCTGCGACACTCTCGATTGGATAAATCTCATCATTGTCACTGTACAGAGTCGTTGTGTTCTCACAGGTTGAGGGTCACTCTCTGTGTGACGTTACAGCTACTAATGTTAATGAGGGGATCACTCACCACTTCAGGCTCCCAGAGAGTGGATGTGAATGAATCTGGATAAGCTTTGGCTAAAGCCATCTGCCTCGCGTGGACATAATACTGAAACGACAATCAGAGATGTTTGCTTTATAAGGAGGTAAAGAGGCATCTCGCAGCACAAAGCACGAGTCAACACCATCACAGCATGTATATCAGGTGCTTATCTAACACTGTGTCAGCCTGGACCGTGAGATCAGCTCCCTGACACGGCGATCGACCTCACAAACCTTCTGACATAGAGACGGGAGCTCGCTGACCTGAGCTGAGCTGCCTTATGCAGACTGCAAGTGAAGCTGAAAGGCAGCCAAGCCTTCCAGCTTTGCCAGGTTAGGTATCAGGCTGGCTGAGTCAGCAGTACTCTTCCCCTCTGTGTCAGAAGGTTGTAGGTTCAAGGTCCACCTCAGGCCTTTGAATTCACAGTCTCAGATGACACTCCACTGCAGAGTTGGGGGTGAGATGCATTGTCAGAGGCGCTGTCCTTTGGATGAGATAAGAACAATAAATTGCATTTATATATTGCGCCTTCACTTCGAAAGGACATTCTAAGGTGCTGGGAAATTAAGGATTTACGCCTGAGCTGGGGGGCAAAATCAAAGGCGGTGGAAGGTAGGGAGGGTGGAGGAGGAAAGGGGACCAAAGGCACGGTCGAAAACAAAGGTCTTGAGACGGGCCGAGAAGGAGGCAAGGGAGTGGGTGAAGCCGAGAGGCTCTGGGATGGAGTTCCTGCGGGTGGGGGCACAAAGGCTGAAGGCCCGACCACCGATGGTGGAGCAGGCAAGGTGGGGGACATTGAGGGAGTTTCTCCAAGGGTTCTGGCCCCACAATCCCCCAGGTGAAATATAGGTCATTCAGTTCACAGCTTTGTGGGGTTTGTGGCTGTGCACAAATTGGCAGTGCTGCGTTAACATAGTGACTACACTTCACAGTGAATCACGTGAAGCATTTTGGGACGTCCTCCCAACCCGAAAGGCGTCACATCAAATGCTGGGATGGCTATCGCTCAGGCAGTGGAACGTGCTGTGTAAAGACCGTCTGTGTGAAGGACAGTGAGTAGCTGATGGTTACCCTCCCCAGGTACTTCCAGTCCAGCAGGTCTGAGAGACGCTCAGTGCGGTTCCTCTGGATGATGCGCTGACGCCGGGTTTGCTGACAGAAGCTGTAGATGAACGAGGTCAACTGGTTACACGATTCATCCAGAGACTTCACGTGCCGATCGAGGATGTAAATGCCTGAGGAGAGAGCAAAGGTGAGCGCCCGCCAGGCAGAATAAACAACAATAATCCTTGCAATTAATATAGAGCCTTATCACGACTTTGAAACGCCTCAAAGCGCCTCCCGGAATGTACTGTAAAGTGGATTGCCTGTGTATTTTGTGCCAGCTGTATACAGTGGGTGTTATTTGCTCTAAAGCAGCTATTTCTTCCACGCACAGCGTTGCAGGATGTTCACTAGGCAGGAAGGTGCATCCATTGCTCTTGACATAAGTGCTAGAGGCTAATTCTGTTAAAAAAATAAGCGTGAACAGACTGGTCCTCTCACTAATGTCATTATCACGTGACACATCCCTCACAGGGGCTGCATGTGGACTGCAATCGGCCCATTTGTCAAGAGTGGAGCATTTTATGCAGGAGCGAGGTGAGGTGTTTGTGAGTACAGCAATTATATTAATTTCAGCAATGACTGAACGCCGTGCCCCACTGATCTCATTACTCAACGTGAATAATACGCCACAGAAGGAACATGGATACGGAGCGCCTGAGAGACGATAGGTAAAGTCAGCCCTTATGTCTGTGTGTTATTAAGTTAGGGAGCTGGGCACAAAGTTAGAGTACGTCAGTCCCTCTAATGCTCTAATCCCTCACTGTGATTTACAGTAATTCCTCATTGTAACGACATTTAAAACACATTATTGATGTCACTCAATCCCTCTTATCCATTATGTACACCCAAGAGAAGCCAACGTGACTGATCCAAGTGAATCTTTTTCCGTTAAAGCACTCAAAGACACTTGGATGTATGGAGTGGGGTGGGGGCAACATAATGGGGGACTCAGCAATGGACAGGGTTAGTACAAGTAGAGGATGACAGATAAGAGATGGAGAGAGAGACAGAGAAAAGCCATGGTGTATATTCTGCTTCATTCACTAATGACAGCAAATAGTGTGCTTCTAAGTAACTGATTCAATTTTCTAGATATAATTTAGTCGTGTATGACTATTGTCACTTAATTTCAGTTTCACACTGTGACTCACCATAGGCGGCTGGGTCTGCGATGTGTTGCTGCATGAAGCAGCCAAACCCAGAGAGATTTGTGGTGACGCTGGGGATGCCCATCACTGTACACTCCGCTGCAAAACACAACATCAACAGTGAAGTGGATAGAGACAGCATCAACGGTGAGTGTGGCAACAGCAGATAGTTATACAATACAAATTACATTTACACAGCGCCTTTCAGGTCGGGAGGACATCCCAAGGCACTGGACAGTCAGGGACCCGAGCTGGGGGGCGGGATCAGGGTGCGTGGAGGGCAGGGAGCGTGACCGAAGGCTCGGTCAAAGAGGAGGGTTTTGAGACGTGCCTTGAAGGAGGCAAGGGAGGGGAGCGAAGCGAAGGGAATGTGGGATGGAGTTCCATAGGGTGGGGGCAAAGAGGCTGAAGGCCCGGCTGCCGATGGTAGAGCAGGCCAGGCGGACCAAAGCACTTCTCCAAGCACTTCACAAGGAAAGAAAGGGTCAGATGTTCAGGGAGGAAAGAGTGCGTGTGACTGTAAGCACAGTCGATGAGGTAGGTTTTCAGGGGGTGGGAGGATTAGAGTAACACGAGAATCCTTGCAGTTGATACCGTGTCTATAATGTTGACACACCTCAAAGCGCTTCACTGCTGAAGTGTAATGCGGTCACACAGTATGCTGTAAAGTGTAATGCGGTCACACAGTAATGCCCCACAAACAGCCATGATTTATCAGGAGGATGTTGGCCAGGACACCAGGAGAGAGAAACTCCCTTTAAAGTTTGAACAGTGTCATTAATCCCCAATTGACGATACAGAGCTCGGAGTGTCAGTGGACTGTGAGCTCAAAGTGGCTCAAATTTCTGACTCAGGGAACACTGTTACCAATTGAGCTAAGGTCATACTGAAATGGTTTCAAGAGAAGGTGGCATCAGCACAGGGATAATAGCATAAAGTGGAAGGGTGGTTTGAGTCGATATCTCCAGCGGGGGAACGAACACCAGTAAAGAACACGATGGGAGGAGAGCAGGGAAATAGGATTAGAGCGGAGAGCTCCAGTGTGTGAGTGAGATCATGTACAGATATGATGGGCCAATAGCAGTATGACTACAAAATTAAAATAGTGTCTCGTCAGCAGAGCGATTTCAAGCCAAAAATTCGAGGCTGAAAATTCTGTCCATTTCTTAAGTGTGCAAAAAAACATTTTGTCTCACAATTTAAGAGTGACAGTGATGGGGATTGATCTGTGTGTGTAACTGAACGGAACGCAGTATCAGAGATGTGAACTAGTCACATGCTGCCTTTCTGCACCAACGTGACAGACCAACAAGTTCCACCAATATGAAGCTCCCATACTGACTGACGTGATGATCGACGCTACAGAAGGTCACTAGCTGGAAGATTATAGTGCTTTAGCGGCTGCTTTAGAGCCTGTGAGCTCTACACGGGAGTCACAAGAACCCTGGACCATTCGCATTTTCTGTGACAGTTGGTGTATTTATCTCCAGTTAATTTACCTTCTGTGTCTTTCACTGGCTAATTGGTGTCTGGATTAAGTGCTACATTACGCTCGAGGCAATGCTAATTACCCTCATTTTCTGTGGCTGTTGCTTTACAAATGGAGACTGTCTCCTTTGAGGCCATCTCCAGGTGGAGTTAGGATACTTCTAACCATAGGAAAGCACTGGATTGAGTCAGCGAGCGTGGCTAGACGGTCAGAGACGCTTAGTGTCCTGGCCAGCAATCATCCATATTCATCTCATGGCTGTTTGTGGGAACTTAGTGTGCAAATTGGTTGCCGCGTTTGCCTACAAAAACAGTCACTACACTTGACAATAATTACTCGTGACCCACTTTGAGATTTGTTAACGCGATAGAAAAATGCCAGTTCTTTTATTCTAACAAAAGAACAATTCCATGGAGCAGTAGAGTGCATGTGTGGTGGGGGGCAGGTCAGGATGATACTCAGTTATACCAGACAACTCTTTTGCAAACACCGGCTGGCAGAGTGGAACGAGTGCATGTTGTGAGGGACTGGACATAATAATAATAATAATAATAATAATAATAATAATAATCAAGACGTCTGAAAGGGCTTCACAGAATATACTGTGAAGTGAATTAACTGTATATTTCGTGGGCAAAACGTGGCAGCCAATTGCATACAGCAGCGTCCCCACAAACAGTCGTGGATTGAGTGACCAACGTTCTTTTGAAGGGATTTTTACCCCTGGAAAGTGATCTACCAATCGACTAACAACCGGGTTCCTATTTACTGCTAGGTAACAGAGGAGTATAGAGTAAGCAAACTTGCCTAAGGTTTCGCCCCGGCAGGGAATCGAACCCGCGACCTCTCAACTTGCTCTAATCACTACGCTCTGGATCTCCAGGACACGAATCTCTGGGGAAATCCACCAACGTACCAGGAATCCATCAGAACCGTGAAACCCGGCTTCTATATCACTACAGCACAGAGTCTCCCTCCCTGACTGGGACTCACCAGGAGTGTATCCCCACGGTTCATAATAGGAAGGAAAGACGCCCAGATGGCAGCCACGCACAAACTCCTCGTAATCCAGAGGGAGCAGCGGGCTGGTAGATGACAGGAACTCTGGGTGAAAGATGATCTGGAGAAGGAATAAGATACATTTATTAACAGCTCCGTCACTCATCCTCCCCTTGCTGTCCCCGGCTCACCGGCGAGGGGTGGAAGTGTCCTGAACACCTTAATGCGAGCGTGGGTCTGACTGGACAAGCACCGGGAAAGCTCTCGATGCTTGTGACCGAGAGCTGCCAGGTTACCATTGGATAGAGCGCCTCTCACATGGGGCCCGCACCTTGACTCGGTCAGTTGCGTTATTGAACAATCTAATTCTTCGGACGGCTTTCAGGATCTGGTCGTTGGAATCATCCAGCATGTTGTGCGTGCAGACGGGAGGCAATGTGGTGCGCTGAGCGGGGAGAAAAAAAGACACAAGGGCAAAACGTCAGGGATTGAGTTTTTAGTAAAACCCCGATCTGCTAAACCAGGAGCCAAACACACAACCTGCCTCATCGAACAAGATATTCTGTCAAATCTGGACGAGGAAAGGAGAAAACGGGAGTGCATTTGCACCCTCGTTTCTCTCCATTTCGCCCAACAAACACACAGTCGATTCACTTTACAGTATATTCTGTGAAGCGCTTTGAGACGCCTTAAAGACGTGATCAGGCGCTGTATCGAATGCAAGGATTATTATTATTATTGTTAATATTACTGAGAACTTACCTGAGTGGCATATATTGCTCTCTTCATCAGAGTGAAGTCCTCCCGATCCAGCATGTTTTTGATGTCAGGCATCTCACCTCTGCAACACAAACAGGGAGAGTGAGCTTTCAGTCGCTGGCAGGCAGGAGTTTTAGCCCGAGATGCTGAATTCCATCCTGGGGAGCGACCCCCATTATACAGGGCGGTTCCATCTATTTAAACCCTGTTATAATGCGTCCGCCAAACAAAATGGCCACCCAGTCCCACGTTCGGGTCGTCAGGTTGCCGCTGACATCACTTCTGGCTTCCAATATGAAGCTGGCCAGCCCATGGCAGAAGTGTCCCACTGGTCCTCCAACTGTGGGTCCAGAGAGCAGAGCCTTAAGCACACTCGAGCTTTACAACATTTACATCTACGGCCAATCCTGGAAAATGTTCTTGTGTGAACCTTGACAGTGAGTGTTGGGAGGCTGTTTGACCATCGTGACCGTGTTATTGTATTGAAGATTGCGTAGCGATAAGGAACAGCAGTGCGTCTTATGGTTGATATTTCATTGGGATTGATAATGAATCGGACATTTCCAGCTTAGACCGAGTGGTGATCCATTCAGTGCTGCAGAAGTACTTACACCAAGAGCGACTCATAAAGGTTTTTGCCAAACTTCTCCTTGATCACATTGGCCGTGTCCCTGTAACATAAGACGGGAAACTTTAAGATTCCCAGATCAACACCTGCGGCAGAGACCAGGCACTGCCTACATCAACAACAACAACAAGTCCATTCATGCTGTGCTCATCTACAAATACACAGTCACTGCACTTCTTGGAAAACTCTCAACATCTCAACGACGCGATAAGGCTCTGTATCAAATACGAAGATTATTGTTAACAATAATAATCCTTTGCATTTGATATCGCGCCTCATCACATCGTTGAGATGTCTCAAAGCGTTTCACAGAATATATTGTAAAGTATATCTTGCGGGCAAACTTGTTCTAATCGTGACGATGGGAAGAGCGTGATGGGGGGGGTCTCGGGGGGGGGGGGGGGGGGGATCCGCGGAGTCTCACCAGAGCTGCTTGCGCACTGCCTGGCCCTTCAGTGTTTCCACGTTGAAGTTGTTGGTCTTCGCGGGCATGATGAAGAACACCACCACCGTCACGTCGCTCTGGTTGACCTGTCCCACAGGGGGCGGTGCACATGTTAACACACGCACATCACACTTTCACACCAAAACTCTCCACAGAGATGCTCACAGCGCTCCGAGCAAGTACAGGCAGACAAGGCTATCAACAAAGAATATGGGATTCTAGATTTTATACAAACGGGAACTGAAAATAAACACGAGGAAGGGATGGTAAATTTATACAAGGCGGCTGCAGGTGAATACTGAGTGCATTTTGGGAAGCTCAACGCAGGTTATATACAGAGTAAAGATGGAGCTGATAACTAACTCTATAACTTAGTTATTCAACTGGATAAACCGGCTTATCCGTGGGGAAGCTGTGCTGTTTTTGCTAATGTAGAACACACAATGAGTAGAATGCACTGAAGGCTTTAAGGATTGATAGATAATATTCTGCTGTGATACAGCCTGACGACCTTTATGAAATGATCACAAGATTGGTTGGGTTTGAAGGCCCTTCAGCCCATTCAATCTTATCTTTCCAGAACACCTACCCTCCATCCTTAATCATAGCATCAGCTGTTTTTTCTAAGTGAGTCCCAGTGTCCTGGCCTCAACCACCCTTCCTGGCAACCCTGTTCCAGTCATTAATTACCCTCTGGGTAAAGAAAGACTTACTGATATCTGCCCTGAAATTGCCCTTTGTAACTCTAAATCTGTGTCCTCTTGTTCTACTATCTTGGTGCATCCTAAAGTATTTTCGGAGTTTACAATCCCAGTTAATGACCAGATCTGCATGCAGTACTCTATATGTGGCCTGACCCAGAGCACTGTACGGCCTGAGATGATGTCTAGGGGTCTAAACTCAACTGATTTAACAACATCGCCCAGTTCCTGTCTGTCTTGTTTATTGCTGCCTCGTACTTTTTGATACAAGACCGAACGCACGAGGTGAGATTTCTGAATGGACCTTTAGCACAAGTGTAGGTGAGTCACCTAACCTCACAAGAGCTGCTCTTCCCTGAGCCGCGGGTCAGGAACACGTGAGACCAAACTGGTATGACAACCTGGGCTTCACACATGGAGAGAGAAAGGTGTGATCTGCTGCCACCCAGTGGGAACACACTGCCACTGATGGAGAAAGGTCGAGAAATTGGTCAGAAAATAGAGCCAAGTCAGGTGGGAGGAACGTTGAACAATCACATTGTCTTCACTGCACTACTATCCATGGTTACCCAATGAAAGCATTATTCAGATCTCGGCACACGTATTATTCTGGTGCCTCCAGAGCAACAACAGCGACAACTTGCATTTATACAGCGCCCTTCATGCGGGGTAGTGTCCCCGAGCGCTAGGACGATGACAATAATAATAATAATCCTTGCATTTGATAGAGCGCTGTTCACGTCGGGAGGACGTCCCAAAGCGCTTCACAGAACACACTGTAAAGTGAATTGACTGTATATTTGTGGGCGAACGCGGCAGCCAATTGCACACAGCAATGTCCCACAAACACTCGTAGATTGAAAATGACCAATTTATTATTGTTTTTGGTTTTGGAGGGATTATTATTAGGCTCTGTGTGGAGTAAGGAAACTTGCCCAAGGTTTCGCCCCCTGCCTGGAATTGAACCCAGGTCTCTCACTTGCAAAGCGAGTGCTCTAACCACTGAGCTACAGGACTCCACGATGGCAGAGTCTGTCACCGATCTGGGGTGAGACGGAGGGGGGAAGGTGACCGTAAGCACCGTCACAAAAAGGATGGGCTTTAGGAGGGATTTGAAAGTGGGGAGCGAAGGGGACAAGGCGGAGGGATTGAGGGAATGAGTTCCAGAGTTTCGGGGCGTAGTGGCTGAAGGCACAGCCTCCGATGGTGGAGTGGAAGGACAAGGGACAAACAGGAGGCTGGAGCCAGCCGAGCCGGGGCAGCGGGTGGTGGAGTGGGCAGGGGGGGGGGGGGAGGGGGGTGTCGGTAAGCAGATTGGATAGGTAGGGAGGTACGAGGGCATGAAGAGATTTGAAAACGAGTGTGAGGATCTAGAAATCTATCCGTTCGCGATAGGGAGCCAGTGGAGCCTGGCTAGAACTGGTGAGATGGGGGTATGGAGTTTAGGGCAGATGAGTTTGCGGGCGGCGGAGTTTGGATCAGATGGATTTTGTGGATGGTGGAGCTGACAGGGACAAGGCAATGTGCTACTTCATCAAACATGGTAGGTGTGAAACTCCTCAAGGTCAAACAAACTGTGCAGGAGCTTTCCCCGAACCATTAGCACGAATAAAGGTTAGACAATCAGGTTCTTTGATAACACTGAACCCAAACGGCACAATGCACAGAACTCCAGCATCAAATACTGACTGGATACAATGAGAAATGGAGAATACTGAAAGCACCCGAGTCTGACCTTGAGCAGGTAATTGAGACGTGCCAAGGCTTCCAGGAACACATCAGCCCCCTTGTTTGAGAACTCGTATCTTCCAGCAATGAAGAAGAATAGCGTCTTGTCCAGGTTGAAGTTCAGACATCTGGAGAAAGAGAGGAGAGAGAGAGAAAATGAGTTACAGAACATCTGTGGCGTGCAATGAGCCAAACCAATACAGTACAAAATTACATTTGTATAGTGCCTTTCCCATCGGGAGTACGTCCCAAGGCTCTGGACAGTCAGGGAGTTAGTGGATTTAGATCCCGCTAACAACTAGTCAACTGCTAATTCCTCACTCCCTCCTTCCCACAATTGTCGTCTGAGCTGATAGCCGCTATGCTCTGTAACCTTCTCTCCCAGCTTCAAAACCACCTAGGAAATCTTTTTGGATCGTGTCTTGAGTCAACAACACCCCAGACTCTTCCCACATTCTTCCCTGCTCGGTAATTCCTTTCCAGATGTGAAGCACGTTGAGATGTTCACGCCATGCGAAAGGCGCTGGAGAATTGTGAGCTGACGCTGGAGGCTCTTACCCGTAGAAGTGGCCTCTGACGAACTCCTGGATCACGGCCTTGCTGCGGGCATGCAGGTTCTGGAACTCGTGCATGGCTGAAAACTTCTTGATGTTCAGTCCATTGGGTGTCACCACCTCTGAGCCACGAGAGAGAGAGAGAAAGTCAGGCTCAAAAACCTGCAGCCAGCACCGAGCCTCCCTCACACCTCTGTAAACATTGATGGTGTATGACCCCATTGCCCCCTTCCTGCCCGCTGCCCCCTCCCTACCCTGAGTGAGCAGGAGAGTGGGATATAAGTTGATGTTTTCTTCCACATCAACCACTTGATGGCTGAATGATCTGTCTCAGTGTGGAACTGATACAGCTCTATGATTCTCCAGAGGCAGCGCTGCTGTGAACTGATTTGACACTGCGTGGACCTTGCTTCCGTCAGTCAGAGGGGCTCACCTGGCTTTCTCTTCAGCAGATGCTGTGCTTCCATGGCTGTGATTTCAGATACCGTGGTGAAGATGTGTGCGCAGTGCACGGCAGCCCGTTCCATACAATACCTGTGGTAAATCTGCCTCGTCCCCGCCTCCTTGTCAACATCAAACTGGTGAGGCGAGAAGACAGAAACTCAGCAAATACACTGGGCAATTGGGTGACTCGTGTGCTGGCTCATTCCAGACTGGAGAGGGGGAGCAATCTGAACCCAGCCAGAGACTACTGAGATTTTGACTCTATATTTATATCCATTCACACTCTGGCACCTCCCGACCTCTCCGACCTCCTCACTCCCCCAATCCACCACACTCCGCTCGACTGGCACCGGCCTCCTGCTCGTCCCTCGCACTCTCCGCCCCACCATCGGAGGTCGCGTTTTCAGCTACTACGACCCTAAACTCAGGAATACTCTCTCTCAATCCCTCCGACTTGCCCCCTCTCTCCTCTCTTTCAAGTCCCGCCTGAAAACTTTCCTCTTCGACCGTGCTTTCGGCCACCTCCTCCCCTTCCCCACAGGCTCGGAGTCAGGCTCCGCCACTGTTCAGCACTCTGAGATGCTACCCTGCATGGAGGACGCTATATAGGTGCAAGCTGTTGTTGTTGTATATCTAACTTAGATTATAGCTGACCTGGAAATGTGGATGAACAGTGTAAAGGGAGCTTTACTCTGTATCTATATTTTTTTAGTCAGCTGGATGTCTGACAGATGCAGAAACCCATCAACACGCTTATCAGTATCTAAACCAACCTTATCCATCCTACCAAGATGGAAACTCTAGAGACGTTCATTAGAATGGAATGCGAACTATTTCCTTGGAATGACGCATCCTGTTTATTTAATTCTAGAAACTATTAGGTTGGCAAGATCCAAGGCATGGGGAACCCAGAGTGTGTGTTGGGGTAACTGCTGGACTCTAACCAGCTAAAACCAAATAGCTTGCCATTGAGAGCACCGCCTGTCAAGCTTTCCCACTGCTTATCCAGGTAGGACCACACTGCTGGTCAAGGTTTTGTCTTGCAGGGTTAACAGATGAGTGGGAGGATTCCCTGTCCCAGTGACTGGTCTGCCCTTCCAGGTCTTGCTGATGAGGCAGCCTGGCTGTGTTGTCGTCAGCAATACTCTGGAATACTGCAAACCCGCTTGGATGGACTGGAGACACCGTCACACTGAGGGTGGGATCAATTCCAACATTCCAATACCAAACAGTCAGTTCAGCTCCAAGGAGACCCTATCAATAGTGTTTCACTCACTGAATTGCTCTGAAGTGCCGTGATTCTTATTCAAACAAACACAACAGTTAATCTGCGTCAGCAACGTCCCATACACAAGGATGAGATAAAGGACCAATTAATCTGTTGTTTGGCAAATTTGGATGAGGAAGGAATGTTGGCCAGAACACTGGGTGAGTTAAAGATGAGATCTTGTCGAAATGTTTTACCACAGCACGGCTTGCACAGCAAAGCCATTTCATTTGTAACATGAGCTTTCATATGGAGTAAACAACCTGGTCTTAGTTCACTTTGAAAGTGATTGTGGAAGTGGAATTTCCAGGCGAAGAAATGCTTATTAAACGGCTACTGTGCGGGATCTGGATCTGGATTGAAGCCCAGGGAGCAGGGAGGGCCCTCAGACCCAAAGCTGTCTGCAGGAAGGGGCACAGTTAGTGTGTCATCGTGACTGACAGCTCTGCTCAGGGGAGGCCCCTTGGAAATAAACTGGTGGGGGAATGAAATTTGAGCAGAAGCTTGGAGAAGGGCTGTAAATCTTAAGCAAAAGCCGAGATGGGGGGAGGGGGTAACCTGACCAAGCTGTTGATTACCTTCTATGTAAAGAAATATTTCTGGATTTACTTTCTCAATCCTGTTTGGTATCTGGTGTATCTCCTCTGAACCATCTCCTTATGAGGCTGAAGAGTCCTTGTTCCTAGACCATGGCTCATACCTCCGGATATCCCTCCGGATTAGCTTTGTGGCTCTCGTCTGCATTGCCACTCGGGCCTCAGTCCCCCTTATGTCGAACCATGCGCTACGCCAGATATGGCCTGCTCAGAGCTTTGTACACTTGAGCATGGCATTTGGGACCTGAACTCAATTTTAATCTGGAGCAGAAGAAATAGGCTTGATCAACTGCATCGGACTTCTCTTGTTCTGCATTGGTGTTTGGGATGGATGTGAAGCCGGGCCCTAGAGCGCGGAACACGGCAACATTGAGCCCACCGACCTTACGTTCATCTTTAATTGAGTTCCTGTGCGTGCTCAGGGAAATATAACCTGAGCATTAACTCAGGCAGAACTGCAAGGTGGTCTAACATACCTCATGGTCTCATTTCAATGGTATATTGTCTTTAAAATTTATGGAAAATTCTTCGAATCAGTCGTGATTTGGGAACTGTTTTCCGCGCATCTTTTATTTTAAAAAAAAGAAACTTAAGTTAAGAGTGAGTTAAGAATGAAGATAAGAATTTTCCAAAATGCTGTGTGGTTTAAGGCTGGTGTGGTTGCGAGGGCCTGGAAGGACCTTCCCCGAGCATCTGACGGACACACTTACACGTTGAAGGTTATTGTAAAAGTCGACGTTCCCCGCGCAGAGATAGCGCCCCAGCAGCGTGGCGTGGGTGGTGAAGATTGTCGCCAATTGAAGCTTCCGGATGCGACTCAAGAGGAGTCCGACTCCTGACAGCCACTCGTGGAAATGGGCCAGGATGAAGGGGTTGTCTTCACACTGAGCGATGAACTGAGGAGAGAGTGGGGGGAAAGGGTGTACGTTTCAAACCAAGAACAAGGACCAAATGTATTTCACCAACAGACACCACTGAATGTTACAATCTTCACATCACTTACTTTGCCGTCATAAAGAAGCATTAAAAACACTTGATCTGCAAATAATAAGTCCCATACAGAAGGCACGGTGTGAGCGACGATGTTTGCAACAACAACTTATATTTATACAGCACCCGTCATCCGGGGTTGTGTCTTGGGAGTCCTTTTCAAGTGATCGCACTGGGATGAACGCAATCATCATTGTGCCATCAGCCAGGGCTCGCTCTGCACAGCCCTCCTCAGAGTCTGTGTTAGGGGTAAACTGAAGCTATGACTGCATGTCGCAGTTGGGAACTCTCTGAGACAGGCAGTGGGATTGTCGACGTGCCCCCACCAGGAGCTGCAAACAGGGACTTGGGTTGGCAGGTGGTGACTCCTGCAGTCAGTCAGGTCTGGGTTAGGGCTGAGCTTCTGCGTCTATCACGCTGCATGTCTGGCCACCTGCAGGAGGAGCAATCTATGACTCTATGTCGCTATTTAAGGGTCTGTTCACAGTTTCTGCATTAGAAACATAGAAACAGGAGTAGGCTATTCAGCCCCTCAAGGCTGCTCCGCCATTCTATAAGATCACGACTAATCTGTACCTCAAGCATTCTCAGTCTCCCTTTGGTTGAGGAGAGGGTAAGAGCGGGAAGGTTAGGGCATGAGGTAATGGCATATACAGCGATATAACTTGAACAAGCAGCACATAGGTTAAGTGGAGGCAGATTTCTCTGGACTTACTTCTCCCAGAAACCATGTAGTGAGAAATCCGAACAGAACAGCATCATTGGCCTCCTTATCAAACCAGGGGATTCCTATATTGCACGTGTCCCACAGCTCAGTCTTCCACTGATCCAGCATCCAGCTCGAGGCACTGATGTCTATCAGCACTACATAGGGACTGCCGTCAATCAGCCATCTGCCGAAATACATCTGTAAAATGCAACACAATCCCCGTCAGACACATCTGGGGCAAGGCAAAGTCTCAAAGCACTTCACACAGCTGGCTGGACACCTGAGCTGGGGGGCTGTGGGTTTGGGAGTTGAGCAGAGTGGGGGCCAAAGATGACTAAAGGGAGGGGGTAGGGGGGGTCAAACTGTTAAGTCTTAAAGGGCAGGCTTTAAAACCGAGGAGTAGCACGGACTCCTGGATACAATTACAGAGAGTGGGGGCAGAATGTCTTAAAGCTTGCACGCTGATGTTTACTGAGGGCAGGGGGCGGCTGGGCTGGTTGGGTTGCAGAGGGTCGCAGAGGAAGTGTATGGTGAGGCCGCGGAGGGATTTGAATGTAAGGACAAAGATCTTGAATTCGATTTACTGGGGAACGAGAAGGCAGTAGAGCCAAACAAGGATTGGGCTGATAGACTCACAGAGCCAGGACCTTGCTGCAACACTGTATAAGAATAATTATCAATGTATTATTTGTAATATTATGTATATTATTATTATAAAAGGTTCCTAGTGCCTTGCAGTAACATAATAACAAAGTGTAAAAAGATTATAAATACATTAGTTATTGCCAAAAGATACTACAATAAACTTTCACACAGAATTAATGGCAAGAAATTCCACCAGGCTCTAGGTGCAATAATAATCCTTGCATTTGATATAGCGCCTTATCATGACTTTGAGACGTCTCAAAGCGCTTTACAGAACACACTGTAAAGTGAATTGATTGTATATTTTGTGCGCGAAACTCGCCAGCCAATCGCACACAGCAGTGTCCCACCATCAGTCGTGGATTGAAGTGACCAATTTATAATTTTTTGGGGAGGAATTATTAACTCTGGAAAAGCGATCCACCAATCGACTAACAACCGTGTTCCTACTTACTGCTCGGTAAACAGAGGTGTGTGGAGTAAGGAAACTTGCCCAACATTTCTCCCTGCCGGGAACTGAACCCAGGTCTCTCGCTTGTGAGGCGAGTGCTCTAACCATTGAGCTACAGGTTTACAGTACTTCAGATAATGCAGCATATGGTTACAAAACTTTAAACACATTTATATCAAATATGTAATTACAGAGGAAGCAGCTGAATAGTTTCATTTTTAAAGAATGCAAATGATGTTGGGTGGGAATGTGTAATAGAAATATCTATTCCTTAACCCATGCCATGTAGTTTGCTCCCTGCTAGGTGCCAATCCTCCAAGATGCTCCCAGTACCTTGCAGCCCTTGGCGTTCATGCAATCGATGGTGCGTTTAATGGACGGGATGGGTGGGTCGATCAGCTCCACTTGAGCCCTGACGCTGTTCTCGAAGTACGGTCCAATCAGGAAATAGTTCTCGCCAAGTGCGTCCACAGTCATCTTAGCTTTGGTTTGAATGACAGTGTAGATTCCACCCACTGAAACAGAGGGACTTCAATGAGATAGATTAAAGGCATAGGCAAAGGCATAACAATAAAGGAGTCCTGGAGTCCTTCTGTTTCAGCAGATTGACTTCAGGATCCTGGACCTCATCTTCACTAACATGCCCCTCCCCATCTTTGCAATCTCCTCCGTCCGAATTCACTCGGGGGGGGGGGTGGGGTGTTTGGGATCTCTTTGGGGCTGATGTTTTCCAAATTGTAGTGCCTGACAATGAAATATCAGAATCCAGTTCACCCTCTGTGTTGGTATCGGTTATCTAGTTCCTGAACCATGTGGGTTGCAGAACTCCAGGCGCTATTGATAACATATCAGCCAACCTGGCTCATCATCAAGACTTGGAGGGGCAGGAATTATTTTCCATTTGGTTCCTGTTAACCTTTGCAACCCAAAGCTCTCACAGGTCGTGTGGTCCAGGAGGAGGAAGCTTGAAAGACAGTTCTCTCAATGGCAAGGTGTAAAGGTTAATTGTGTTTATAGTAATACAGAATATTCCCTAGGCAAGAGGATTCAAATACAGAACTAACAACATCTTGCATTGATATAGCGCCCTTCATGCAGAGTAGTATCTCAGAACGCTTAAGAGTGGTGGAGCCTGATGCCGAGCCCTGGCAATGGGAGGAAGTGACCGTAGGCAAGAGGAAGAGGAAGGACTTCTGGTGTGATCTGAAAACAGGGAAGTAGGGGGCAAAGTGGAGGGGTTGAGGGAGAAAGTTGCAAAGTTTCAGGGGTAGTGGCTGAAAAAGCACGGCCGCCGATGGTGGAGCAAGGGTGGGGTGAGGGATAAGCAGGAAGCTGGAGCCAGCCAAGTGAAGGCGGTGGGTAGTGGAGTGGGGAGTAAGCAGGTCAGAGAGGTAAATTGAATTAAATGAGATGAGAGAAGAGTGCTTTGTTTCAAAAATACCGAGGCTCTGCTGCTTCACATGTCTTTACTGGTGGTGTGAGTCCCACAGGATCTGTCAATGCATGAAGGAATATTAAATCTGGAATAACATCAGTGACTTAATTAGTTTTCAATTACCAGGATTAATTGGAATAGTGAATCCCAATGGAGCTCGAGACCTTTCTGTGTATTTAGTGCACTGGGAGTGCCAAAGCCCTCAATTACAGACCTGGGTTACACGAGTTTGCTCAGCTAGCACTGAAGAAACCGCATCACTTTAAATTCGGTTCAAAGTACTTCACCCCAGCTCCACTGGGATAATAATAGGGCAAAATTTGCTGTGCTAATATTGACTTTCTTTGATTGATTGTGTGATTACTCTACGCCAATCATGTGAAGGGCACTATATCAATGTAAGGGTCATTACTATTATTATTCACTAAAAATGCATCTGCCATACTCATCCACATCAGAAGGTTGTAGGTTCAAGGCCTACATTGGGATTGATCTATTAATCCTAATTAATCCACCAGTGAGTGTGTTCGGGGGGGGAGGGGCAATGTTGATGAGTATTTTCAAGTGGATGTTAAACACTCGCCCACAAAATAGACAGATAATTCACTTTACAGTACAGTATATTCTTTGAAGCGCTTTGAGACATCTCAATCATATAAGATTCTATATCAAATACAAGAATTATTATTATTATTATCCCATACAGCAAAAGAGAAGCAGGTTTCTCCTGGTGTCATGGCATGGCCAATACACCTACAGATAAATTGGTTATTCATTTCATGGCTGTTGGTAGAACCAAGATAGGTTTGACCTCCTCTCGTGTGTGGCGGGGGGCTGGGGGGTTTGGGGGAGGGGGGCAGGAGAGGTTAGAATTACAGCCAAATCCCACCTTGGTTCTACCAACAGCCTTACCTTATCGACACTCAAGGCTCACACATGAATAAAAGCCATTTGAACAAAGTACTGAAGGGCACCTGCGAAACTGCACTAGTGTATGGAAAAAAGGAGTTGAGCACCTTCAGGAGAAGGGGGAGGAAATAAGGTGGGGAGTACTGTGTTCAAATACTTTCGTCCTCTTTAAGGAGGCACTCTCACTCTGTATGATTTTGGGCTGTGTGGGTGTTGAGTAAATATTGGCACAAAATGTTAGAAATTCTGATAGCCTCTCCGCCCCCCACTTTGGAAATATTTAGCAGCATCTAGTGACAGAATTAAGTTCTGCACTCACACATCATGTCTCGATGTGTCCCAAATCTCATGTTCCGGATGTGACAGGTGTCTGCTCTCAGCTCCTAGTTGTACAGTAAAATGTCAGATGATTCAGTTACACCAAGAAAAGGTTAAATAAATTTGTAATAGAGTATATATAGCAATGTAAAAGCCTCGGACCAGCTGCGTTGTGTTATTTATGGGAAAGTTAATATTCCCTTTATGGTTATCTATATTTGGAAAATCACGACAAAGTGATATAAACAGCCGTGTAATAAGGATTGAGCTCTGACACGGAGAGCCATAGTTTGTGGGACAGACATTTGACCTCTGCTCATGAGTTGTGTGTGTAACAGGGGACGCGGGGGGTGGGGGGGTTAATAGTGAACTACATCTCCTGTAGCGTATGTGGAGCCCTGCCGAGTATTGGTTAGAGCACTCGCCTCGCAAGCGAGAGGATCCGGGTTCGATTCCCAGGCAGGGTGAAACATTAGGCACTTCTGTTTACCAGCAATAAGTAGGAACCCGGTCGTTAGTCGATTGGCAGATCGTTGTTCTGTGGGTAATAATCCCTTCAAAAAATTATTTGTTCACTCAATCCACGACTGTTTAACGGGACGCTGCTGTGCGCAATTGGCTGCTGGGTTTCGCACCCCCCCCCCCCCACTCCCAAAAATATACACATTACAGTATATTCCGTGAAGCGCTTTGAGACGTCTCGAGGACGTAATAAGGCGCTTATATCAAATGCAAGGATTTATCTTCTTATCGCTAGATCCGATCTCTTAACTCCCAAACTACCTTCTGGAGACCAGCGAACACGGGAGCAAGCCATTGCTTAGCCTCTGTGCAGGAGCTGTCAAGGTCAGAGCGGCCAAGGATAAATGGAAGGGAAATATTTTTTTCATACACACACGCACAGTAAACCAACTTGGGACATTTCGACTTGAGTCCAGAGTTTCCTTCTCCGCCGCTGCAACTAAACTATCCGCCCTGCATCTTGGAAAGCGGATTTAGTTGGCAATCTCACTGGTGGGGGGGGGGTCGGTCACAGTGTTGCTAAGAGTGGAAAGAGAAACAAGTGGCTGGTGAGCCACCGCCGCAAGGAGAAGGCAAGTTGCCGCAGTAATTAAAGCACAGCAGCACAGCAGCACTGGTGTTGGTCTAACCCCAGACACAAGGCTACGTGTTGCTGCATTTCCTGAGTTGCAGGAGGAGGAGGAGGAGGAGGGGTGGGGGTGGGGAGTCTCAGTTGGTTTAATGCTGCGCTGGGGGTGGGGGGGGGGGGGGGGGGGGGTTGTGCAGTGCAGTGCAGAGAGGGGCAGGGGCTTGCAATTGCCCATTGCCCACCTTACCTTTATTGGCCACTTCCCAGGCGATCTCGAAGAGGAAGAGGTTGTCAACTGGGAGCTCGTCCTCAAGGGCAGGGAAGGAGTCGTTGAAGGACATGGTGGCTGTGTGGCTTCACAGACAGCTTCTCTCTCTCTCTCTCTCTCTGTGTGGTGTGTGTGTGTGTGTATAAGGGTGTCCCCGTCCCCCCCCCACCCATCCACCTCACCCACCCCCTGGAGTGGAGCTCAGGAGCGAAGCTGCTGGAGAGAGCTGGACCTGGGGGTACAGAGCACAGCGCTCTCTCTCTCTCTCTCTCTGTCTCTCTCTCCCTGTGACCAGGGCTGAGGGCTGAGCGCTAGAGGGCTCTCACAGCTCCAGTCCAAGGCACCAATTGCAACGCTTGTGCCTTCCCAACTCGCTCACATCCTCCCTCCTGGACTGGTTCCTGATACCATTCCACACTCCCCACACACCCCCTTTGGCTTTAACTCAGTGCTTCCCCCCCCCCCTCCACCCACCCCCCCCCCCCACACACACTGGTTTTTACTATTGCTATCAAGACGTGAACATATCATCTGCCTCCTGAGCACAGCACTGCAATTGATTTCCTACCCACACACACACACACACACACACACTTTTTTTTTGTTGCAAATAAAATATTGCACTGCACCAGCCTGCAAGTCGATGCTAAAAGTCTGCAGGGGGGGGGGGGGGGGGGGAGTGTGTGTGGTGGGGGTGTGGGGGGGGGGTGGGGGGGGATGTGGGCAGGGGGTAACAGAGTGATGGAGATGAATCATCCTTTCTAAATACTGACAACAACAACAAGTTGCATTTAGAAACAGGAACAGGTCGTTCAGCCCCGCGAGACTGTTCTGCCGTTATATAAGATCAGCGCTGATCTGTACCTCAAGTCGTTTACCCGCCTTTGCTCCGTATCCCTTAATACCCCGACCCAAGAAATATCTATCGACCTCAGTCTTGAAAACGTGAATGGATCCAGCGACCGCAGCCTTTACGTATTTATGTGGTGCCCCTCGCACGGGGTAAACATCCCACAGCGCTTAAATCGTGAATTGTAAAGCTGTACCAATAACCTAACAAGGACTTGGATTTTTATAGCACCTTAACACGTTGCTTCAATATGCTTCACAGACTTAATGTGGATAGATATAAAGTACTGCAAGTAGGAAGTAAGAATATGAGTCACGTGCCCCAAACCAGCAGAACAGGACACAGGTTTAGCATTGCAAAGGGCAATTTCAGGAGACACAAAGACATATTTCTTTGCCCAGGGGGATGAGATAAAATGGGCCTTCTTCGTCCAAACTTGTGACCTTGTAACTAACCACTGTACGGTGAAGTGTAATGACTGCTTTTGTAGACAAATAAGGCAACCAGTACAGAAATGAAGTGCATTTGAGTGGAGTTAATACCTATTTGCATATACTGTAGTTAGTGCCTTTCACAGAAAGAAGCAGCTGTGGTACATTTGGAGTTAGGGAGTTAATTCCTGGATGCTGTCCAGTGGTCGCTGTGTATGTGTATGGCAACAGCATTCCCTCTTCCATCCCCTGCCAAATTGCTTGCGAAAACTCGTGTTGATACTAATGGAGAGCTTGCCCAATCCGAGCTGTCAAATCAGCAGAGAAACTAAAATGTTCATTTGCGAAATCGGTATAACAATGCAGGCCGGACTCTGACAAAACTCGAGAACTACACCTCCTACAACAAGTGCTCACTTGTTTGTGGGAAAGAGGCAAGAGATTATTTTGTTATTTTTTATTTTATGTATTATTTTATTATTGTATTTTTTTTGTTCTCACGCCCGCGTGCGTGTGCGCCTGTTATTTATTCGAGCGTCGTCCTGTTGCGTCCCATTCCGTGACTCGAACTCGCGATCACCCTCGCAACACGGACCCCAGAATTCCCCCCCTGGCTCAGCCTGCCCTCCCGTTCTTGCCTTAAGCTTCAGGCTAAGGTGGGCTGGAGCTGGTGGAAAATTCACTGATCCGGTTTGAAGTTGGAAGATTTTTACGATCGAGTAAGTGCTGTGCTGCCAAACTCTCTTTAAAATAAGCAGAGGTTGCCAGACAGAACAGAAATTAACCCACTAAAACTAGACACCGGATTTATTTGCACAAAATATAAAAAATTAATGATTAGTAATGGCTACTGTCACAATACATCACAATATCAGTTCGGAAATAGGTTGTTTATTCATTCAAACAGCTCAGCCCTTTAAATAATATCAATTTGGTTCAACTGTTGAACAGTTCTGTTCCGAACCCACTGAAAATACTGCAGTTTTTCTCCTCACAGCTGTTTTTATTCAGATTTTATGTCTCTGGGTCACTTCAGACTGAGATTTTTCCTCTCAGTCTGAAGTGACCCAGAGACGTCCGCCCACATATTAGGTCAAAATATGAGGCTTGAACTCATAACTTTCTGACCTGGAGGCAAAAGTGTTTCCAAATGAGCCAAGCTGATGTGAGTCAAGTACTGCAGACCAGTTTGGCTCTGACTGTAAACATCAAAACAGTCTCTATGAAGCAGTTTCCTGAGTCACATATTCTCAGGAGGTGGACGTCCTCCTGACGTGAAAGGCGATATACAAATGTAATTTGTTGTTGTAATATAATTGTCCAAACTGATATAATATAATGGTCCACACATTGCATTATCAAAGGTGCCATTTTTTGATTGAGATCTTAAACTGAAGTCCTCGTTTGCCTCTAGTTCATGTGAATGTTTAAAGCTCCATTGACACTCTTCGAAAATCGTAGAGAGTCTCTCCTGGTGTCTCCATTGCTTCGTGTGAGACATTATTGTACACAAAATTGCTGCAATATTTACCTACAAAAGTCTCTTAATAACTAAAGCGTTTCAACATGAAAAAGACATTGAGGAAAAATCTCAGTTTGAAGTGACCCAGAGACACAAAATCTGAATAAAAACAGCTGTGAGGAGAAAAACTGCAGTATTTTCAGTGGGTTCGGAACAGAACTGTTCAACAGTTGAACCAAATTGATATTATTTAAAGGGCTGAGCTGTTTGAATGAATAAATGACCTATTTCCGAACTGATATTGTGATGTATTGTGACAATAGCCATTACTAATCATTAATTTTTTATATTTTGTGCAAATAAACCTGGTGTCTAGTTTTAGGAAGGAGAAAAATAATCCTTGCATTTAATACAACACCTTTCATGTTAAAAAAACCTTTCATTGTTAAAAGAAACAAGAGGGGAGGTGAGGAGAAATTTTTTCACAGTGAGTTGTTCGGATCTGGAATGCATTGCCTGAAAGGGCAGTGGAAACCGATTCGATAACAACTTTTAAGAGAGTAGATAATTATTTGGGGAGGACAAGTTTGCAATGGCCTCCTTCTGTGCTGCATAATTCTATGATTCTATATCAGGAAGACATCTCAAATCACTTCACAGGATTTGATGCAAATTTTAGTGACTAGATTTTGCAGAAAGAACAAGAAAAACACTCTACTTTGTCCTGATGGCACCCATAATGACACTCAATGGGAGTTATATCATTACTTTGAATGTTAGGAGAGCTTTAAACACCTTTTAAATAAATATTGGTGATGATGCCCTTTTAACACAATCGCCAGATAACATTATAATTAACAAGGACACAAAATCATTTGCTTAAAATATTTTATTTTAAATATTATATAGTTAATATTAATACAATGTAATTATATACTATATATTTGTATCAAGTAGTTAAAATAAAGTATATCAATTAGATTCATTAAAATATTCTACCCTGGAAAGCGAAAATACCAACAACTGGATGCAGCAGCCTGACTTAAAAGGCTAAAATCGGATTTAAAAACTCTTTTCTATTTCAATATTATGAATCTAAAATCAATTTTCTCTTGCAATATATTAAGCTAAAATCTATTTTGTAATTCAATTCATGAATTTAAAATCTATTGTTTCAATATTATGAATTTAAAATCTATGTTATGCTTCAATATCATGCATTCTCTTTCGCAATATATTAATTTAAAATCTCTTTAATTGAAAGATATTAATATCCATCAAATCACTGAACAGGAAACTAATTTTGAGATCAGGAATGTTTTAAGTCGTTATGGTATTTTATAACACCAGTGAGCTTTTTAACAGAGTACGTTTCACCGAGTCCATACAAGGTTGAGCATTACTTTAGCACTACATTTGTAGCAGTAAAATAACTATCACATTCTGTTTACTTAGATGATCTGAGAGCCAATGGGTTAATAACACTTCTTTTAAAATGTCTGTTTTATCAGGCTCTAAATGTGCAATGCACAGGCCCGGAACACAGTGCCAACTGACTACTTGAAGAAATATATTCACAGAAGTCAAACTTTTGAAGCTATTTCTGTCAATATTACATAACATCCTCCAAAATACTGTTCTGCATATTTTAACTACTGGCAAAGTTTCACTACTTGTCTTCCGCAGGCTGCAATATCACCATGCAACCGCTCACAGCCTGCAAACAGTCACAGACAGCACCTGTATACCCATGCAGTGGATGTGTGATGTGTAGCATGATGGAAGCAGGGCTTAAACGCGGAAGTTAAAATAACTATCACACCTAAATGTATATTGAGAGGTCATGGTATGATAAAAAACCTCACAAAGGTTATCTATGGCATTCTGAACGAGATATCAGACCCATAGTGTACAGTGCTGTAGACCTTTCTTGATCAGGACAATTGTGATGAACACACACCAAGAATCACTTCTGTTGAATTACTGAGACCTTAAAGTTAAAGTTGACGTTGAATGTTAAGTGACAATTCACAGGTGCAAATAGATTGAACTCTCACTGGTCTGGAATATTCTGTGGGTTAGAACTCCCTGAACTTCTCTGGCAATAAACAGCACTAGGATCATTCTCATTGCAGTGTTTCGTCCATGCTGAAACAAGTCTATTTTCACCTGTGCGTCCAGTAAATTTAATACATTTTTTACTTAGTAATCCTTGCATATAGTGTCTTTCATATTAGGAGGACATCTAAGGGGCCTTATGGTACTTACTACAAAGCATATTTTGTATGCTGACAGCCTATTTTGAACACAACAATGTTCCACAAAATGTTTCTTGTTGAGGTAAACTGGCTGCAGATAGTCTCTGACCCAGCAGCAAGCATTAATTTGTAATATAAATGCAGGATACACTTTGCACAGCACTCTGGTTTTTAACCTAACAGATAATGCAGCATTGACAAAATACCTGCCAATATTCAGGGGTCAGGAAGCAGTTCTGTTTCCATCTATTTGACATTCACTGCCCCTGGGAGATTCAGAAGAAAATTAGCTCACAGATAGCCATGTTCTTAGGAAATATGAGTGTCAAATGCATCAGACTAAAAGTAGCTAATTTCAACATCCAACAATCAATAGCTCTCAAACATTATAATCTACTGACGTTTGAACTTAAGCATTCCCTTTAAATGCTGGAAAGTGCTGTTTAAGAGAAAAATCGAAGAGCTACAGACACTGCAATCCTTTTGATTTCCATGCTAGGATTTATGAAGGATTTGTGCTAAGCATCGACCAAATTCCTCTAGAATCATGTGCTCCGCAACTGAGAGGGAATGATGGGCTTTTTCAGCCTCTTCTGCCTGGGCCAGGAGACAGCCACATGTTGCGTCTATCACGTCACAGGTAACAAAGGTAAAGGGATGCCTGTCAACAGTAAAAAAAAGACAAAAACGAGGAAATGAGCCTTTTTATGCTTTCTTTTGAATGCATTACTTGAATGTGCTGATCACCATACTTAGGAATTTAGGAACAGAAGGGTAAGATATAATATTTTAACATGTCAGAGTCCTCACCAAGGGTGTGCATGCAGAGTTTTAGTGGTGTGACCTGAACTAAATGGCCTCTCCAACTGTGATCTGGCCAATGCTTAGTGGAGCTTGGCTTAAACTCTGGAGACTCGCAGTGTATTGATGTTACTATGTCTATCCCAGGATTTGGTTTGCCTTTCTAACTGCTTTGTCACATTATCCTGACTCTAAAGTGACGTTTCTTTTAAGCGTTTAACAGTGATGTGATCTGTAATGGAATTTTACTTTTCTTCAAATTCTCTCTCTCTCTCCTGGCTGGCGAGTGCTGGAGTATGGTTCCGCAGGGGAAATACAGCCACTGGTACACCACCATAATGGTAGCTGATTTCACTGTGGAGAGCGGCATAAGTGAGCTTGATTGTGCTCTCACTTGACATGTACACATGTCCTGGATGTACAGCAAGGGTAAATATTTCCACTGTAAGCTCAGAGCCACTGTAGTATATCAATTGCTTCCCTGGCTGATGTATACCAATTTACAGTGCTAGAGGGCTGAGCTATGAGAGATGACAAGGTAAGCTTGGACTCTTCATCCTCAAAAAAATGTCTCTAAAGGGGGGGTGTGGTATTATAGAACCATATGTGATGCTAAATAGCATTGAGAGAGTAAATCTAGAATATGGTTTTCAGATATGCCAAGGCAGCAGGACAAGATAGCACACATTCAGGGTTGTGCAGAGCAATTTGTAGACACCATTTCTTTACACAAAGAATAGATAATAGATAATTAATAGATACTAGATAATTATTTGGGGAGGACAAGTTTGCAGTTCTATGGGGAGAGAGCGGAAGAGTTGTATTGATTTGGTTAGCTCTCTTCAAAGAGCCAGGACAGACACGATGGGCCAAATGGCCTCCTTCCATGCTGTATAATTCTATGATTCTATGAAAGGAGAATTAACAACTGGAATGGGTTACAAAGAAGCGTGCTAAGAGGCTCAGATGGTGGACTCATTTAGGAAACAGTTTGATTGAAAGCCTTTGTTATTCTAATCCGTTGTGTATAATCTTGTATTATGAATTTAACTTGATAAATGCCATAAATGTGTAAGTCTCAACAACAATCTGCATTTATATAGTGTTTCCACATGGAAAGAGTCTAAGAGCACTTAACAGTGGCAGAGCGTGACACTGAATTGGGGATGACTGTAGGCACAGTCAAAGAGGAAAGTCTTCAGATCAAGGAGGGATTGATGCAGAGAATTTCAGACCTTCAGGGCAAAGTGGCTGAAAGTACGGCCGCGATGGTGGAGGGGCCAGGGAACACTTACTCGGGAATCCCAATATCAAAGAAGATAATCTTCTCTGTAAATTAATTGTTACCTTTCCTGTTTCACTTTGACTTGCTTTCTATAGCTGAAAATGTCAGGATAGAATTTAGTCCAGGGCTGGCAGAGGCCCACATCACCGGGGTCAGGAATGCTCATCAAGGTTCTCCTCTCAGGACTTTCCTCATAATTCCTGCACCCAATGCACTTGCAGATAGAAGAGCACATTATTTTTGCCTGTTGGAAAGACAACGGTCAATGAGATCAATTATACCCCTCAAATCACTGCTCAATCAGGAAAACACAGCACATAATTACATGGTTGTTTTAATGCCCACAAAATGTTGGCAATTAAATATGGAAAATGAATTTGTAATTTAAATCTGTTGAGTCAAAAGCAAAAAAACTTTTCATCTATTTTGACTTAATGCAGATTTACCATCAAAACGGCATTGTGCTCATGAAAAATGTGTTTTGTAATTATTTCAAGTTATTTCTGGAAAGGTATGATAATTACATCAAATATGATGAAATTCAATTTACCCCATATCCATTGAAAAAAGGAATGGGCAATATATTTTAGCCCAAGTAAAAAAAGGCTTGTTAAAAACATTTTTGTGAAAACAGTGGCCTTTAAGCTGTTAAACTGTGGGCGTCATAAAGCTTGTTGAAAGAGTGTACTTATGTAATTGAATTGCAATGTCCTCCTTCTCCACGAGCAGAGATCTGGGCAACATTACATGATTGTATTTGTTGAAACATTACTAACTGTAGCTACAATATACAAGAAAAACAGCTAGAAGTTGAACGTGATAGCTCTTTCATACTGTGAGTTTCTCTCTAGTGGGAAGTAGAAGTGTAAAATGGTTGAGTTTCCCTGAATGCCAACCCTAGAAAGGCACAAGTGTGCGCTTTCCACCTGAAACACTGTCAGATCAAGCACAAACTCCAGATAACATGGAATGGTGCATACTTGAGCACGATGGATCTTCGGTGTATCTTGGGATCACGTTAGACTGAACTCTGACATTCAAAGAACACATCAGGAAGCTAAAAAGAACGTGAACTCCAGGAACTGCGTACTCCAGAAAGTGGCCAACACAAAAAAGAGAGCTGACCCCAAAATACTCAAGAGCAACCAGTCTCGCTGTTACTCAACTGCAGAGAACTCTACCCCAGTACGGTCATGCACACAAAATTGATACTGAGCTTAATCGATCGTGTAGGAGCATCACAGGGACTCTGAAACCAACTCCCACACTGTTGCTCTTCTGCCTCACCGGGATTGTACCACCATCAGTGAGGCGGGTTGCCTTCAGTAAAAAGAAGACAAAAACAGGTATATGATCCTAGACACCCACTGCAAGGACACATTTCACTATCCAAGAGGTTAAAGCACAGAAAGAGCTTTGCCTCCGTGAATTCCTTACAACTTATACTTATTTAGTGCCATCCACGCAGGGTTGCGTCTCAGAGTGCTTAACAGTGGTGGATTATTACCCCAAAATATTGGGGAACACCGATGATCTTGGAGAACCTGGTTCCTTTAGAACAACTCTCTCTAGGCACTGACCTCGAACAAAAATGCTGGTGTACCCTAAATCGAGCGAAAACTAGGGTGGTGACAATATGACCAAGTGTAAGCTGAGAATCGAGCTCAGTTGTGAATGTGGAGAGCTTAGGCAAACGCTGCCTGATGCAGTGCTCCCTGTCAACATCCTGTACTCCCGAGGAACTCTTTGAGATAATTGGCTGGGGTTTTGGAGCGACAAGCTATGATGATAATGACCTCGTAGCATTCACAATAATTCTTCAGACATCCTGAACGCTTGCAGTTGCAGCCCTTGTTGTGTCGAAGTTTGATTTCTCCTAGCATTCCTTTTCCTATCTTCGGCCTGAAGGCTTCTGGGTTTCTATCCAGACACGCCTAAAGAGGCAGGAACACATCACATGTTAAAAGTCACACTTTTTGTTATTCTTTGCTTTATTTCATTTAATATCACATGAGTAACATGCAATCTACCATGACTTAAAAAAAAACAGAATTGGATCAACAGGTCAAATGGTCCACTCATTTTTTTATAAACCGAAAGCAAACCTCCATGGGATAAATTTATCTTCAGAAAATGACATTAGACGTAATGTCTCATGAGTTCAGACTTAGACCATCCCTCTAATGACTTGTCATTCTGAGTGACAAGAAATTCTACCTGGGTCTAGATTTATTCTAATTATGTAGCAATTTAGAATGCCCAGATTTTGGCAAATTATTGAATTCAGTCTTAAACTTGAAGTTGGTATTTCAATAGGTATTCTGCAAGAACTTAAGGCTGCATTTACGAATTTGACGAAATCTGGATATAATAATAATTCTTGCATTTGATATAGCGCCTTATCATGTCTTTGAGATGTCTCAAAGCACTTCACAGAATAAACTGTAAAGTGAATTGACTGTATGTTTTGTGGGTGATTAAAGCATTTAAACAATATTGTTTAGTGCATCAGTCTGTGTGATATGCTTAGTGAAAGATACTATACAAATGTAATTTGTTGTTAGAATGGCTTATTTATATCGTTTCTGTCCGTAAGAGGATCACAAACAAATCACAGTATGTCAGTAATCTAATGAAGAGATTCCGAGTTGTAATCTAGGTAATCTGTTAAAATGGCACTGCAATGTGGAAATATAATGGGATATCAACATGCAGAGCTCGAGTGCCAGACCTGGGGCCACGGCTGCAACGTTTCACTGTATGATTAGCTGGAGTCCTGTAGTTCAGTGGTTAAAGCACTCGCTTTGCAAGCGAGAGACCTGAGTTCAATTCCAGGCAGGGCGAAACCTTGGGCAAGTTTCCTTACTTCACACGCCTAATAATAATCCCTCCAAAAAAACAAAAGAATAATAAATTGGTCATTTTCAATCCATGTGGGACATTGCTGTGCGCAATTGGCTGCCGCGTTCGCCCACAAATATACAGTCAATTCACTTTACAGTATATTCTGTGAAGCGCTTTGGGACGTCTAGAAGACGTGAAAAGCGTTATATCAAATGGAAGGATTTTATATATTTGCATTGTTTTCAGTCTAATTCTGATTGGATTATTATTATTATTATTAAAGATGTGGGAGCTTCACAAGCATGATTGGTACCATGAACAGTCCCTCTTAGTGCCCAAATCTTCTCTACAGTGGTACAGACGAGATCAGCAACTCACCTTATGGGCAACAATAAAATCCACCACCTACTGCTTTGTGTCATACTACCATTTTGATTCAGTTTATGTTTGTTCAACTTCTATATCCTGTCGTCCTAAAGTAAGAGCCTGCCACACAAACCCCAATATGTTTCTGGGTTGCCCAAATGTTGAAGCTGCCAAAATGAAAAGCCTGCACAGGGTTACCTTAATAGCTTTGAACCTCTCCGCTTCATGCTCAAAGTTGTTGAAGCAGTTGGTGCAATTACAGTTACTGCAGAATTCTCCATTGGCAAAGCAATCACAGTACCTGTAACACAGAGATGGAAGCAAAATGATAGCAATAATAATATTCCTTGCAATTGATATAGCAGCTTATTACATTGTTGAGACATCTCAACGCCCTTCACAGAATATACTGTTATAGTGAATTGACTGTATATTTTGTAGGCGAAACTCGGCAGACAATTGCACACAGCACGACTGATAGATAGACAGGCCACAGTGATAAACAAAATTCAGTTTAAACTGCAATTTTATTACATTTTATTATATTTTGTTATATTACATTTTATTATTCGTTGATTCTATGATGATAAATTTATCAACAACTTTTGTCTTTTAAACCAAGGGATGTCAGTTTGCTAGATTTTAAATTGTAGATTAATTTATAGAAACCACAGGATTTTTCTTCACCTCCACAGTGAACCGAAATGCCACTCAATGTTGACCTGTGAGGCCATTTTTGTCATTTAAAATTTACTGTGTAAAATTCTTAAAAAGAACTGCTACCAAATTTAAATTTGAATAATTTTTCACAAATCTTCATGACTTGACGTTTGAAGATAAATTAATCTTATAGGTTAAATTTCAGCCGACAGGTCTCCCAAAAGTGTAGAGCATTCTCCATATCCGAAAGATTTGTTTCTCACAATTCCACTCTATAACTGGTTACCGCATTGTATGCAAATTGATGCTGGGAGACAACCACTCCATGGGGCAGCAGATGGACTCCATTCAGCTGCACTTGGTAAATTACTGTGTGGGGAGCCCTTTTCTAATCTAACCTCCAGAAATATGGCCATAAAAAAAGAATTGCTGGTTTTACGTCTAGAATGATGGAATAAGTAAGGAATGAGATAATGTTGAACATATACAAGACTTTGTACAAGACATTAGTTAGATCACAGTTGGAGGTTAAGGAGTGATCTCATATATGTCTTCCATATTATGAAGGGTTATGATAACATAAATAATAATAGATTTGTAATTGCTAGCAAGCCAGTAACAAGAGGTCACAAAATTAAATCTGAGCTGACACTCTGTTGCAGAATTGAGGGAGTGCTATATGGTTGGATAGATAACAGGAAGCTTTTCTTTCCCCAGAAGGTAATTAACAACTGGAACAAGGTAGTTCAGGCCAGGACACTGGACTTGTTTTTTAAAAAAAACAGCTTGATGCTGTGATGGGAGGCGGGGTATCCTGGAAAGATGAGGCAGATGTGCTGAAGCCCCCTCTTCATCAAACTAATCTTGAAGTGCTGTCTTTAAGTAACATGCTAAATTGAGGTCTCATCTGCCTGTTCAAGTGCATGTCAAAGATCACAAAACACTATTTGAAAATATAAGAGTCTCTTCTGATATCCTCGCTTACAATGATCTAGAGTCATTGGTCATTCACTCCATGCTGTTTGTGAGACTTTGCTGCCACACTGTCTTCAAAATGTCACAACTAGCTGTAATGTGGTTTGAAACATTGCTACAAGAAGCCATAAAATGCAAGCTCCTTCTTTCTTTACCAACTTCAATCATCACAAATGCTGTTTACCAGTGTCGATTATCCAGTCAATTAAAATTCTACCTTCATCCCATGAGGATTTGCTGTTGCTATAAGTTTCCTGTGAAGAACCCACACAAAATGCTTTGTGAAAGTCCAGCAGAAATGTAGAGGATATCACCACAGCCAAAAACTATGCTGCATCGCTCAAAAAATTTCAATCAATATTTCATGGATGTGAACTTTTCTTCACAACCTGCCTCAGCCTGAATTTATAACCTTCACTTCCATTAGATGTACTTCAATTGCGTCCATTCTAAAATAACTCCGATATTTGGTGCACTGTAGACTATAGGCTTTAATTCTTAGCATCATTAAGATGCTAATTTTAATTAGCCTTGTTAATGTTGATATGCTTTAAACGTCACGATTTTCTACTGCGCTTGACAAACCCTGTACCTCATAGGCTGTGAAAACTGTCAGATGCATCACCTCTTATTATTCTACACCCAGTTATTTAAACATGGATGCATCATGTGTAATTCTGGTGTTTATCAATGTTCAAATATTTCACTTAATCAATGTTTTCTTCCTGCCCAGTTGCTGGATTGAAAATATTAACACTTTCTGTATCGAAAGTCATTGTGGCAAAGTAATTAACAGATTATGCAGTACTGTTTCTCCTTTTTTAATCCTTCTTATTCTCAAGGGACTCCACTTGTTCTTAAAAGCCTTGCTTCCTACAAATGCACCCAAAAGCACCATGAAAGTGAAGCAATCTTCAAGCTCTATCTCAGTGATAATTTTTAAAAATCTTGCCAATTATTCTCCACGCTTGAAGCCATTAACTCTTTACAAGGCTATTGGCCCAATAATGTCAATTGTCCACGTGGCATTTTTCATGAGTGAGCTTGACAATGAGTGCTGACAAGCTATTTCAACACAGATTCATGTTCAATCTTCTCCTTGCTTGAAGTGGACACACACATATATACCTTCCAGTATGGATCTCTGGATAGCAATTGGGGCAGGAATCCTAGCTCATTTTCCTCTCCTTAACTCAATGGCACTGAGGCCAAATGTGGCCCTCTACAGAGATAAGCTAACTCAACCAATCTGTATTGTTTAGTGCTGCACTGCCGTTATCATTAAGCTACTACACTACCTTTATTCACTAGAATAAAACAAAATTAAAAAGATTCTTCTAACTATTATGACACTCAGTTTCCCACCATTGTGATTAGAGCTACAACCCACAAAGTAGAAGTGCTCTAACACATTCTCAGACTTCTCCAGAAGAGGGATAAGATTTTTGCTGTGTCTCACTTGAAGTAATTCTCAAGCAGTACTCTTCAACCCACTTTACAGTATAAATGTTCAAATATTTCACGTAATCAATGTTTTCTTGCTGCCCAGTTGCTGGTTTGAAAATGAAGAGCTGAAGGATGCCTGGTTATTTTTGTTGAAACATGCAGTCAGTTTCTGTATATTAGTGAATTAACATACATTGGTTGTATTAACATTTGATAATGTGTTTGGTGTATAATGGCTATGGATGTTACCTAGACTTTTCAAATGCATTCCACGCACCAGTTTAGTTCCACCATCCACAAGGTACAAATAATCCAAACCTCTGTCATGGTACTCACGGGCGGCATTCTCACCCATACCAAACTCTGCATGTCCATCACCCCAGTCTTTGCTGGTTCCACTGGTTCCCTGTCACTTAATGGACCGATTTCAAAGTCCTCTCTTCAGGCCTCAGCACTTCCCCATCTCTGTGATCTTTTACTCTACTTGTCTGCTAGCCCTCTCCGATTGGTTAACTCAGGCCTGCTCTGTGTTCCCTATCCCTTCTGTTCCAACATTGGCGGCCAAGCCTTCAACTACTACCCCCAATCTCTAGAACCTCACTCCTTCTACCCCTCTAACTACTCTTCACTCTATCTTTAAATTCTGCCTTAAAATATTCCTCTCTTGACTGTGCCTATAGTATCGCTGTATCCAACCACAAGATTGTTAAGTGTTCTGAGACATTATTCTATGTGGAGAACGCTTATACAAATGCTTGCTATTGTTGCTGAATGCTTTTTGCTTCCAACACACATACTTACAGTTTGAGGCACTGGGACTTGGTGCAGTTACAAGGCTTTTTAGACCTAGAGTCTGTTGTAATTATTGGGAGTCTGTGGTGGGAACAAATCAAATCTTACAGTAACTCTGGTAATTTATAAAGGTTAGAAATTCTCTGAGCAATAAATTATTTAACTGGAAGCTTCAAAAATTGTTACATAAAATGAATCAAAAGCCCCCGGTGAATCGGTTTGTAGCCTCAATCTAACAATACTAGGTATTAGGGAGGGACAGGTCAAGTCAATTAGTACCAGTTATAATAATAGATCATACCTCAAATGTTACATCTCTTTCAGGGGTTGTGGACCTACTGTGGATTTCCAGTATTTCAAATTTCTAGTGTTCACGGTTTATATTTTAACCCAATTGAATGAACGCTTAGTAAGGGAATACTTTTGTTAAGTGAACAGATGTAAAGAATCAAGCCTTTTCTGTTCTCAATCGACATTCATATGAACCCTCACTTATTTTTTTCTTCCCTAACCCAGGGCGTGATGTCAATTGAGCTCCTATCCGAGCTGGGATCAGATAACTCAGTAAAATGGCAAATCCCCTTGTCTTCTGAGTGTAATATCTACTGGACTTGTTCAGTCCTGTTCACATACATCTCACAGAACAAGTTTACATTGTAAGGTGATTCATGTTGCTGTAATAGAACCTTCAAAACAATTACTCTTAATGAGCTAACATAGTGCGTGTAAAATTGCCATATATAGTCTCACAACATGGGCAAATTAATTAAATGCAGTTGCTCACTTACCTTGCTAGTGCAATATTGGAAGATACATGGATGTTGGGCTCAGAGGCAAGACTTCCATTATCAGCAACAGGAGCACAAGGTGCTGGTTGCAGCTGTTCAAAAACAGAATAGATCATTTCAAATACAGCAAAACATAATTCACTAGGCCAAGTGAAATATTTTAAATACTAATATTTAGTATTTAAATTCAGATTGATATTAACTACCGGGCTTGCTATGAGACTGAAGCAAAGGCAAAGGCACAAAATAATGCTGTGTCAGAATACTTCAACAAAATTCTCGTTATTGACTTATGGATCGGGAATTCAAGGACAATCCATGGTTTCTGTTCAGGGCACCCATATAGTTGTATGAAGCTTTGATGAGGAGTAGGCACTTTATAATAATAATCCTTGCATTTAATATAGGGCCTTATCACGTCGAGACATCTCAAAGCGCTTCACTGAATATACTGTAAAGTGGGTTGATTGTGTATTTTGTGGGTGAAACACAGTAATTTTCAATTGGAAAGCAGGGAGAAACTGGAAGGCAAGTTATCCCTGATCTCCCTCTCAGCATCCTTTTTGAATCCTACACTTTATGGTACGTGGTACTTGCGGGCCCGAGAAAAAAATATAGAAATATATGAAGAGCTTTAGAACACTGAAGCAGTATTTGTATTTTTCAGCTTTTAGTTTAAACCTTAGCATTAATCCTTGCTTTTAATCGTCGTATTTGATATTGTACCTTTCATGTCAGGAAGATGTCTCAAAACTTCACAAGATAGTCTATAAAGTGTAATGACTGTATATTTTATATGTAAACAAGGGGTGAATGCAGGGGTCTAATTCTGTTATTAATGAAAAATAACTTTTGAATCATTGAACTTTTGAATGATCTCTAGGTGGACTGTCTAGTATTGGCATTAACCCATGCTGGTCCTCTCTCTCGTTATTTCAACAGAATACATTAAGAATTCTATTTGAAATAAATTATTTGTCATATTTTAAAATTGTTTACGAATTCATCCAATTTATTCAATCATGTGCTAAAGCTTAACTGCAATCTGTTTATAACTTTTAAACTAAACTCTGCAAAGCCTGATTTTGAACTCGATACAGCAGGTATAGTTTAATGGTTACCACGGTTACCAAGCTTATTCTCTGTTATGATTTAATTTATGTTTGTCATTAACAACTAGGTTCAATCAACATTGCAATAACCTTATAGCTCAGGCCTAGGCTCAAGGCCTCTATTCCATACCTGGGTTAGATATTCTGTAGGCACCATTGTATACCCCAAACTACCATTGCTTGGAGCTGGGGCCATTGAAGAGCCAGGTGGTAGGTTTGTGAGGTTATGCCTGATGGATGGGAAGGGAATTGGAGAGGCACAATGCTGAGAGAAAGGCTGAGCCATCTTTATTGTTGGAGTACCACCAGTCTGTCCCTATGGAATTTATTTTAAGAAATATATAATTATCATTCAGTTCAAGGAATCGATCAATGAAACCAAGACAGAACTTGCATTTTTATAACCCCATATCACATTGAAAAGATAAAAACGCTTCACAGCAACAAGGATCAATTGTAACAATTGTTTTTGGAAGATAACCGTGGCAGCCTTTTACACAAGCACAGTCCTACAAACAGCCATAAGGTATAAATTCATCTGGATAGTTGTTGGCCAGGAAAAGAAACTCCCTTCTCCTTTGGAATAGTGCAATAGGATGTTTAAACATCTACCTGAATAGTTAACCAAAAGTCTCCTAAAATCTAGAATCTGTACTACTTATAATCCAACAACCAGCTTCAAGAGATTTCAAAATGGCCAAGTCTTTTTGTCAGCATCTCTAAGCAAGAAAATCATCAATAGAGCCAGGAAATACACCATCTTACAATTCACTGTTTCCCAGCTGATTTGCTATGCAAGCTGTCGGTTGCAATTGAGTCCAAATGATGTGAATCATTAATTTCATCTAATGGAAGGCCTGCTTACAATTCTAAGCACTTGTACTCTCATGGCAGTTTGATATCCCTGGGAGCAGATTCTTCAATTCTCTCAGTGAGTTCAGGATGCCTCACTAGTGCTGGCACTTCCCCAGGTCTAATCTATTCCCAGTTGCTGACTTCATATCAACAGACACAATTCCTGGGAAACAGAGTGAGAAATTATTGAACTCACTCAAAACAGCAGGAACACTCTAAATTACATTACAGTAACAGCAGTGGAATTTTCTTTCCGACAGATGTTAATAACTAGGCTCATCAACCTTTCAATACTTTTACATGGCAGTTCTGGGTATCTATTCCATATCTGTGTTAGCTACTTTAAAGATACCATGGTTTACTCCATGGTAATATTATGAGCTAGGAATATTATAAGTCTATGACTGTCATATTCTTTTTTGTCACTTGTATGCATTTCAGGGATGCAGGTCCTTTAATCTAATTTTTGTGAATTGTGAGCAAACAATGGTTTTGAGCAAATCAAGAACTTGGTAGGCAAGGACTGAAGCATCTGATCTCAGCTGGTGTGGTGATAAGGACAAGGACTGGGATGAGGACAGGTAGTTTGCCTGATCATCACACAATCTACAGAGATTTGCGGTCCGGCCTTATACTTGAACAACCAAGTGATCAGAACCACAGCCAAAGCCCATGGAATCAAATCTCAGCAGGAGGCAGCATTTTCAGGAGAGGAGGGGAGAAAAACGTAAAGACAAAATAATTAATACAAGGCTTTACAGCTTATCTGTACGTAATCCGCGATTGGAATAACATTTCTCTTGAAAGTGATCGTGTTACTGAAGGTTCTCCACAAGGGAAAGTGTTTCTCAATGTAAAATTCATTTTTTCTGCCGCAAATTCTTTGCACATCACAAGGAATTGGTATCGGTACAGAACTGATATTTTGCAATTAAATAATAATTATTACTATTCAAATCATTATTAATTATTATTATTTAATTGCAAAACCTCAGCTCTATAATGAGATTACCTCAGATTTTTTTTCTTGTTTGCATGTGCTGGAACTGCTAATTTCAGAGCATATTTTGATGAGGAATTTGTTGTTATATTGTTATTCCAATAGCAGACCAGAAAAAAATCATTGATTTTTTAAAATTATTCCATACACAGCTCATTGAATAGGAAATCCTGCAAATACAGTTCAATTGTTTCAGCCATTACAATAGCTACATTTGAATATTCCAATCTAATCTAATCCACACTACATTTTACTGCAAATTCTGCTTTACATTCGCTTGTCATGCTCCCATGTTGAACTTTCTGAATATTTCACTTGTAATAATTATTGGCAAGTTTATATAGTAGCTTGCGAGAAAAACACCCAGAAAATAGGATAATAAATGAGTATTTCTAGGTTATCTTACATGGCTTATATATGGCTTACCACACAAAATCAGACCCAACCTATCCTGTCTATTAACAGCAAGGGAAGGCCAAATAATTGGAAAAATACCAGTGAGTGTATTGAATGGATGCTCACTTAGTAGTGGTATTACCATTAGAAAGAAGTTATTGATCAGACATGTTAGACAAAATGAATTTAACCTCAAACCTCTCTCTCTTCTCTCTCTCTTGTACCTTTTCTTGTTTTTCTCTATTTTATCAATAGTGTTATGTATTGCTCCTCAGTACTTTTCTCTCTTCTTCTCAAGCTCCCAAACACTTCCTGCGTACCTTTGATGACATTTTATTGGATGGGTGGGGGAAGATAAAGATTATTTTCCACAAAACAGCTAATACTGAACTTTTGAGCAAAAAAATCACACTGTGTCTCTCTCTCTCATCTTCCAACAACAACAAAATTACATTTGTATATCACCCTTCACGTCGAGAGGACGTCCCAAAACCAAAGTGCCAAAGCAACTGAAAATAACTTTCTTAAAAACAAAAAGGACTCCAGCATTACTCCAGGCAGACTTACCTGCTGTACACTAAGGCCAGAGCTTTGTGGCATGGACATCGGCAGTGGCTTTCCCAGGAACCCAGAGACTGGAATAAAAAAGTAATAAAAAGTTGTTAAAATGAAGCTCTGGGGTATAACTCAACTGTTGAGTTATATATTTGTGTTCATATAAATGCAGTCTAAGGACCTCAAAATTGTGAAACATCTCATCTCTCTCAGTCTTCCCTTTAAAACAAAAATATATTTAGTGTAAATCTAAGTTATTTTACAGCACAGGTAATGTACATTGGAACACCAGGTAATATGAAAGAAGAAGTATCCATTAATAAAAGCTGGAAAAGTGCAGCATATGTCTTACATTGATTATCTATTCACTCAAGCATCCCAGTCAAAGTGAAGCTGTTGTAGGCCTGATCAGAGATGGTATCCATTGCAAGGATATTTCGTTATTAGTCAAAACAATCAATTTAACCTGATAAACTTAGTGGTAAGGCTACACTTGTAAAACTGGGCATATTTTGGCCATCTTCCCTTCGAAAGACCATTGTATAAGAGTAAAGAATATGGTTTTGGGATTTAGGAATCTTTGTTATGAAGAGACTCATAAAAAGTATTTGTTTTAATTGGTACTAAGCCTGAAAGGTCTTTAAAGTAATTCACAGCTGTGATGCTGTAGTTGTAAGCATGTTATGTGATTTAGAGTATAAGATTAAGAAGCCTCAAGCAAGACTTGGAATTTATTTATTTTCTCTCTTGCCAGTGCAGTGGATATATATACACAACAGACTCTCGGCAAATCCAGTTCATACCTTGTGGATTAACACACAAAATTAAAGGTAAATAACTATCTGATTATAAACAGGACAAAAGGTTATCAAGATAATTGCAAATAGAGATGACTAAGGGCTCTGTGGAACACTGAGGTCCTGGTGTTTTGGGGATGATGAAAATATCATCCTTGGAAAGTAACAGAATACTGGGATAGATTAGTAGGTCAGATATGGGAATTGCTCAATTGAAGTCAGGGAAGAATATCACTTGGTTAATGGGCTCTTTATATCGCTGGAAGGGATGTTTCCAGCAGTAGAGCAGATTGGGGCAGGAAGCCTGATATATTTCCTGCTTACTGCATTTTTTGCATGAGGATTGCTGAAAAGCCAGCAAATGATATTTGAAATTCTGTGCACGCAAACTATACAGACATCCAAACTTAGGTGATTATAGATTAGTTGATCAACAACATTATAATGGTCCATCCAATGAACCAAGATCTTTTGAGGGGCCATTTAGGAGCTGGAATTGATTCGTACCTAGTACACATTGCAGCATTGCGAGTTGAAAATGCTGCAGCTTCTGGTTAAAGTGGTTTGTTTCTGAATCAAGCTGGTCTCCATTGTGCTTTTCCTGGAAGCTCAGTATAAACTCAATGCTAAATTCTGGTTTCTTCAGCAGAAGGTTGTACAGTAAGCATTCTTGTTCACAAGTGTGATTATCCCAACATGAAAGGCTATTTGTATTATCCATGAAGATCATGCACTCGTTCTGCACTCCAATTCCCAACATTTTGCTACTTAGTATGTCAGTACCTTCAGTTGGTTGTATTGCTGGGTTTTCCACAGAGGTGACCGGTGGATTAAACTGGATACACTGACTTTTGTTGTCTGGCAGCTGACTTTGAGGAAGAACATGGACGGCTTTCAGTTGCCCTGGGTTTGTGCTGTTTATCACTAACATCTGAGTGCTACCTTTCAGCTGGTATAAAACCTATGTAGCAAATTAAAACGTTAGCAAAAGAGGACTGAACTGACAGAGAGAAAAGCTTCCATAAAGGCTTAGTTTGTAAGGCCACTTATCAATAAGGGACTAGGGTATTTAGACAAGAAAGATCCCAGACATGATCCACACTCTATGCTGAATAAGATGATCTAAGCTGGGGCACTAGCAGTAACTTCCACTTCAATACAAACAGTCTCGAACCATAAAGCATTTGCATGCTGACTCACCTGGCATAAATTATGACTTGAAATAGGGAGGTCATATCCAGGGGGATGGAAAGGTTGAAGAACAGCCGTTAAAGGTCTTACGGACTGCTGTAAAATGAATTGAATGGAAAAGTACATCAATATCAATAACATCTGCATTAAAATTTCAACTTGTTTGTCAGGGTAACATCCTTAATATTACTATTTTATGTTGGTTCATGAACAGCTTGTTAGATGAACTGTATGCAGAGCTCAAGAGAGTTGGCGACAGTCCATCATGGGGCAATTTGTACATATGAAAGGCTTTATGGACCGAATAATCCTTTCTTGTTCCTTGCTTTATATAATTCTTAAGGAAATAGCCGGCTCTTCAACTTCATTCAAATCAAACAAAAATATACATGTAAGAATAAACTGTAAGCAAACATAAAATGAATTCTTCGCAATGTAACTTTGCTAATTAAACAGAGTCCAGATAGCAAGACACCCTCTTGAGCTCTGCATGCAGTTAGTTCAGTGATTGTAAAGTTCCACTCTCTCCCTCACCTTGTTCAGGTTCTGTCTCAAGACCTATCTCTTCAACCCCGTTTTTGGTTCCCTTGCACATTCCCAACTCGGGTGCCAGTGTTGTTAAGCACTTTGGGACATCCTGCCAACTTGAAAGGAGCTATATATATGTAAAATTGTATTGTACTCATGCAGCTACAGAGGTTACCATAGGGCTAGAGTTGTCTCTGAGAGGAGATCCCCGTTCCATAGGATGATGCGGTGAGCAGATCTGCCTGTTGACTTCATCTGTCAGGGTGTCAGATATTTGACTGTCCTCTTTAGGTTCAATTGCAATGCTTGCTACAGCCTGTTTGATTTCTGCCTAAAATGAGCAGACAGTGATTATTAATGCTGTAACTTACCAATTGCTATAACGCAAGTGGAGTATCTCCAGGAATAACACTTATGCTGTTTAATCTCCCTGATTCACTCCCTTGGCAGTGATTACAATAATCCTTGCATTTGGTATAGTACTTCATCACGTCTGAAGGATGTCTCAAAGTGCTTCACAGAATTTACTGTGAAATTGAGTGTCTCTTTATTTGTAGGCAAACGCGTCAACACAACTGTGCACAGCAATATCCTACAAACAACCATGAAATAAATAAACAATTTTATTTGGGGGATTGTTGGCCAGGTCACGGGAGAGAGAAACTTCTTTTATCGAATAGCATTATGGGAATCTTCAACGTCTACCTGAAGAGGCAGACAGGACCTTGGTTTAATGTCTTATCCGAAAGCTGGGATGACATGGAGTGTTATCTTAGACTGTGAGTTCAAGTCCTGGGATTTGAATCCACAAACATCTGACTCAGAAGAAAGAGCGCTACCACTGAGCCAAGTTGAGCCAAGATTCAGTAGAAAACATGTGTAAATAAAGGTTGACCCAGTGCCAATTGCCATTACTTATTAGGCCATTAGGACAGTGAGTATGTGCTTTTTAAATGTATTCCAACTGATTTTGCCCATCCCTGCCTGACACATAAAAGCAGCAATCTGGCATTGGCAGTGTAAATTCTCTGTGAGTTACTCAGTTGAGTGAGAAGATAAAGAAAGTGCAAGCATTAACAGCAATACTCACTGATTGCTCAGGTAGCTCCATACTGTTCTTGTATACACTGTTCACTCCAGCACAGCAGTCTGAATCTAAATGCAGAGAACAAAATCAGCATTAGTAACTCAGCAAATGTGTCTAAATTGTTGGTGATCATTTGTATTTACTCTTCCGAACTAAATATTATGATTGAAAATAACAGTGTATTCCATACTAGAAGAGCTAAACATTGTTGGCAGTCATCACAATGAGAATAATTTCATCTTGGCTTTCAGTTGACAAACGGCTTCACCTTTACTCCCATGTTTATCACATCACTTGACTACTCTGTACCAGGATACCCTGGTATTATTTTCCTATGCTCATCTCTGCTCCTGATGATGTTCTGATAACTCAACTGTATCTATTAAAAATGCTTCCCAATACTATTATCATATGAATAAATAGTCAATTCACTTTACGATATATTGTGTGAACTTCTTTGAGAAGTCTCAAAGATGTGATAAGGTGCTAATTCAAATGCAAAGATTATTATCTATTTTATAACAAAACAAATATTTGTTAGGTATACAATATTTATGCTCCTATTGAAGACTGGTTAAGAAACTGTTACCTTATCCACAGATAATATTTATGCTTTTCAATCCAACAGATGGTAAATTAATATCCTTGATATCTTCTGCCCTTATTTCTATGAAATGGGCGAGCTATGGCAAGATTAAAGAGGTCTTCCAAGAAAATCTTCATGTTGTATTAACAGAGAAACAGCGGAAAGCAATTTACACACATGCATTGACAATCAATCGAGAGTGGGTCAACTGATTTTACTGTTTCACACATACTCCATGCCAATTTGTCCACACTATTGGATTTCCCCTGAGTACAGTTAATGATGGAGACCTTGCAGAGGAGTTGCCAAATTAATCCCAACATTTAGAATGTGCTATGAAGCTTAACAACAACAACAAAATTACATTTGTTTAGTGGCTTTCATGTTGGGAGGATGTCCCAAGGTGCTGGACAGTCAGTGTTTCGGACCCGAGCTGGGGGTCGGGATTAGGGACTGTGGAGGGTGGGGGGAAGCAGGGTGATCGAAAGCATGGTCGAAGAAGAGGGTCTTGAGATGGGTCTTGAAGAAGGCAAGGAAGGGGGCAAGGCGGAGGGGACTGCGCGATGGCGTTCCAGATGGTGGGGGCAGAGTGCCCGCCAATGGTGGAGCGAGCAAGGTGGAGTACGTGAAGCAGGCCGGAGCCCGCTGAGCGGAGGGAGCGGATTAGGAGGTCACAGAGGTAGGGGGAAGCAAATCCATGAATGGCTTTGAAGGTGAGGAGCAGGATCTTTTCAAAATTTCTAAAACAAAAACTATTCAATTCACCTGGGTTCAATTCAGGTTAAGACTGAAGAAATGAAAGGCTGTTGGGCTGTTGCATGCAAGGGTCCTGTTTGAAATGATTCTGAGTTATGGTGCATGTGATGTTTATAGCACAAACATTATTTAATGCCTTTATTAATCTTTAAATGTGTTATCTCACTCAATGGAACTGGTAGATTGCACAATTGCAGTAGAGGTGAACGTTGTTGGAATTGTATAGAAGGAAATTTACTCTGTAACCAGTGCTGATCTGGGAGTACGGAACAGTGTAGAGAGCTATAGTCTGTAACTTTATTATTATTATTTATTAGCTTTATTAGTCTGTCCATATGTTGGTATACAAAGTGTAAAATATTAAACATTTTGTCATTCTCATCTCAATCAACAACAGAGCCATCTGCTGCTACGCTGTATACTTCAGCTAAATGGATTGAAATGTTTAATATTTTATTAGGATACACAGACAAGGTATTGTGTGGATTACTTATATATTCATGCAATTAATGTTTTTTCTCATTCAGCTTAGCCAGCAGCGGTCAAAACTGTGATCTGTCAGCCAGTGTGCCTTGATATGTTCACAGGAGCGTATTAATGGACAGAAATTAAAAACTTTGGATTACATTCATACAAGCAAACAATTATCATCCTTGTTGTGTTTGTCAGTAAATAGAATGGAGCATCTTTTTAAATAAAATTCACTCTTTCTGGTTGAAAAGAGGAGCTGGAGAGGTAAACTCAGACATCTGCCAGTTATGCTGGTCGAAGCAGCTACTTGTCGACTTGGAGAAACAACAACAAATTACATTTGCATAGCAAAGAAAAGCCTCAACATCATTTTCTATTATGTTAATCAAATATACCTTGGTGAGCATTTGTGGGAAATAGCATACAAAAAAGTTTTTAAATTAGTTATAGTATCCCAAGAGATTAGGACACTCAACGGATCCTGCCAAAGCATCAGTGTTTTATGTTCTACCTTTCTTTATGTTGTTGTTCACAGCCTGGGAGGAAGAACGATATAGCAGATTATCCCTGATGATTTCCTCTCTGTAATTTCCACTTGTGTTTTTTGAGAATTTTATCAAGCCTGATTTAAATGATACAGAAATTTCTTTCAGAATCTACCTTTGGCATGAGTTGGTGAACATGGCAGTTGTACAGATGCAGCGGGTTTGTCAGCAGAAGACTCAGTGAAAATGTATTTACTGATCCCAACATTGGAAGAAATGAGTGGTCCTTTAATCACCTGAAATAAATTGCAGGAGAATATCATTTAACACATTTGCAATTTAGCAAGGTTATTTGATAATTTAACGCTGGGCTTACTTCTCATTATCAAGTACACTATGATTGGAGTTGGACGGTTTTGTTATTTGACGGCCTTCTGTAGACTGCTAGTGCCATGCAGCATCTGTGGATTGAGGATGGGGAGGAAACCGCTTCCAGACTCCTTTCATTCTACGCGCAGTCTATCCAAGAAAGGGTGCCATAGTTATCAGGAGTGACAATGTCTCACACATTTGCTTGAGAAGGAAGCGTAACTCGATAATTTTTAGGTGAGCTTGGTTAGCCGGGTCCTTTTACTGTGAGTTGAAGTCTAGGGAGTTTAGACTTGCTTTACTTAGGCTCCTGTTCACCAAATTAGGCCATATTGACTGACAGATGACAGTTTTGATCACCACTGGCCAAGCTGAAGTGAGAACAAATTATTAATTTCCTACATGAATATATAAGTAATCCACATCTTGCCTACTTTCAAAAACAGCTTTGTATTATCTACAATGTAGTTTCAGCAAGTCAAAATTCACTATGTGGTGGTAGCAATAATCTGAGCATTTAACATCTGATATGTTCAAATAAGTCAATGAAGCTTTCAGTGTGACTGGTTACATATCAAACTACATCTTACAAAAACAGCTAATTCCAATTTGAATCATAGTCAATTCAGCATTAAATTATCAAATGGTTGCAAGAGATGACAAACTGGGCCTGTTTACACCACAAGATTCCAGATGGATGGAAGTGCCAATGAGCATAGAGGCACAGAACCATGAGGAACAATATCTTTACTAAATGAATCAAACAGTGTTGGGAGAGAGGTTTACATTCGTGTAAGATTACTGTGTATATACAGTATCGAATTATTGAACATTTATGCATTTTCTCAGTTTATACATTTGGACGAAGATCTTGTACTGGGTAATGTACTGGATAATGTACTGGGTAATTCATTAATTGTGGTTATTTGTGGACTGTTGAACAGCATTGGATTTCACAACTTGGCCCCCAAGTTTACAGTGCGACTGTCTTGTAACAATGTGTTTTACATCTCCTACTTTTTCCACTTGTGGGCTGATCGACATCATGTCTTAGTCAAACGAAGCACAAGCTATTTAGTGTGTGAACGTGTTCCTCTTCAGTGTTACCCGTATAATTAATCAAATCAGATCAAGTGGAAAAAGGGGACATCCCCGTGCCCAAATATTCCACTTGATGCCAGATTTGTTTACATTTGTTGCTTGTGATCTCTATCTAAGATGACCTGCCCAACTTATCAAACAGGTTTGAGTGACAAGCAGCCCCTGTGACTCGCATTCAGATTTCTGCTGGGGAACCTGGCAGTGCGCTCCCTGCAGATAACACGTATATTCATAGTCATTTTCCAGCAAGGCCACAAAAATGTATTCCATTCCTCAGGGCTTAAATGACTTGCTCAAAAATGAAACAAAACATCAACTCAAAAATGAAACAACAAAAAGATTGGAAAATAATTAAGTGGCTGTTCATACCAACTTTAGTTTGATAACCAAAAGGACTTTTTTTTAAAAGGGCACGACAAGGCAGAACTTTACTAAATGATCTGCAGTGCTATCTAAGTCCTTGTATTAACAGCAACGGTCTGTGTACTATTTGTGTAACTTCAGTGTGTAGTTACTGCTTTGTCCTGCATATCATGTCATTCACCATCTCCCTCACTGATTAAATATAATGTATGCCACCCTGGCCTTGGGAATACTGGACTCCATTTTGATTTTTCTTCCAGAGAAAAACTCAAGTCCTTTAAGGGATTGCAATACCTATTTTTGCCTCTCAGTGGTGCAGTAATACTCGACCCTACTCGACTAAAATATTGTACATGCTGCAGAGCTGACTGCAGATGCTGGAACAGGCCTCCAGTTGTAATGAATGTAATGAACAGGCCTGCAATTCACTGCTACATACTGTTGTTTCTATGCAATTGTTCTTTGCAGGTTGGTTTGTCCCACACTGACACTTATTATTGTGCTTACATTAGGGAAAAATATGATTTTCACAATTCCGTGTTAACACAAAACCATTTCAACCCCCCAAAAATCAGCTTGTTTGTGTTTTAAAAAAACTATGTTGTACAATAAAATCTTGAATACATTGCTCAACAGTTTTCTGAGCTGCCTTTGAAAAGTAATTTACTATAAAATACTAGACAAAAATATATTTTAATGGATTTATTTCAACTTAATTCTTCAATAAATCTGGTGCAATGACCACTCTGCCACCTTCCAGTACTAACCCACGCCTGCAGGAATATCATTGCTGAGTGCCACTGCAGCTCGAAAAACTACCAAACACAGACCAAAATCTGCACATCAGGCTCAAACACTTACAACCAGGGAGGAATTTCAAGGCTGTAATCTGATCTGGGAATAGGGAGTGTTTACAATTTTTCAGAGTTAGACATCAACTGACCTCGCCGATTAAATATCGCTTGTTTAAATGTGAGGGGTTATTTGATTATTGAAAGCTGTTGGCAGACTAGGTGGTATTACAGTACACACTTTTCCTCTGCTGACAATCTGTCCTCCTCTTGTGCTAGTTATAATCTCACACCTTGATTCTCTTAGGGGGGGCAGACTAATCCAATTTGTCAACAAGTCATTCAGCGCCAGGACTGCTCCTCTACAAAATGTGAAATCAAGTTAAACTCAGTTGAGCATGCCTCAAAACGAATGATCAACTACAAATATTGGTTTCTGCACACATTAATATCTCTGGTTATTAGGATAATCGACATCTTCATTTTGACTCAGTTGATAGTTACATTGACAATAGATCAGAAAACATAGGAGTGGGTTCACCTCCCACCTTGGGACTTCAGCTCATTCTGTAAACACATTGTAAACACTCCCTATTACAACCTTGAAATTCCTCGCTGAAATTCCATGCTTCCTGGCATGGTCTGTCCTACACCGATATTTATTACTGTATCTACATTTAGGCCAAGGTGGTCCAACTAGTGGCCTGCGGATAGCATCCAGCCCGCAAACTATTTCCACACCCAGTACCCATGGTTGTTACCCGTGTCTCCACATTTCCCCCTTTTTGCCCTGGCTGCTGTTATCAATGCCTCTGGCCCTCAATTTCTGTACCTGGGTGCCCGATTTCAGTATGTAAATCTGAACAGATTAGACATCATAACCATTAACTATGTGTTTTAGTGGTTTCATGGTATTAAGTATTAAGTACTACAAAAAACAGACTGAGCACTCAGCTCTAAAACAAACGCGTGAAGCACTAGCAACCTTTGGATATTGCAAGAAATGATCTTACCGGTATCACTCTGAGTTGATGGAGTAGACAGTGTTCCTGGGCCCAGTTGCCCACTGTAGTTAATGGTACAATAGTAGCGTCTCCATTTTCTCCCAAGAACGAGGACAAGAGGTGAACGTGGTGCGAATGAAGATGTGAAGGGTGTGGAGTTGGAGAATGCTGCGAGGAAGGGCATGATTCTTGTTCATCATCCATCATTTCATCTTCCAGGCAAGCCTCACCAGAGTCCTGGGACTCAATGCAAGGATCATCTAAATTATGTCCTGACCTGGAGCCATCTGGATCATCTCTCTTGGGTATAGACTGAATTACTACTTGTACCTCATCACTGTAACCATGTTGTACACAATCAGTTTCCATGGCTTCCATATCTGCCAGATCTACTATGTCAGAAGTAAAATGTGCGTCCTGACTGGATAATATTGGTCCATCAAATGACTGTGAGGTGTGACTACTACTGAGTAACACCAAATCTGGAAGCTGGTTTGCTTCACGCATATGCTCAGTGCCTTCAGTTCCACTCATAGAAGTCATTGCTATTTTCCATCTAAGAATGGTGTGATCCTTATGTCTTCTATTTTCTTAAGAAATTCCATTACAAATCTGATCAGTATAATAAAAAGCTTGATGCAAGATTCGTTCCTGTAAAGAAGTATATTGACATTTCAAATACAATTTAAATTTGTTTTGCAGTCATTAGTTGTTTCTTTTATTTTACCCATTTTCTCCTCACTCACCAGGCTGCATTAGTTACAGCTGAGAGAAAGTGTGGGTAATCTTTCTCCTGCGGGTCCTCCCTCTGTCAGGAAGTGTCTTTCTGCTCGGCACCAGCCCCACTGCATAATTGTACAGTTAGGGTAACAAGCGCTTTGAGAAATCTTTAAATCGTCTTGTATCAAACCACCATGCTGTTGCATGCTGCCTCTTCAAAACACTGCACCATCATTTTAATCAGCATATCTAAACTGCACAAGTAATTAGAAAGGTTTCCTTTGGCACAATCACATTGATTGTAAAATATTAACAAAGCATTTTTTGCTTGTAAGGACTGTAACTAGATGGAAATGCACTGATTAATCTGGCATTTTAATGATGGTGTAGGCTGTGTGATACACTGATTTTAATAACACTTCCAAATGTTCTATACAAACCATTTGGATCGGTATATAGGATCAAAACTTAATTGATGACTGAGGCAGAAGTCTTTCATCAGCATCTCTTAATAAGCTTCATTAGCATAATTTTAACAGTAGTTGCATACAATTAGTTGAAATTCTTGTTTGAAATTATGCTGTAACATGCAATAGTAGCATTGTAATGGTTAAAACATCAATATTAAATATATCATGCACAATGATTGGACTGATGCAATACCCTAAATGCAGTGTAAATTGTGAAATTAGAGGTGGGAAAGTAGTGGGGACTTCCTATTGGGAAGATCAGAAACCTCAAGTTTCCTGTACACTCTTGGGACTGGGGTGCTGTGCAACATTGGTAAACCTACAAATGAAGAAAGGAAAACAAAAAAAAATTAATTTTGATGAACTTCTGCCATGCTGCTATGTTTGACTGTTAGTGTGGAAACATTGGTCAACTTTTCATCATGTTGTCTTTGTACAAAGATCATTCACCAACTCAAAATACTGATACAAATAGCATTTTAGAATTAAATTTCAATAGGTCTCAGATTTCCACTAGTACAACCTTTTTTTCCCACTTGCAACCAGTTACTGATGGAGAACTGTAACTAAGCCACATTTGAAGGGAAGGCAGCATTGTCAGAGTTCCATCTTTCGAATGAGATGTTATACTGAGGTTCTGTCTACCTGTTCAGGTGGACATTAAAGATCCCACAACTTTTTTTTAACAACCAAAAGTTGCACTTATATAGCACTGTTCAAGGGGGTTGGGGTGTAAGTAAGGTGGAGAGGGAGGTGCTAGGGCAGGAGTTAAGGATGTAGGTTATCGTGAGGATCTTGAAATTGATCCGTTCTGCGAGAGGGAGCCAATGTAGCGTAAGGACTGGAGTGATGAGTTTGGTACAAGTGAGGACATGCATGGTGGAGTTCTGAATCAATTGGACTTCATGAATGGTGGAGCTGGCGAGGAATGGAGAAATCAAGGCAGGAGGTGACAAAAGCATAGATGAGGGTTTCAGCAGCATTGGGTGTCTGTCCAGTATTAAAGAGAAGGAAATTGCTCCCAGTGTCATAACCAACAATCCTCCAGATAAAACTGGTCATTTGCTAAAATTGTGAGACACTGCTGTGCAAAATTGCCAGCCGCGTTCCATTACAAATACATAGTTACTAGACTTTACAGAAAACTTTATAAAGCATTATGAGATGCTATTACCATTATAGGTGTTATATCAAATGCAAGGATTACATTTTGTTGTTGTCTTAGACTATGATTAGTAACACAACTGAGTTTTACTCTGTCCTCTTTCAATATCAACCCAAGTTTACTTCCAGCAGGAATGATCAGGAGTAGGAACTAAACAGAGGGAAAGTACTTCAATTGGTGCCCTGAATAAACCTCAAAATATTTTGAAATTGCCATTTAAATTGTCGTCATAAAAATGTTGGAATTGCGGATATCCTGTCAGCCATGCTATCAGTTTAGATCAGTAACAAGCAGCGTGTATTGGCCCCCAGAGAGGTGACCCCTAGGAAGTTGCAGTTGTTAGATCAAGTAAGTGGTACATTCAAAGCTGTAAAATAATAAACAGTGAGCAATGTCATTTGTTCTACACTTGCATTTGTTCAAGAGATTGATTACTTTTGTTTCTAAAAGACCAGAGTGCAAAAGTTTGTGATGTTTGATTTTTGAACTAACCCCATAAAATGATAGGAAAGTTCAGATTAGCAACATAGGAATTTAGGATTTTAAGGCATCTGAGACGCTACCTGCATGAAGGATGCTATCTAAATGCAAGTTGTAGTGGAATTCAGGAACTAAGAATTGAATGCAGCAGAAAGCATGCAGCTACATCCATACTGAGTGACCACCTCCACCTTTCTAGTCAAGAAGTCACAGAAAGAACACCAGATGCTACAGAAATAACTGCGCAAGATCTAAGCCTCTAATCCTCTGTGTCTCTCCAACCCTCCATTTCTGCTCTCCCCCCACTGAATTGTTCCTGTTTCCCCTTTGCGAGTTTTGATGTTTCCTATTACTTCAATGTACTGGCCAATATTGCTTCCTCATCCAAAATCATCCATAAAAATTTAGCTTCATTAGATACTGATCGCATTCTCTGTTGCAGATGTTGATGGTGCAGATCATCAGCTATATTTTCTAATATAATATTGTAATAAATCAAATACTTCTATTTAATTACTTTGGGATTGGTCACATGGACCACAACAATTTTGTCAAGTCCTGTTCACTGCTATGTTCCTATGACTCCTTTAGGATCTCTTTTTCCCAGGCGGTATTGCAAAATCAGGACAAAAATTATTTCATTATCAACTTTTGTTTCATTTCAAATGTGATTAGATGGCACAGTGCCTTCACCACCATTATGCCCACATACTTTACCATGACAAAGCTGAAAGAGCAATAGATGGGACTTGAGGTGAGATTTGGTTACTAAACTAGTTATAAATTTAGATCCATTTTCTAATCCACGTGTGGCCAAAGTTCCCTAGACTGAAGGAGAATCAGGACGCATTTCCCTCTCAACTTCAACTTACATGAGTACAGAAAACAAACAAAGCTCAGGTAGGATCTGTTACAGACCATAGCACCCTCACCCAGCCAACGACCGTCAGAATAACCTAACAAATCTGGCAACCTTATCCCATTACCAATGGGGTTAACCATCTCAGATGGGGCAACATTTACAAGTGTTTATCAGTGCTCCTGGAGTAAGCGAAGGGGCACTCATATCATTTCATCAGAGACCCGGGCTGGAAAGTGAGCGTTCAGGGTGAATGTTGACTGATACAATCAAGGATCGGCCTCAGCTGTAATGCGTCCACTTTGTGAAACCATATTCCAATGGAAGAAGCTAGGGAGGGAAGACGCCTTTAGGGTAAGAAAAGAAACGGTCTGTAAAGAGCCCTAAACCCACGTCTATAACCGCACCACAGACTCCGGAGAAATGAACCAACTTGGGTAGAATTCACAAAAGATATTTCAACCGAATTGATCTGATGGCTGTGTCGTTTGCCGCGTGTGCACGTGGACCGGCTGCCTTGTTTGGGTTCGAAAAAACAGTCACTACACCTGGCAACAGTTGTCCGTGAAGGGCCGCCGCGACACGACGGGTTTTTCTCAAAACAACGAAGGAGAGGATTATCGTTGTTACAATGGGGCGCAAAACCGGCTGCCGGGTTTCACCCGCAAAATACGCAGTCGCTGAGCTTTACAGCATATCCTGCGAAGCGCTTTGAGACGTCTCTAATAAAAAGAAAAAAAATCGAAACAGAAGTGGCGGTGAACGTCGTGTGTGTGTGTGTGTGTGTCGCTCTCTCTCTCTCTCTCTCTGGCAGTAAATCGAGAGGCTTCTTGATGAAGAAAAACATCGCCATCGCGCCTTACTTACTTACTTACTTACCCCCCCGCCCCTCAGGCGCCATCGTGTCCGCTTCCCCAGCAAAACGGCCAGGACTCCCTCACCCCGCGCGCGAGCCCCGGCCCGCGTGCCGCCGCCACGTGACGTGCGACTCGCGCACCTTTACCGTTGGTCTCGAGCAGAGGCGCAGGTTGTCGTCACGGGTTCCGCCTCTCCCCTGACTCAACCCCCCCCCCCTCCCCACCTCATCCACCCGCTCAACCCCCCCCCGCAACCCCCCCCCCTCCCATCTCATCCACCGCTCAACCCCCCCCACCTCTCCCCTGACTCAACCCCCCCCCCCACCCGCTCAACCCCCCCCCACACGCTCAACCTCCCCCCCACCTCTCCCCGGCTCACCCCCTCCTCCCCCCTCCCACCGCTCAACCCCCCTCCCATCTCATCCACCCGCTCAACCTCCCCCCACCTCTCCCCTGACTCAACCCCCCCCCACCTCATCCACCGCTCACCTCCCCTCCCCACCCGCTCACCCCCCTCATCCACCCGCTCAACCCCTCCCCCCACCTCAAGCCCCTGCTCAACACCCCCCCTTCCCCCCTCATCCACCCGCTCAATTGTTGAAAAGTAAGTTCAAAGTTTATTTTTATTTAGATGCCAAGTTACAGTTTCACATGTGCTGCACAATTGATTCATTGAATCACCAATGGCAGGACAGTCATTTTCACACCTTTAAAAGAATGCACCGCCAATGCAACTAACGGACAGGTTGTGGCAGTGCTCTCAATTAGGAAATGATTGGGCGCAGAACTCACCACCAAACATTACAAGTGTGACAGTGATAGGGAACCAT